GATTCCGATAGGAGATGGGGACGAGAGAGAGGTCTGTCCTCGTTATTTAGCTAAACCATCTTCGCCGTGCCACGTATGTATCCAATATCCGACTGATTACACGGGTATCCACCGTATCAAATTCCAATGACGAAACCGTACAATCGAGATATAAAACAATTTCATTTCTGCCTCTCTCTCTATAACTAAAGTTTGATCTTAATATTAATTTCTCATGGAAATTACTTCGAGACAATTCCGTTATTCTTCTCGATAATTAAAATACTTACAAGAACTTACTTTCTGCAAGTTTTCGATTTTATTGTCTCGAGGCAATTATTAAAATAGATTTATGGACAAAGTTTTTTCTTATTCGGTAATACTTTCGAAACCCCTCTCTCTCTCACTCTCTCTCTCTCTGTTTATAAAAAAAGTTAAGGACATTAGCATGTCTTACTAAAACAGTAAAACTAAATTAAGACTTTTTGAAACTTTTATTAAAACCTATACGTGACTAAAAAATTTATCATCAAAGTTTGAAGGAATGAAACATCTTGTATAAATATAAAAGTCTTGTGTACTTGTCGACAGATTTAAAATTACTAAAACCGCAAAATTATAAAATCCATATACTCGTCCAAATCGTCCATATACTCTAAAATGAATTTATAGATCATCGCAGATAGCTGATAAAAACGCGCGTTGCCCTTATCAATTTTTATAGCGTAGATGTGGAAAATTTGTACGAGCATCTCCCCACCGGAATGAGATGCGAGATGATATCTCGCCAAAGTTGGTTCACCCTGTTGCAGATAATGTCACGACTTTACATCGTGCCTGGGAAACGAGGGACGATGTATTTCCACGAAACGAAAGTACCAGCCGCGATCCGATAATGCATGTCGCGATATATGATTGATTCGCCTGCCAAACTTCAACCAAAGAGAAAGAGGGAAAGAGAGAGAGAGATTTCGAGTAACATCGCGAAGCTATAAAACGTGTGTTTACATAAACAGAATTTCCGGAAACCGATGTTTTCAAACGAAACGCAGTCTTTTACAAACGAGCATCGCGTCGAAAACTGACAAGTTCGGAATAGTTAAATAATGAAAATAAACACAAGAGCAAACTGTGAATTATTTTACCTTGCTCGAGCAATATTAATTAAATATTTGTTAAGCAAAAAAATCAATGAGAAGAGGGTAAAATCTACCCACGATTTCAATTCGAGACCAGTCTAAAGTTCGCACTATGTGCTATTTGCGACGTGCGAGTATCTTTAATATTTCGAACAGTCTCCCAAGAAAATACGGTCAATTGCATGATTATATGCTCCAGTGAACGATACGCAAAATTTCTGAGACCATAAATTATCATTATAAATTAGAAATTATTATTAATCTGCACAATTGAAAAGAAGAACAATAACCTTAATATTGGTATTATTTGTCTTCATAATATATAATTAGTGATATATCATTTTCTTTCAATACATAAAATCTTTCACTTTACTGTATAATGCATGTAATAAAACCATGCAATTGAGAGATCCTGTTATAATAACATTGATATTGTTATAATTTATATTCACTCACCAAACATCGTCGCTGCTACGCCCAGCTACGCCAGAGACAAGGCGGGAGCTCCTGTCGACAGAAATAATTTCAATACTTTTATATGCATTTATTTATAAATTGATAATAATAATAAAATATAATAAATAAGAGTTATATAAACACAAACGTATCTAATATTTTCACAAAATAGCTTCGGTAATAATATTCCAATTAACCGTCCAATGGTGTATTTACCCTAATCATCGCAAATAAGCGAATAATTAACCGTGTAACCAATAAATGAATATACTCACCATCCGCGCGGCCGACGAGTGCGTTCGTCCTCGCTGCTCCGTTATAGCTGGCGCAAACCCATGTTCATCTCGACGCGATACGAACGGGAAAACTGCGGCTAATCACGATCGCGCACTCGCGCCGATTAACACTACGCCACGACAATCCCGACGCGACACGCCACTACACTCGCGTACATGATACGAGAACACGACGATTCCGCGTTAAATGAGACGTTCCCGCGTATCCGTGATCGAACGACAAGGAAGTTCAACATGGCGGTCTTACGACGTCACTCGCGATGCTCGCGATATCGGAGCGCGGATTACTACGGCCGCGGGCGCGGGCCGCTCCGACGCGAGCGCTCCGGCTCGCGCGAGCCGTAATCTAGGCTCGCGACCAATCGATATCGCATTGGATTTCGCGACACAAATTAGGGTGACGGGTTACTCTCTCTATTTGCTCCAGATATTCGTCTTTATCGCGACACGACGGCGTTTATCGATAAATCATTGCGCGCGTACGCATGCTCCCTTAATTAAGAATAGAGAAACGCCGATCGTCCCGGTCCATTCGACTACTACCGGCTACTAATTAACTGATTACTTACAGATCATGTACACGAATATACCTATATTACTGCTCGCGCAAATGTGCCAAAAAGGATTGACGCAGAGGATCGCGCGTCGACCGCGATGTTACCTGCCTGCGTGCCCGCGACCGAATGCCTGATGGGAAATTCAAAAGCCAATATGGCGACTTCACGACGCTACTTGTAAACTTGCAACGGCGCGTCGAAAATTATCTGATTCGCGCGAGACGTGACTTAAGATCGCGAGCACTATATACGCGCATACTACATTAAATTTCGCGGTGCGAATTAGCGCGACGGGTCACTCTTCTATTTGCTCCAGATATTCATCTTTATCGCAACACGACGGGGTTTATCGATAAATCATTACGCGCGTACGCATGCCTCCTTAATTAATGATAGAGAAATGCCGATCGTCCCGGTCCCATTCAGCTAATACCGGCTATTAACTGATTACTTACAGACTGCACATGTACTCGAATGTGCCTATATTACTGCTCGCGCAAATGTGCCAAAAAGGATCGACGCACAGGATCGCGCGTCGACCGCGATGTTACCTGCCTGCGCGCCCGCGACCGAATGCCTGATTTGGGAAACTCAAAAGCCAATATGGCGACTTCACGACGCTACTTGCAAACTTGCAACGGCGCGTCGCAAATTATCTGATTTGCGCGAGCCGTGACTTGAGCACCAATCGCATACTGCGTTAAATTTCGCGATGCGAATTAGAGAGAGAGAGAGAGAGAGAGAGAGAGAAGAGAGAGCGCAACGAGTTACTCTCTCTATTTGCTCCAAATATTCGTCTTTATCGCAACACGACGGCGTTTATCGATAAATCATTACGCGCGTACGCATCCTCCCTTAATTAGGGATAGCCAAACACCGATCATCTCGGTCCATTCGGCTACCGGCTACTAATTATCTGATTACTTACAGACTGTACATGTACTCGAATGTGCCTATATTACTGCTCGCGCAATAACCGCGATGTTACCTGCCTGCGCGCCCGCGACCGAATGACGAATGCCCGATGGGAAATTCAAAAGCTAATATGGCGACTCCACAACGCAACGTCGCGTCGCGTCGCAAATTATCTGATTCGCGCGAGCCGTGACTTAAGGTCGCGAGCAACAATAGCCAATGGCATACTGCGTCAAATTTCGCGGTGCGAATTAGCGCGGCGAGTTACTTTCACTATTTACTCCTGTATAATTCTCATCGCCATACGACATCAATAAATCATTACGTCGCTAAATAATTTCGCACGCATGCGTTTATCTCCTTAATTAAGGATGGCGAAACGATGATCGCCCCGATCCATTCGACCTAATTAACTGATTACTCGTAGGGCGTGCACTTGAGTATATGCATATCGGGCGCACGCGACAAATATAAATAATATGAATATTAATGCGGCTTACTCATTGGAGTATAATTACCGTGCGACAACGCGTGAGGCATATATGCATCGTATATACTTGCACTTTTCCCGCGCGTTTCCGTTACGCTTGCATGCTCGAGGCAAAATGAACAGAGAATTGCGGAAAAGCGCATAGAGAAGGCACAATCGAACAAATTTACGATACCGCGAACCGAAAAATCAACGCGCGATTTTCATTAATAAAATGACTGACAATGAGATTGCGAACTCGTTGCATTTATTTCGAATCATAACCGCCGCGATATTTCGATGAATTTCAATCGTCGATGTCACGGATACGCGAAAAATTATGCCAAAATATCCTATTATTACGGATAAAAACAGGGATTATTTTCGACAACGGATCGATATTGGCGATTCATTCAAATTTCATATTAATAAAATGATCAAAAATTGTACGACTCTGAAAATTCGTATTTTCGATTGTCTCTGCATTTGTAAGGCTCCCTTGCACATAGAATGTATTTTATACAATATTATAGAAGTCGATGCCACGAATATGCGAAAAATTATACAACGTTCCTATTATTACGGATAAAGATGGCGATTATTTTCGACAACGAATCAATAATAATACTCACAACCCTCACAACCACTCTGTTATAGCGATTTATCCAAATTTCATATTATATTGATAAAAAGATCGAGAATCACGCTACCGGAATTTTATATTTTTATTATTTCTGCATTTGCGATGCTTCTTTATGCATAAGAATCTATTTCCAAATTATCAAGCAAATTAATTAATTATGCGGCAGACGTAGTATAACCTCACTTCTTCATGAACCGTTAGGCGTACTTATTTGGCACCATAACCGTTATAATCGGATTAATTTCGATATTTGATATCATGGATACGCGAAAATTGTGCCACGTTCTCCTTATCGTGATTAAAAATAGAGGATTATTTACAGGCAACCCGGCAACCGTCTTCCCATTCGCAACGGCAATCGTGACACTCGTGTCATCTCTCGGCGCTCGGCGCAACTATTCGCGCCGCGAGCGTCACCAGCGTCATCTGTGAGCGCAATCTAGTACTCGCTCGGCGCGACGGTCAACACCCTAAAACCCTTCCCGACACTTGCGTGATTCCGCGCTGTCGCGGTCGTCGTGGTAAGTACGTGGTACTCGTGCCCGTCGTCGTCCGTCGTCGTCGCCGTCGACGTCGTCGTTGTCATCGGGGAAGAGGGACATTGGCAGCACTGACGATGCTCCTTTCTTCCAGATGGTATCTCCGGTGACTCCGGTGACTAATACGCGACTAGCGTGCATACCACGGAGAGGAGGAGCATTTTAAACGGCCCGTTTCATGCAGCGTGTGAAATGAGCATTCCTTGAAGTCGCGGTAAGTGCCGAGACCTACGGAAAACGCGATTCCCTCTCCTCATTCTCTCGCGCGCTCTCTCTCTTTCTCTCTTTCTCAGTTCGCCCCTGGTGTCGTCGTCTCTCGCGATTGTTTACCGCGAGAGGCAACGCCGATTCCCGAGAGGTCGCCGATCACCCTTCTCTCCCTCGGCTCGAGGATATCCTCGTCGAGTGACACCTTCTCGGCCGACGATCTATCCGGAGCTGCCGTACGACTGCGATCGCGATCACGGTCGCTTCGTCGTGTGTCCGCCCCGCAAGCTTTTTCTACCTTTCATCATTCATTAAATAAAGAAAAAAAAGTTAAAGAAGAACGACATTTATGCATTAACCTTAACGAAACTTATCTTCACAACACATCTCGTCAAATACAATGGACAGTGCGGTGAAAGCTCGCGTTTCTACGCGATCGTTAAAACGGCCTGCCGCTTATTTATATATCGGTCCCCGTTCTCTCTCTCTCTCTCTCCGTTGTCCGAACATCGAAATTCGTCCAGGACTCCGCGGAACTCCTCCTGGAGAATGGCCTATGAGTGAGGAGTAAGGTGAACGTCACTCGGCTCGCCTGGCTCCGTTTAAAGCACATGTAGTAATTGCGAGTGACTAATACCCAGCGATTATGTGATTGCGTTGAGCAGGAGACGGGCACTAGGCTGTCGCTTAATAAGCTAAACAGCTTGAAGATTATTACCGCTTGAATGCTCTTCTCTCATTAAGCCGCGTTAGCTTGTACGTTTCACGATGCGTTTCCCCTGTTAAACGCGCCTTCGGTATGTCGTAAAAGTTGGCTTTCGCCAGATGTAAGTAGCGGACGAAAGATAGGCAAGGCAAGAATTCACACGATGATTAACAAAACTGCTTGTTCTGCCGAACGCGAAGGATAATTGTCAATTAGAGCTTTCACCGCACTGTTCGTTGTATTTGACGAGATGTGTTGTAGAGATAAGTTAAGTTTAGCTAAAGTTAATGCATAAATGTTGTTTTTTTTTTAACTTGTTTTCTTTATTTAATGAATGATAAAAGGTAAAAAAAAAAACTTTTATAAAACCTAGTAAACCTGAGTAAATTTTTAATTAATTATACATTTATGTATACTTTCATTTTGTACAGTCTCTTTCCATCTTTTTTATGCCCTGCTTATACTATTACGATATGCAGACAAGTTCACTCGCCGTTATTTCAAAGCATCTAAAATTTATTACATTACTTATAGGATGACCTATAATAAATTTAACTATTTAATCTGTATGAAGAATGCAATCTTCTTTTTAATAACAATAAAAATTGACAGAATTAGTTGTGCTCGGCATGTCTTTATTTTAACATTAAGCTTAATATATCTCGACAAACATAAATATAATATATCTACAAAGTTTACATCACTTTATCTTATCTCTCTGATAAGATTTCTTACAAAAAATTAATTTTGAAAAATTAATTTCTTTGATGGGACTCCTTAATAATAAATTCCTAAAAGTCTTAGCAAAAAGATTAGATATAAGAAATATGTGACATAATTATATCACAGTCCTGTATTTCCTTATTATTGGCAGACAATCCAAGAAGTGATCAGAAAGAAATAATACAAGCTGTACCTTGTGTTAAGACACGTCATGACGGAATATAAACTCGTGGTAGTTGGAGCTGGAGGTGTCGGAAAGTCAGCACTCACCATCCAGCTGATACAGAATCATTTTGTCGACGAGTATGATCCTACCATTGAAGACTCATATAGAAAACAAGTAAGAATATACCAATTTCTTCCATGTTTTCGTAATAGTTTCCAATAATTCATTATTTCATTCTGAATTATTGTTAGATCCAATCGACAATCAATATATTTTAATAATACAGAAACCTAGAGGATTTAAAATTGTATAGTCCCTTGTGTCTTTTTTTTTTTTATTTCCTTAAATACATCTTACCATGTTCTTAAACAGGTGGTGATCGATGGTGAGACGTGCCTTCTAGATATATTAGATACAGCTGGACAAGAGGAATATAGTGCAATGAGAGATCAGTATATGAGAACAGGAGAAGGATTCTTGTTAGTGTTTGCCGTGAACTCGGCTAAAAGTTTTGAGGTGAGCATGTGAGGTGGACAATTCATTTGATTTACAGTTTTGAAATGACTGCATTGTACGTTCAACATTGCAGGACATTGGGACGTATAGGGAACAAATAAAACGAGTGAAAGATGCGGAAGAAGTACCAATGGTGTTAGTGGGAAATAAGTGTGATCTTCAACAGTCTTGGGCGGTAAATATGACTCAAGCGAGAGAAGTCGCGCGGCAGTACGGTGTGCCATTTGTGGAAACTTCTGCGAAAACGAGGATGGGCGTAGACGATGCATTTTATACCTTGGTGAGCAAACACTCCCCCCTCCCCTTCTTTCTCTGTAGCTAAAGTGTTATAAATTTCAATTGGTGTCATAATACTCGCAATATTCCGTATCGCAAATTATTCTGTGTAAGTTTCATCAAGTTTTTTCATAACCATATTTGAAATAAATTCGCGAAAAATTCCAAGTGACAAAGTTTCGTCACATATTTCAGGTCAGAGAAATACGGAAAGATAAAGAGCGTACAGGTAAACCACCTGGCAGTAGTGGACACAAGAAACGTCGATGCTGTATTTTATAAGTCTTTGGATAATACCAACATACTTTTACTTGATTACTACAACGCAGAAATAGGATATGAAAAGCCTTACGTTATGTTCACAGTGCACAAACATTTACAGCTTATTCTATAGAAATATTGTAATGAATTGCAAGCACAATTTTTGTATACATTGAGAGAGAAGAACAAATTACCTAATAGTACGTTTTTACTAATGGGCTTATGTTGCATGTAAGAAATGTTTACTTGGCAGCTTGCCATGCAATTCCATTACTGAAGCGTCTTAACCCTTGATTGAATGAAAGAATGATACTGACTTTTTTAATCACATATATTTAACGTTGGCACAAAAAGACATTGAATTATATATATATATGCTTATATAAATGCAAAATTACAATTAGTTCGCAAATATTTACATCAAATTTTACATTAAATTATACATTTATATAGACGAGTATTGGGTCCTGTCGTCTCTATAATATGCAGAAAATTTATTACAAAACAAATAGATCGAGATAACAAAACATGTGACATGAAATGTGACATGTATATGTTGCATTGTGTTTACGTTTATTTTATTTTATAAATAGTTAGTCGATATATATACTATCAATCACGTGTTGCACTAATGGATTTTAATCAAACAGCAATATTATAATATATTAGTGAAATTTAATCGATGTACGAATTATTTTATAACTTGTGAATTAAGTTTTGTATTGCCATTTTGTACATCAAATACTTGCCAAGAAACTGAAATTATCATTCTAAAAAAGAAAAAAGTTCTGAATCACAGAAACGATATCACAAACTTAATTCATTATGTGCTGTGATTAGAGTGTATTCTTAAGTACATCAAGTTAGTTAAGTGTACTGTGATTAAGTCTGCAATTTTTAAATAGCCCTTTATTTGGTAATTATATGTAGGAGAAGGGAGGAAGGTACGTACGACATAACTGTATTCTTTAGCTAAGCAATTCATTCTTTTTTGTACCATTTGGATATAGACATAAATCAGATAATGAGTATTGTATAACTATATACCAAAATAAACTTGCATGCCGATTAAATTTGGACACAGGAAAACTTCGCTTTCCTGTATTGAGTTTTCATGCTGCTAACATATATTATTAACCAAAGGCTATACATTTATTACATAGAGATAGTAAATTTATTATAAGAAAGCTATATTTCTGCTAATGTATGTTTATAAATTTATCTTTCTCTAAAGTTTATATGAGAAATTTATCAAGTATACTTAAAACTACTATCTCTTCTCTCCTAAATTTTAAGAAGAAACGTAAACTAGACACTGTTATTAAAAATTAAGACAGCAACAATCTTACGTTTCTACTTTACTAATCATTTGCTAATTCATTATAATAGAACATACGTTCACACACAAATGTAGTAGAATAAATATGTATATATACATATGTATATTTATTCTATTATACCTATATAAATATATACATATATATAATAAATCATGATTTCGTGCGATATACTCGTAGTCGAATAAAATTATTATAAACGACGAACATAGCATGGTACTCAAGTTAATTGAGTATTTTTTTCAGACAATAAAATAATTTCGATACAATGAATTTATTCTTCAATCAACGTACAACGTAAATATTGACGACTAGATTCTATAATATGTTCAAAGAGCAATCAAGGGTTAAATCCTTCATTAAACAATGCAAACGATACAACTTCCATATTCTCGAATACGCGTACATGTAGTATTTTCTAATATTAATGTTTTCAGCTAAAGTGAAAATATGTGTATATATAAATATACACGGGATAGAGATATCATTTTTTTACATAATTCAATTTCATAATGAAACTTTATATAAAACCTGTTTGTTATATGCATTCACTTGTCGAATGCTTGCCTATGAGATCGTTACAGCTCATCCATGCTATTTACTTTTCTAATAACTATTAGTCTTTATATTCGTTAATAAATTTCTTTTAACAATAATTCGTTATTGATACGAGTCTTTAGATAGAAATAAATCATTCATAGATAATATAGATCAATCAACAATATTCATGTTTCAGCTATTATAGCTATTAATCGAAATTCGTAGATCATGAACGTTTACGTAAAATTTGATTATATGTCAATTTTTTGCCTGTATTTGTTCAAGTTCTTCAAATGTATTAAGATACATATATAAACTTGTATTTAATATATTTCATCTTATCCAATATACGATATCAAAATGTTCACAAAAAAGTTATATCTGTTTTTGAAATATACTAATACAAATAATATACAGCTTATTTTATTGACCTTAATTGCATATCACATTCAATTGCAAATAGTCTATTTAAAAATTTAATTAAGTTAAACTTAATTTAATAGCTCTCCAATACTTTTAAGGCAATGGGCTTAAAATTACTAAAAACATCGAAATATTTCGATTGAAGTTGCATTTATTTTCGAGCACCTAAGTAAATATAAAATTGTTATACGTCTATATAATTCTGTATGTATCTATATCACTGTCATGTTACTGTCGCTATAATATTTATATTTATATATAAACTAACTTCTAATTACATATGAAATAGTAAATGTAGGCTTGAGTGTATACAGTAATATATATGGCACGTCAGTCTGTACGTTTAATTACTTAATCGTAATTATTAAATACTACTATATGTTATCCGTCATTGAATTTTATAAATCATTTTATTGTGTTTGGCATTGTTCATGGCTGATGGCTCTAGCACTACCGTATCATTTCCATATACTTCTGCTTATGTTTGCTCAACATTTCAGTCACCGTTACCAGCTGTTTAATCGTCGGCTGTAAGCAACAAATGTAATTTTTTTATGCATAAGCATCCTACATCTTCACAACTTGATTAGAGACTAGATTAGAGACATACCTGTGTCTTCGACAGAACTTGAAGTTCCTTCAGATGTGAAACGCAGATATGATGTAACGTCGCTAAGTCTCTTGCAGTGTCAGACACACTTTTAGTTCTTGGATCTGTAGCTTCTGATGGCTCTGGTTTCTCAGCAACATTCTGTGCATTTAATTGTATAAGTTAAATACAATCTTTATTTTTTTATCGTAATTTATTTCAAAATTTATATTAACTGAAGTAATCTGAAAAATTGTGTCCACGAACAAATATGAGATATATGAAATTAAAATAAATATAAGATATAAACTTACAGACAGCTGATCAAGGAACACTACCATTCGTTCTTTATTTTTGAGTATGAATGGATTTACAACTTCCATATATGGTTCTTTTCCACCAAATTCGACTAAATTAGCCAGATTTTGTAGACATTTTGCCACCATGACTAATGATCTGTAAATAGTTTAAATAATTATAGCACGACAAATCGTGAAGATATTCAAAACGATATATTACACAAATTTCATATTTGTGTGATTTCCATGTATCAATTTTTTTAATTTATATTTGGATTATATATCGTACCTTGCAGCAGACGGAGGTGGTGGCTCAGCTATTAAATTAAACGATCTAGGATTTAATATGGCAGGGCAGAGAAGGCGTAGAAATATAAATCCACTGACAACTCGAGTTCTGACTAGTCTTTCGTGTGGCCACTTAGCGACAACTGCTCTTTGTAAGCATCCGCAAATGTATCTGAGAGTTCTCGGACAAGCATCAGGACTTGTAAAAATACTTAATGTAACTTCATCCAACACCTAAAACGAGAAAATATTACGCAATACTTTTACTGTCTTCGCTAATTATATTAATGAGCATATAACATTGCAAAAGAAATTATACTTGTAATAAAAATTCAGCATTATTGCACGCGTCTTCCGGGGAATCCATTTTCGTTGGGTTCAACTCGCAACTCTGTTTGCTTTCAATTAGTTTCACGATCGTATCACGCAAAGCGGCCTTTAAAAACGAAGTACAAACAGATTTCATATATAAATCCATTAAAGTGGTCGTAAGACTGGCAGCTCTAAACAGAGTTGGTGTTTCATCTTCTTTCTCAACCTAATTGAAATACATTTTAAAAATATAATTTTATATGCTTAATGATATTTTTTGCTTGTACACCAAATTATAACTCACTTCAGCTTGATTCAATGATCGCAAAAGATCCGCTTCTTTTCTTTCATGCCTATAAATCATTAATGTCAAGATCAATATACATTTATAATTAAATGAGATTATATAGGACAATTATTTGTACCTAAAGATTCTAAGAAGACTATTTGCCAAGGGTACTCTATCTAAGTGGCATACGTCCGCTAATGCCTTAACAACATGCAGTTCTGGATCCAATAATAATTGCTGAAGAGGGCTATATTCCTCAGGAGGCATAGCTAAATCATGTCTGTATCTGTAATACAGATATTTTTATTTATATATATATATATAAGACTCTTATAGTGCGAAATTGTATGTATATAATAAAGATATTTTTATATACTCCATTTTTATATTATCTTGTACATTAGCAAATATTCTTAATCTTCACCGTATGCGTAAACGCAAGGCACCCCATTCTCCGATTGGTGTCACTCCTGATAATGGATACCATTCGTCCATTTCTTCTCCATTAGTTAAACTCGCCAACTCAACCGTTAGATCTGCGACCTCCGTATCCTTGCTGCGCTTGCCCTTATTGTACAGAGTGAGCGAAAAAGACATAACATCTGGCGGTACATCCCTGTCAAACAAATTAACAAACATAGAAAGATTTGTACATCAAGAGACTAGTCCATATAAGATTCGCATACGTACTCTAGAATGAATTCTTCATCCCAGAGTGAATGTAATCCTGTTTTAACCTTCGTGCGAGCGACTTTAACATTATTTAAAGCCACTATAATAAACGGACTCGGAACTAGCTTGTACGGAAGCCTATGTGCGTCTAAGATATGCAGATGCAATGAACGTAATTCACGGAGGCGGGCGACTTTCGGAGCACGGGTGAGTTGTGATACACATAATGGTTTCAAGGCATTAATCCAGTCTAATGCATTTTCGGAATTCGGGGCAGCCAGATAAGTTATGGTGGCCAGACATGGTAAAGCACGTTCAACTAATTGGAAACAATGAGGCCTATCAAACACACTTTCGTGGACCTAAAAAGACACTTCGATAACTCATCCCACGTTTATCTAAGGTATTATTTTCTTTATTTGATAAGACATGGCACATGTAAAGCATGCGTGTTATTACAATTACTTTTATGTTATTGAATTTTTCATAAAGACTTCAGATTTGGATATGTTAATGCTGACGTATGGCATGTCGTTCAATGTTTCAATATACATTCCTCACCTGGTACAAGTAAGCACAGCTTAAATCAATGAGACCTTTTGGCTTGGTTCTCTTGGGATTGTCGTATAGATAGAGATGCGTGTCGGTAGCATCCACCAACAAGACAAAATACAACGCTTTCCACTTTTTATTTTTCTCCGATTTCTTTTCCAAATATCCCTGCATTTTAATTCCTTTGTTCTTCTTCGCTCCTGATACCTCTCGACATTCCCTCAAGGTCGCATATATTTTCTCGGCATGTTGAACCTCCCTATTTACTCTGACGCTGCCATCAGGTTCGGTTACCATTGCTTGAACCAAAGTATGCCCTTCCACAATTTGTTCCTTTCGGTATCTGTGACGTAACGATACGGCAAGGTAAAGTAAGAATATAAAAAGTATTGCTTTTTGCGGAAAATTAAAATAGTAAAAATGTAAAAACCTGTTAATTACAGCGTCAAGACATTCGAACGTTCTACCTCCCATGAGATACCGTACCCCTTTTTTCTCGATTCTGAATCTCTGTATTTGGTTGTTTATATGGAAGAAAAGTGAGTAATCTCCTGGACTATTGTCCGATGGTCTGACCTGTAAAAAAAAATAAAATCAATTAAAAAATGTATAATAAAACGGCATTTGAAATGTGAGAGAATCGTTATTTTCTTACTAGGAAACTTCCAGGTCCTGCTTTTACTAGCATGTCAACTGCCTCGCTTTTGGTGACATTGGGATGAAACCAGGAAAATACTGTGTTAGGATCTATGGAATCATCAAGATCCTCCACTAATTCCCGAAATATTAAACCCTGTTCGCCGGTTCTGTGGGCAGTGACCCACAACCATCCATCGCCCATGTCATTGTGCACAAAAAATATATCCCCTTTTTGAAAGCTCAGTTCGTCGGTATCCGGCATTTTCGTATATGGCAGTATCGCGACGATTCGTTTCTTATCGTTCACTGGCTCCGGAGGTGGCGTCGGATGTATAAGTCTTTCTCTCTTTAAGAGATCCGAACAATGAGTGTAATACGCAACCAGATCTGAGAGACTGTTAAATTGACGACCGCCTACAACATTATTTCAGATTAGGGGAGTTATATATCTAACAGAATTTATTTGCAACATAATACAAATGTAGAAAATATATATCGCAATCTGCGTATTGCGAATTATCTTTTGCAAATATCTCAATTTAAGGTTTTATCTCAAAATTTTACTTGCGCCATTTTCGAGATAAATGTTGCATATTATCTTTTAAAAATAATATTATATGTTAAATATCTTCTGAATATATAACAATTACGGATTACGAATATATAACTATTGACATATAAGATGGCACAAAGATATTTAATGGCGATTTAATTTGATCTTTGATTATAAAGGTATTTTTGTATACAAGTATGATCAGGAATTGTTAAATTGTGTTATCTCAGTTCCTACCAATATAATAATCTCCGCAGACAGCTGTAATTCGGAAATGATTTATTCCAGTCCTTCCCAAGTAAGACAAGACATAGCTTCCAGGTTTCCTGTCACTTTCGCGAACCAAATAACTACCCATTTTATTTGCATCCCACAGTCTTTCTTCTGCTGTAAATCTATCTAAACGACCATGATACCACCTGCAAGAGATCACGCGCATCTATTTTAATTTTAATTTTCCAGTCAAATAATGACTCGTATACTTCCTTACATCCAACTTTATTTCAAAACGTTTGTGAAAAATGAATAGGAATTTTATTCAAGTCTCACTGATTCTCCGGCGGTGCCGTTAACAGAGTGGCGTTTGCGCCGTCAGGTTCTTCTGCGTCCTGTATATCATCCGGTATATTTTCCAGAAAAGGATCAAACTCGTTTTCCGCATTCAACGACTCGTTTTGACCACCATCCTCGCTTCCCGTACTAGGAGATCCACCTTTGCTGCTATGCTCCAACTAAAAGCATAATGAGACAAACTTTTTATTTACCCAGTGTTTGATATCTTTCCACACATATAGAAGATAACGCAATCATGAACACTTTGAATTTTTAATAACTTTTTTATATACATACATATATATGTATATCAATGATCTGTAACAATTTTTTATATGATCTCTCTTTGCTAGTGCGGTTTTAATTATTGCTTTTTGAGGAAGTTCTCTCTATATAGATTTGTTTTAAGATCTGTTTGAAATCCAACATATCTTTAACTTTTTTCCTTGTAGTTTCTATTTCAAGTGGCCCCAGATTCTAAGGTTCTCTAGATGCTGCTTTTCAATCAATATGATTAAAAGAACACTTTTAATTTTTAAAAAATAAAACGTAAATTACCTCGATATCGCGAAAAATAGTGGTTGAAAGAGAAATTAAAAGCGATCATAATCACGTTCTGTCACTCTCTGTAGCTGTCAAGGATCTGATTCATTATCAACAATATCAACCAGTATCGCCGAACATGAGTGAATCATATCCCAGAAAATGATTCGAGAATAATCCAAAACGAAAGCGTGGCATATGTAAAGCGCGTTTTTTTTTTTTTGTTTTTGTTGAAACGCACATGTATGCCTAATCGAGGAGTCGAGAAGCTCATTGGGCGATAACAGAGGATACAGGAGATAAGGCCCGGTGCCCGGTGTGTGTGCTCTCCACGAAAATAGTCCGCGCGAGAAAGACTAGAAAGAGAGCAGGGGGAGCGAAATATTAAAATAAGGAGCGTGCAAGAATTCGCGTCGCGCCTCCCGCCGTTGGCGACTCCGCTCTCCGCTCGTCCGGGAAAAGAGACAACGGCGAGCAACGCTCTCGCGGCTACGCGAGTACACGGCACACGCACGCATAGTACATACGCACCTTGGCACTGTTGGATACGCTTGGCCCACCGCGCACAAACTCCGCCATCCCGTCGCCCGTCGGCACGCGCACACGGTTCACGAAGCACCCGGGGCCGATCAGTCGAACGGCATGCGACGTCCCAGCGACGATGTTACCCCCCCGCGTCGCGAACGTATTTACAAATGCGATTACAAAGGCAGGCTCGTATCAGTACAGAATGTATTGACGTTTCCCGGCAGCCATTTTACTATCCGCACGCGCCGACCGCGATCAACCGCGACGCACGCGCGAGCCAAGAAGGGCCGTCATGGAAATTCACTCGCGACAGCGGCTTCTCGGCGAACTATCATGCCGTTTCGATCCCTGGTGGCGTCGATATATAAAAATGAGAGTGGTTACCAACGGAGCAAAGCCGGCGGGGCTTCGAAGTCATAAAAAAATAGAACGAACTTACAATAGATAACGCTCGCAAATTAATTTTTTTTTTTACCAATTTAATTTCGAGGTACTTCGGATACATACAATTATGAATCCGCAAATATTCTTGTATATTGAAAAACAAATTGAAACAAAAGGACATTATTTACAGAATGATAGATGTTATTTAGTAAACATTAATTAATCATATTAAATTTATAAGAGATGCAACGTAAAGAAACGATTTGTCGCGATTTCTGATAATTAATCTATTAATTCGCATCAGGATTTAAAAGATATAAGAGTTCTGTTTTTAATTTTACGTTAATTTAAGAAATATTTAAAAAATTAAAAATTTACCTAGTTGATTGCGTAAAATGTCGTATCGTATAAACGCTCGTTAAATCTGGTTTTATAGCACCATTACAGCAGTTGATATAAAAAACATATAACATAGTCTACACAGATTAAAGCAGGTTCTGCAGGTTTAATTAAGAATTATAATGAGTGCAGTAGGCGACTCATCTTATTAAAAACAATTTTTAATCTCATTATTTTTATAATTATATATGTATAAAACATTATAGAGATAAGATAAATAAAGTTTTAAATATTTATGCTGATAACTTCGCAATAATACATAATATAAAGAATTTAATGATGTTTTATATACATAATTCTAAAAATAATAAAATTAAAAATTGTTTTAAATAAGAGTCGCCTGATATGTATTCATATTAATTCTTAATTAAACCTACAAAACCTGCTTTAATTTGTGTAGACTATGTTTATACGTTAAAAAAAAAAATAAGTAATTTTTTTTTATCAGTAATAAATTCGTCGAGCAAATGTTAAATGTGCAACGTTTTGCTGTACTAATTGATTTAATACTTTATATAAAAATATATATATATATATATATATTTTTTAAATTAACGCTCCATAATTACGATTTAAACAATTTCTCGGTTTTCTTCTTTCCTATTTGTATTTCCGACCAACTTGAATATTTATCGAGCCCATTTTCTAGCATGATGATAACTCTCCTATGATTATTCATCATTTCTACCTAGTCATTGTTATCTAGTATAATTAGTTAATTATTTATTCATTCGCCTAGAAGAGAACAAGGAACAAGGACGTTTTAGCATCACAAAACAGTTACAGTGGAACAGTTTTTCACATTGTTGAACCGATAGTCTCATATATCAAGCCGCGAGTATTAGACTAACAAACAGAGCTAAGTAAAAACTTATCCAGGGTCAAATACATCTGCACACGTGGCATGTATAATGACTTTCTATTTTCTACTTGTTACTCAAACTTGTTTCCTAAAAGAGATAACCTCCACAAATATCGCATAATGGCCTACTTGGAAGAAACGAAGAAATGATTAAAATAAAAAACAAGTGTGACTAAATATTGGAGAGGGAACCTTTTGCCACAGGCTATATATACACAGAATTAAGTACGTGAATTTATTTCTTTCCTTCGCAGTCGACTCGTATAGCGCATCGCTAGTCGCGTTTGGCAGCCGAGATTTGTAGCGAACAAAGAGAAATTTTATCATCAGTTTTTGTCAATCTGTTTATATAATCAGTCATTGTGACATTTTCATAAATTAATCCAAATTACGTGCGTAAGAGGTAAGCTCTATTTGATTTTTCCTTCCTGTAACTCTTCGCCGTATACCTCTTCCGTTTAGAATTAAGAAGTACAATTATGCTGAATGTAAGAAAATGAAGCCTAAAAGGATTTGTAGTAAAAAAGATTTAGGTTTGCAATATTAGTTACATATTATTAATACTTAAATCTTAAAAACTCTATAGGTATGCAATGTATAAAACTATTAAAAAATGTATTGTTTCAGTGAATAAGATTCCTTTATCTTATTCAGCAAGAGTAACTAACAAAAATGGCAGAGACAGAACAACAATGTATGGAAATAAAACTCTCTGTACCCTGGGGTCACGTTGCTGCCAAAACCTATGGCTCTCCCACAGGAAAGCCAGTCTTACTAGTGCACGGACACCAAGATAACTTGGGATCTTTTACTAGACTGATGAAGTATTTACCAAAAGAATTATTTTATTACGTATGCATAGATTTACCTGGCCACGGATGGTCGTCACCCTTTCCATCTTGGATGATGATAGACATAACAGTTTACACACACGGATTATATTTCATCTTAGAAGCCCTGCAGTGGAAAAAGTTTATTTATATAGGACACAGTTTAGGAACGCAAATAGCTTTCATGTTCAGTATTTTTCAACCAAATAGAATCAGGAAGTTAATTTCTCTTGATGGGCTTCTTATGGGTCACCTGAAGGAAGATTATGTACTACATTTTTATATAACATCTACACTTGTAGTAAAAACTTATCATAAAACCGAAAAACCGCGGTCTTACACTAAAACAGAAATATTACATGCTCTTAAGACTATGAGGATGTCACCTTTAAATTCCGAAGCTGCTGATGCGCTGTTTGAGCGTGCAGTTACGAAAATAAATGGGAATGGGAAGTATATATATAATAGAGATTTGCGATTAAGACATCAACCTCTTTTATTTATGAATATGGAAGAATGTCAGAAGTTTAATAACAAGCTTTCAGTTCCAATATACCTCTTTCTTCCATCTCACGGTGTTCTTCGTAAACATGAAGAAGAACTTAAATTAGTGTTGGAAACGATAAAAACTAAAACCATGTTGGAAATAATTAATATAGACGGAAATCATGACGTTCATAATAATAATCCCGAAAATATCGCGCCATTTGTATGTGAAATATTGAACAGTGACAATTTCAGCAAACTGTAGACAATTGTGTGTCTGTGTATTAACAGATTGCCTATTTAAGTTAGAATTTTTCATGGAAAAAACAATTGATAATGTCCTCTAAAAGATTTTATTATATATATATATATATATATATATATGTAATATATTGTATATGTTATTATAAATAGTCCTAATTTACGCATGAAAATTGTGTGGAATGAGTCAAATAATTGAATTTTAAAAAATATATTGTATATATAATACGCATATAGGTATACTGTATATCTATATTTGTACTTCTCGTATGCAATTTACATTTTACAATGTTAATATTTATTCAACTGGTGAGGTAAGGTATTGTAAGGTATCATATAAAAAATAGTTATAAAATGTATTGCAGTAAAAAAGATATTGTATTATAAAAATTGTATTTCCCATAGGAAATTTGTATAAAATTGTAAAATAGTTTATTCTTGTAAATTTTTACAAATTAAGTATTGTAATTTTCACTAAACCTTTCATTTGGTGGACTTTAATTTTTACTTCTTTATCTCTCAGAATAATATCTCTCAGTTTATCTTCGAGGACGATTGCCGTATGATTCATGAAAGAATCATTCTTCTTTGTATCATGTACGTGATATGGACTGAGCTGAACCTTGTACCAACATATTAAGGCATTTGGCAAAATTTTTCCTTTGTTACTTATTTCGCCAAAATTTACGATTGTTTCGGTAGTCTCGGTTTCATTTATTTCTGCCAGTATTTGCGTCTCAGACATAATCTCACATGAATATAAACTCGAATTCAAATCGAATATTTGGTTGATCTGTAGCAAAATAAGGAAATGAAAATCGATACCTTCAGACTAGAGTATTTTAAGTGTGGACTTACCTTATATTTGTTTATGTATTCAGCGATTATGTAATTTGTACTTTTATTATTGGCTATATTATCCCGCACATGCAGATCATCCTCGCTGTCCGAGCTCTGAAAAGAAAAACCTATTCTTTATTTTACTGTTATTAGAGAGGCAAGCAAATTTTACAAAATTTTATTTTTAATAATCATACTCTCATAAGATTGTACCGTTTATTTAAATATAAATTACATAATTAAAAATATTGCATCGTTATACCGTATCAATGGAGGTACCGAATGAACATGATCTTTGAAGATTTGCATCTTGTACATAAACCATATTGGGTAAATCTTCCGAGTACACTAATTGTCCCATAAGGAAAATCTTTTCCGGCAATAACACGCCGTTCGTTTTAAGTAAGTTCCTGAACCAATGGATAATTTAAAAGATTTTAATACTACATAAATCATACAATATATAAATATTACATACAATATATTACCTGGAAATTTCATAACTATCTTGATCATCTTTCAATTCACCTTTAATATCAAAGTTATGAATAAATATGGAATCTAGAAAACATGGAATTTCCTCATAGTTTGATATCATCTGCACTTTCCCTTGCAGTCCGCTATCACGGGCTATTTGTTCAATCAGAACACGTAGCGTTGGATTGTCAGTTTTGTAATATAAAATTTCGCTATCTTTACATTCCTTTAAACGAGTCAATCCGTAGATTGGAAAAGGCGAAGTATCCAAAATATATTTCATTTTTCTATTCTCTTGAGATCTACCAATTTCTGTGAGCAGTTTGACGTAATCGAAGTCATTTAGGAAGGCAATGACTTCTTTTGGCAAATGATACAAAGTTGTACAATTCTCATTGAATCGCGCATTACCCGCGCTATAAGAACATTTTAGTTTGCCCTTCAAGGTTTCCGCTTTTATCGTCAAGACGTCACCTTCGCGACATACGGTCGGCATCGTCGGGAAAACAGCAAATTGCCAACAAGATTTTCCATCCGAGGAATCCAACATGATCTCCTCGTCAAGATGTAGCTTGAACCAAGTGACTAAACCGTCTATGATACCGTCGTATCTACATTTTGTTTGTAGCATCTGCTTTATCCCATCCTTGCAGAATTCGTACAATTCTAGCAAATTGTTAAAGTTTACATTAAAGAGCACGTGTGGCTCTGTGACGTAATTAATTTGAACTTTTTCCAGGTTTTCCGTATCGTAATATTCGTCGTCTGACAGTATAGACACGTTGTCAAAGTTTAAAGGACAGTGATATTTTACTTTGTCAAAAACCACCGACGATCTGTATCTAATGTATTCACATTCAATGGCTGCTGTGTAAACCGTCGCGCCCATAGGTATTACCATGCCATTTAAATCTAAAATGTTCATGTGCACGTTAATCATAGACGGTATTACAAGCTCTCCAAATAAGCCAGCGTCAAACGTTTCAGTCACTATTAATTTTACTCTAGAATTACATGATATATGGTTTTAGTATTAATCAAGGTATAATATTGTAGTAATTGATTAAAGCGAACAATTATTAAATGGTATATAAGTACATACTGTATTCTGAATATATATACACACACATATATACAAACCTTTCTGGAATATCTGCAGGTACTTTAAGATCGAATGATAGTTTTGGTATTAATTTTATATCAGTCGCATTATTAGATTCAAACACTTCCTTCGCAATCAGCATCATCGCTTCAGAGCATTCGCATGCGTAAACTTTCGTTGCTCCAGCATCTTTTGCGTACAGACTCAAAAGACCCGTACCAGTCCCTACGTCCAATACCGTATCATATCCCTGACTGACTCTCTTACGTATGGCCTTCTCAAAAGCATTGTTTCTCTGCTTGTCATTTAGCATCGTGAAATGCCACCTGTCCACCGCCATACTATACGCATTTTGCAAGTTTCGCTCTGCCGGTAGAAAGTTAACATCAACTTTCAAAGCTCTTTTTAAATATTCTATCGCCCTTATGGGATCGTTATTCCTTTAACAAGTATATGCGGCATTCTATGAGTCTTTTAGATCAGGAATTGTAAGAATTTATTGTGAAAGCTATTGAAAAATTAATGTTTGTGCATAATACGGCGTGATTACCTTAACAAGTGCGCCGCAAAATTATTTAGCATACGAGGGTTATTTGGGTAAATACTCAAGGAAACTTTGTAGCAATTTACAATGTCTGAAAATTTGTTTTCTTTCGCTAACTGCATTCCCCATTCGCCTGCAAATTAAATATCATATATATAAAAAAAAGTAGACGTTTTTATCTCATAAATATAAATACAAGTTCTATACATATGTAAATACTATATCTTACACAGCACATCTGTAAACGTTTCTTCAATCTCCGATCTCCTTGCAGATAGTTCCGCAAAGATAATGTAATATGCAAAAGCTTTTCCAACATTTCCATTCCTGTCGTATTCTCTGGCCTTTTGCAGCGACTCTTCCAATATGCCATTTACCTCTGCTTGCATTTTGCATCGATTAAAATTCTCTTTACCTCGTTCGCGCTAGTTTTATTACAATCGTCTCTTAAAAAAAGCTTCAAATTGACTGTTATCACGTCGAAGGAATGATTATGTAGATAATTCAAATTAACAGTATTGCACGCAAACAAACACGTCTATATACGGCAAGTACGAGATTAACCTAACATTTGTTTACTTCGATTCGTATTGCGAATTGCGAACAAAGCTGTCAACTTTCTGAAAATAAAATACATATGTCGTAACGAAAAACAGAGCTGCGTTCCTAAAGGCGTTCAAAAATAGCGCTCGCAGGTGTTGCTGCATTTTGTCCAATTTTGAAATAAGTTCGTTATAGATAGAAAATCGAAGATTGCAAATTACAAATTACAATTAATTAATCAAAACAAAAGATTAAAATTGATGTTATCCGATTAATCGAAATCTAATCTTAAATTTGCAATCTTTCGCCGGTATTCATATTAGTCGGTTCTTATTTTCGTATGTCTTAAGATGCTAATACGGCTCTGTGATTGGTTCATAACATCTTAAGATCGTATAAGATTCGACTATGAATACCGACCTTTGATCTCTAATGGCCGCGTTCAGCAGACACAACTGTTGAGTTCGTCTTATTAACACTCAGCGTTGATTGGTTGGTTTTAAAAGTAAAAGCCAATCACGTTCGACTGCTACTGAGCGGCTTGGTCTGCTGAACACGACCATTATTTTTGCAACGTCGATGCGTTCCAAAACTCATAAAGAAAAGGTATCATAACGGCTCCCGCTCGCAAAGCGTGTGCGCCCATGCATATATATATGTGTGTACATACATATATACATACACGTCATACACACCATATATAATATATACTTTATACACTCACTGGGAAACACATCTGCTCCATAATCGTATAATCAAACTATATATGTATACCCAATACAGAATAAACGTTCAAACATTAATTTGTTTTCTTCTCGTCAAACCTGTTAAAAGGAATTGAATAACAGTACGTCAATAATATTCGAAAAGATACTTAACTTAGTACGCAAATTTAGTTTAAATAATACAAAATTTATGTACAAAATTCGGACGTGAAATAAATTTGTGCTATTTTTCTACTTCAGTAGAACATTTCTAATTTGACCGAATAAGAAATTAAAAGAAAATTATTTAAATCCTTTTTTATTTTTGAAAGAGCAAGTAGACTCTGTTCGTGACGTTCAGACATTCTAGAAAATCCATTATTGAAATTAATTAATCAATCATCTGACAACGATGAGATATTCTATCGCGTTTCTCTTCGAAATTTTCTCGTCTTTTTCGTCTTGCAAATAATTTATTATATTTCATGTCGTGGCTTTCAATCATTGACGTTTAACATTAACCGAGGACACGTGCGATACGTCTTCCAGCTACCTCCTGGCTAATTCTCGGGCGAGCCGAGTTCTAGCATACAAGCAACGTATAACTGTACTTTTATCGTCGACAGACATGGCTATTACCGGCGTGGAGTGCATTCGAGCGAAACACGAGGCGGAATCAGATCATTGAGATCATGAAACGTTCGGCGTACCTACTCCCTGGAAATAACGTTAATTATCTAGCGCGAGGACGAGGAATTAATTGCAGCGGAATCATATGCAGCGAAAAATCAATCCGCTTGACTCGAGACGGCTCGATCATCAATCCACCGGGTCCTCCCTTCGTCAGACAGACACGGTTCCGTGGGCGGGTTTCCGTTCTGCCAAAAAAAGAAATGACCGGAGAGAAACGATATTCAGCCGTGCCACGCGAAAGATGCGGCCCATATATGGTGCAATTGGGACGAAACGACATTCGTGCCCCCGCCTAGCGACAGCGAAACGAGATTTCGCCAAAATTCCGCGCCGAAACCCGCTTCGTTGTTCCCGAGGGTCGATCCCGCGATCGCGTTCTTTGAAATCAGGATTGTGGGATCCGGAAGGATAGACGAGAATCGATTTCTCCACGGGGAAAAAAAAATAATTCGAACTAGCGTCAATGGGACTATATCGTCCCAGCGTGGAGAGAATTGACGATCGGACGTGATGAGTGCTGCGGTCCAGCAACCGGCCAATCGTCGCGCGGCATGACGTCACCGCCGGCCAATCGGCGCGCGCTGGAACGGTCGATTCCAGCGGGTATAAATAGCGCGCAGGAGGCGCCGCACGCCCAACAGTCGCTGGTCGCCGATCGGACGTCATACGTCGTATAGTTGTTAGCAAAAGCTCCATTACTTGCTTTCGCCAACTATCGATCGCCCCGTGGTGGCTATCTGTATCTTCGTTTTCTAAGAGGACGCTAAACGATCCCGTAATACAAAATGGTAAGCCGGCGAATCCTCGCATTTTCATTCGCGCGAGATCTGATCGTCCTGACGTGTCGGCGTCGCCCCTTGACGGCCATTTTGCGACGGTTAAACGCCGGCCGGCTGTTAAATTTAGATCGCGTCGCCCCGCCTTTCCTTTGTTCCCGATATCACGGGAGATCCGTATCGCGTGCCCAATTCTTGCTAATCTCCGCGCTTACTCATAGGAAATTGCTATGTCCGTTATACGTTTATTAAAGTACTCAAATGTTCCAGTCGGCGAACATTACGAGCCATCGACCCCGATGAGTCAGTCTAGAAAATCAATATTCTGCCTTGCTCAGTCGCGTCGTCAATATCAGTCATTCGTCACCGTTTAATAAAAACCTCAGGTATAACGCAGTTAGGTATACGGTACTAATGTCCATTTGATTCATTTCAGCGTGAGTGTATCTCAATCCACGTTGGACAAGCCGGTGTACAGATCGGTAATGCCTGCTGGGAGCTGTACTGCCTGGAGCATGGCATCCAGCCGGACGGCCAGATGCCGTCTGACAAGACTATCGGAGGTGGGGACGACAGTTTCAACACCTTCTTCAGCGAGACTGGTGCCGGCAAGCACGTACCCAGGGCTGTCTTTATCGATTTGGAACCTACTGTAGTCGGTATGTATATTTCGCCTTTACGTGACTATTCAGTATTGATACCTAAGATTGATATCTAAGTTTTTACATGTTGAAATGTTTGTGTTTGCAGATGAGGTTCGCACCGGAACTTACCGTCAGCTCTTCCACCCGGAACAATTGATCACCGGCAAGGAGGACGCGGCGAACAATTACGCTCGCGGTCATTACACGATCGGTAAGGAGATCGTTGACCTCGTGCTGGACCGCATTCGCAAGCTCGCGGACCAATGCACCGGTCTGCAGGGATTCCTCATCTTCCACTCGTTCGGTGGCGGCACCGGTTCGGGTTTCACCTCCCTATTGATGGAGCGTTTGTCCGTTGACTATGGCAAGAAGTCGAAACTCGAATTTGCAATTTATCCCGCACCACAGGTCTCCACCGCCGTGGTCGAACCGTACAATTCTATCTTGACGACGCACACCACCCTCGAACATTCCGACTGCGCGTTTATGGTCGACAACGAGGCGATCTATGACATTTGTCGCCGCAACCTGGATATCGAAAGGCCAACCTATACAAATCTTAATCGCCTGATCGGCCAGATCGTGTCGTCTATCACGGCCTCTCTACGGTTCGATGGAGCCCTGAATGTTGATCTGACGGAATTCCAGACCAACTTGGTGCCCTATCCGAGAATCCACTTCCCCCTAGTGACGTACGCGCCCGTTATCTCGGCCGAGAAGGCCTATCACGAGCAGCTCTCCGTCTCGGAGATTACAAACGCCTGCTTCGAGCCAGCTAATCAGATGGTCAAGTGCGACCCTCGTCATGGCAAGTACATGGCTTGCTGTATGCTCTATCGTGGCGACGTCGTACCCAAGGACGTCAACGCGGCAATCGCTACCATCAAGACAAAGCGCACCATTCAGTTCGTCGATTGGTGCCCTACCGGTTTCAAAGTCGGCATTAACTATCAGCCGCCGACCGTCGTGCCTGGCGGCGACCTCGCCAAGGTCCAGCGCGCCGTCTGTATGCTGTCCAACACCACTGCCATCGCCGAGGCCTGGGCCCGTCTGGATCACAAGTTCGATCTGATGTACGCCAAGCGTGCGTTCGTCCATTGGTACGTCGGCGAGGGTATGGAAGAAGGAGAGTTCTCAGAGGCGCGCGAGGATCTCGCCGCGCTCGAGAAAGATTACGAGGAGGTCGGAATGGATTCTGCGGAAGGCGAGGGCGAAGAGGGCGCCGAGGAGTACTAAAGTGCTATCGTCGCTCGGCCTTCTGTTTCACGGCTTTGAAATATCTTCATGTGTTTTGAAATAAAGTAACTGAATTCATTTGCAACACAAATTTCCGTCTATTTGATACATCCGGCCCTCTTTCCTGAATCACGATTAAGTTAACTGGCTTTTTGTTTCATAAAAAATTGTTATCTAGCTCGAATTCTTTAAAAAGATATATTCATGAAAGTTAAAAGAGATACGTGCTTAGTATGTATTTTTTTCACTTCAAAACGTGCATATATTTTTCATAAGAGATTTTTATGTAAGTAGGAAATAGTGAGATGATTATGATACTATTGAAAAAATAACGTGTATATTTTGCAGTAATTCGTTTTACAATAGCAATTTGTGATCAGACCTATATACATCCGTAAAAAACATTCACATGATCCTTCAAATTTAATTTAATTTAAATTTAACTACAATACATTCTGTAAAAAGATAAATTATCTAATTAGATTTATCCACGATCAACTGTTTATAAAAAATCATCCAATAATATATATTATGTAAATTTAAAAATCAAATGTATAATTTTAGCATTGATGCAATCATCTATTCATGATTGTAATTTTCCAACATGATTCCATCATCTATTCATGATCTGTAATTTTTCCAACATGATTTCATCATCTATTTATGATCTGTAATTTTTCCAAAATGATTCAATCATCTATTCATGATCCGTAATTTAGCAACATTGATTCAATCATCGTATTCCAAGACAAAATCTTCATCATGGGCGTATTCTTCATCCTCTGAATAATAATCCAGGTATTCGGCAGGAAAATCGAAATCGTCGTCGTCGTCCAGTTCGTCAGGTATCGCACCGCGATACAACATGTTGAAACAATTGGATTCTGGATTTCGAAAGTGTAAGTAAGGCGCCTCGGGATTCAGCCGTGTGCCGCACAGCCAACAGAAATACGTGCCGCAGTGCGAACACGTCATCTTGTTACAACCGTCAGATTTCTGAAACACGTCGCCGAAATATGCGTTAATTTACTCGACAACAAGCGTAATCTTATCTGTGAAGAAAAGTTTGACTTTGTACCTCGATTGCAGTTTTGCAGTGCGGGCAATTGTGACTGTTATCATTAATCCAATTTTCAGACATTACATTCTCTATCAACGTTTGAAGCTGTTTCTTGCCGTAGTGCTTTTCCATTTCGGCTTTCTTTTCGTTGCTGGCTGATTGATATTCTTTCAATAATCGTTGTTTCTCAGCTATTAATGAAACCAACGCACGACGTATATTAGTACGTTACATAAAATATAATAAAAATTTGAATGAATTTTTTGTTAACAACTAAATGGTACAAGAGCGAATAGCTTGTTGTGCAAAATGCAAATTGTCAATGAGATTTAGGCGCGTACCTGAACTAATTTTACAGGATTCTATCCCATGATAAACCATCTTGCAACGAATACAGAATGCGTACTGACAAACGGGACACCTTGCCATATTATCATCAGGATCACGAGTGACTGGATATTGACAATGTCTTCTTGGACAGTAAACTATATCCATCATAGTATCTAACGTAGTACTTAACAATAAGGAATCATACTTTGAGAACAACTCCGAACTTACCAAATCTTTTACCTGCAACAAAGCCAATGGTCATAAATGCATTATGTAATCGGCAATGCATACTCAATAAAATTTATGTAATACAGCGCGAAATAGTTACCTGACCAGGCGTAGCCTCAAACTTGCATTTTTCTTCGGGACAAAAAATATTCTGTACATTTCCCTCTTTGATCTTGACTTCAAAATAACCCCTGACGCAATCTTTACAGAAGGTGTGAGCACAAGGCAGGAACTGCGTGCAATGCTCCCCTGACTTGTCGGTGAAGCAGATGTTGCAGGTGTAAAAATTTTTTTTGAATTCAATCTGCTTTCGTTTCTCATTGTAGTCGATCAACACTTGGATGGGGTTACTGCCGATCGGACAGTCTAGAATGGCCCTTTTGTCAATGACACTGGTTTTCTTCGACATGCTCTCTCGGTTGGCTTCGCTGTTACTCTGCCTGTTAGGCTCGCTCGCTTCCTTGTTCGTCTGCGAGCCTTGCAGCTTCTCTACCGTTCTCTTGTAAGACGTGTACATGCAGTCCATATCCAGACGGTCTTTTATCTTTAAGAAGCTAAGCGTTTTATCCTGGAGGAACTCCACCCACGTGAACAAGATTTCCTGCTTGCTGCTCTCCCACAACGAGTCGAGCTTTCTGCATAACTTAGACAGTACAACCGGGTATAACCAAGAGGAGCATAACATAAACGTAGGGGCCGACTTGGATGGATAATCCTCCGGCAGCGTGACGTGCAGCGTCAAGGGTGGGAGATACGATATCTGTACGTCCTGCGCCAGGTCCTCCTCGTGCCTCAGATCCTTGTACGACAAGTGACATTTCGCCGGTAGACTCACAAATATCTTGAAGGTGCATTCGAACCGGCCGTTCTCCTCATGATACGAGAATTCCTCTTCAGTGTAGATGCTTTCCAACGCGGTGACCTCGTCCTTTTGTTTCTCGCAGTCCATCGACTGAAAAACAAAACCCGATTATCGAGCTGTCACGTGTGAATCTCCTCTGACGAGAGGCGAATCCCTTGCTCACCGAATCCGGAGGCTCGGGGCGCGTCAGGCGTGCGACGTGGTTGAGACGTCAGGTCTCACGATTAAATCGTCACGCACTTTGCGATCTGGCTGACTGGCTGTCAAAAACGGTGCATGTTGCGGACGAGGAGGATTCAAGTTTGAGGGTTATGCGACGAGACACGAGTACCCAAGTCCACGATGACGCTGCGCGTAGCGGTACTGCAGCTGAACACTCTGAACAGCGCTCGAGTGCTCCTGGTCTCTGCTCTCTAGTCGACTCGAGTATTTTGTATTTTTTCGCGTTTACGACATGACAAAAAGTCGACAGACATATGTAAAAGCATACTATTTAGAAACATTAAATAATTAATATAATTATTATTCTATAAAATTAATTTTAAATAATGATCGAATATTAAATATTATAGTGGTATTATAAATTAAAACAGATAACAAAAAATGAAAATCCTTGTATAAGAGGTTCTACTGCGGAGTATCGATGAAATAATTAGACGCGAGAAAATAATTACAATAAAAAAGGAGATGAACTTCAAAGTTCAGAGGGAAAGGGATCAAAGTTTTTATTAAAAGAATCTTTTTATAGCTACATTAAATTTCAGTTTGATAATATTCATTATTATTTATTATCGCTAAATCCTGAAATCCTCTCTCAGATCTTTCTCTTCAGTGGCTTCAGTGTTTCAGTCTTCGATTTCCGGCTCCGAGCCCGAGCTCCGAGCTCCGAGTCTCCTGATCGATCTCGTCGTCCTCGATCGATCTTCGAGACATTGCGATACGGCGCATATGGCGGCGCCCAGGAAGTAAATATGCGGTGTGCGTGTAATCAGTGCGAGAATGATGCACGGTCTCAGTGTCGATGTAAGAAAACGCGTTCAAGATCAACACGAAGCAGGAGGATCGGCCTCTCCGTTTATCGCGGTTGCTTATCGCCCTTGAGCGCGTCGCTGATCCGTCGCAGGTGCGCGAGAAGTGAAATCGGTATTTAGCGCGCGGAACGCGGAATACGCGCACCGCACGACGATGAACGAGAACGAGACGTGGAAGTTGTTGCTGCCGATATGCGTCAACGCGGTGATGTCTGTGTGCGCGTACGGCTTGACCGTTCGCCTGATCCCGAGGATAAAACCCATGTTCGTCAAGGCTAACCTCTACGGCGTCGACATGAGCAAGAGGAGCAGTGGGAAAGTGTGAGTGGGACGTAGGATATCGGAATCCAACGCTGCTCGAGCCTCCCAGAAACCGAGCTGATCGACTCCACGTTTTATACTTAAATACATTTCGAAACTTTAGTATCGGTTGCACATGACTGCAACTTGAGTTTTTCTCGGCTTTCTCTCTCACGGAGTTGATCCGGTCTGTTTTCCAAGAGGCTCGTTTTGTACGAAACACGCTCGTTGTATTCATATGTTTATCTGTCGATCGTTACACCACGAGATGCTCGGCACCCGACTGGGTTTATTCTTGCAGACCAGAGGCGATAGGCGTTGTCACCGGATGCGTGTTTCTCGTAACAATGTTCATCTTCATTCCCGTGCCGTTTACAGATTGTATATTTAGCAACGTAAACTTCCCACATGACAAGGTACGGCGACGAGTGTCAGTCAGGAGCTAAGCGTAATTTCTTCTCTCCGATTCTGGTTTTAGAAGATTAAGTTGAGATTGGCTTTGAATAACTTTAGAAATGGCTACGCCTAATCTAAGAATACAAGATATAATTGTATTACAATATATTATATATTCTATATTGTGTTATATCTGATTTTAAAATGTGTGCATAGATTTATAAGCAATGTAGAACGCGCGTTTTCTATTACAGTTTGTTGAATTTCTGGCTGCGTTACTGTCCATATGTTGCATGCTACTCCTGGGATTTGCCGACGACGTTTTGGATCTTCGTTGGCGGCATAAACTACTTCTGCCCACCGTAGCATCTTTGCCATTACTGATGGTTTACTATGTTAACTTTAACTCCACGATAATCATCGTACCAAAACCGTTGAGATCGTGGCTTGGTTTCTCGCTGGACTTGTGGATTTTTTACTACGTATATATGGGAATGTTGGCGGTGTTTTGCACAAACGCTATAAACATATTAGCCGGGATAAACGGTTTGGAGGTCGGACAAAGTTTAGTCATCGCCACAAGCATTCTCGTCTTCAATGTTGTCGAGCTATTTGGCAGTCAATGGAAGGCGCACCAGTTTTCAATATACTTTATGCTGCCTTATATAACAACTTCCCTCGCATTATTCAAATTTAATTGGTAAGTTGTACTAAAAAAAACTGTTCTTATGAATAATTTCTAATTTGTAAAATACCACCTATAATAATGATTATTTGGTTTGTGATAATATGTAACGTATTATGTGGAAGGGATCTTTTTTTTTTTTTTTTTATAAGGGAGTTTTGAATTTCCAAGCGTGGAAATTTATATGTATAAACCATTTAACATTTATATTTCGTCAACGTAATATTTTAGTGTATAAATTCAGTATAATATTACATTAGTGTACATTGAGTATTGAGTATGAGTTAATATCACAGTCGGGTGCGACCAGTACGTCAGTAGTAATCTAGTTTAGCGTAAAAATTGTCTACCAGCCAGTCGTACTTCCACGTGTTATTGAGAATCGTTTCTGGCGCGAAATAGGAATCCCTGGACTTAGAGACTCTCAGAAGACCAGTTTTGCCGTCCAACCACAGTCCGCTACCTATTAGGTCCTCGACGAAGGGCACGTCGATAGTCTTCTCGATATAAATCTCCTTAGACTGAACTTTATTGCGAAGACCGATAATAATATTCGCGGGCGCCTGGCACAGATTGCAGTACCACCCGCCGTAGTGGTTCAAATCTCCTATGACTAATCCTAAAATATCTCTCTCGCTGGTGTCTCCATCCAACTGTTGCCGCAATACAAGCGAGTTGGATTGATAGGCGTTGCGCATTAAACCGACGGTGTACGCGCCGAGCGTGATCGTTGTCTTGAGCGGATGCTGCCAGAAGAAGCCGTATATCGACCATCTTAATCTAAATCCGATGGGCTGAGGCCAACCGTCGTACACCTTGAGGAACATTAATGCCCTGGAGTTTAATATCTGTTCCGGCTCCGTCGTCACGTAGATATCGTCGTCCCTTAAATTCTGCACCACGGTCCTGATTTTATCCCAAACGTATTTTGATACTATCCTGGATGGTTTGCGGGACTTGGTTGCCACGTTGATGTATAGAATCTTCTTTTGCTCCCGCTGCAACAGTCCCTTGGACAGTTTGTGCCGGAAATTATCCTCCGCGTTGTTGAAATCACATATTACAAAAAGGTCCACCACGTTATAGAGTTCCTCCACTATCACCTCGGCGATCGCCGAGTTGTAGTCGCTTAGAAAAAAGATGTGAATAATGTGTCTGGTGGTCTTGCGACGTTTTAGGCTAACGTTCTGTTTCGATGCCATGATTGCCCTCCATACGACTTCCGGTTGTCCGCAATCCAAGCCGTGCCATCCTTGATTGCAGATACATCTTTCCAAATGCTCATTGCTCTTGGTCTTACGCTGGTCCACTCCATATTTCCAGCATACGGTACGATTGTATACTTCGAACAGTCTAAATGTCTTGACATCCTTTAACGCTACCTCTCCATTGATTGTCTGGTAAATTGGTGACTTTTTACGATTGCCCTGGTTTACGTGTAGTTCCTATTGACGAAAGAAAATAATTAGTTTTAGAGTATCTCGAGTAAATTAATCGTTAACGTTTTACATCGTCAATCACAAATTCGCAGCACCTGTGATGCTTCAAACTTGACGAAACTGACGGATGCGCGAGTCGTTGACGCAGCTAGCTCGGCCGGCGGAGTTGTGGCGACATAGATCATAACAATCAGAACTTGCAAGACCAATAGAGTGTACAGCAACGCCAGCTTCCCATCTAGACGGACCTGCATGGCACCGATCCCTGCGCTGTGACAGTTCAATTTCTCATCTTATGTTCCCGAAGAGAAATCTTGCTAGCTGTCTGAGACATCTTCGTTGAGATTATAGTCCCACGAACATCATCGAGAACAAAATCAGTAACTTAAATTTACATTTTATCAGTTTTCGACCTTCTTTAAAGGATCCATAGCATTCTCTATACCGTGCATCTCTATTTAAAGCCCACTAAAACCAGATGATATGTAACTCGTCTTAGAATACAGGATGGAATTCTATTTATAACTTTAAAAGAATCGGAGTACATACGCGTATATATATTGAACTATATGCATATACGCACGTCAAAGGAGAAATTATCTTGAAAACCGTCAGGGATTATAGATCGTCTCAAGTGGGCTTTAACATGAGAAATGCGTTGACCCCATTTCTCGACGCGACGACGTTTCTCATATTTCCCCGCATATCTTTTAGATATTCATTATTCGCACGATATTCTTTTCAGTCGTGCGAGGTAAACGGCCGGTCGCCGATCCGCCGTAGTGCAGAGAATATTTATCGCCCGCCAATTGGATTCCGCGCCTCGTTAAACGCCCCGGCAGCCTCCGCCCCGCACGCATGTCATTGCCCAGTGCCCACAACAATATTACGTAATAAAGCGTCGCTCACAATGCGGCTCGACGACGACGACGACGACGCCTTCGACGATGATCTCACCAGGACCCCGTGATGCTCGTACGGTGATGTCACCGCGGCGGGACGTGCCATTTAATTTGCGGTGCCCGTTGATCGCCGGACACGCCGATTTTAAGGCTTTGTCAGATCCCACGGCGACTACAGGACAATCGGCGACCGGCAACGCGCGACACCGCGCATACCTCTAGTCCCGTCGATAGTCGCTGCCTGACTCAGGCTGACTGGCTGTTGCGGGGGGAAATGGGGGGAAAGGCGCCCCCCGAGCTCCAGCCGCTCCAGGTGCACCTTCTGTCTCTCCCCTCCTGGCCGGGCAACGGCGCGTACCGCGACGACGTGAAAAACCACGCCCGAGCGCCGCAGCAGCCGGCGATCCCGCCCGTTGTGCTCGTCGACGAACACACTCTCGCCGATCGCGACTATCCGCAAAGCGCACGCGTCTTACGGCGGCGTCTCGCGTCTCGTCGAACCGTATCTACGTGCCACCCTTCCGCCCCGCGTTGCCATGCATGAGTAATCCGTCCTGCGGGCGAAACGGACCCGCCCATGAGTCAGAAACTAGATCATTAATTCGAGAATTAGCTAGTCAGGCTCGAGGAAAAGCGGCGGCGGCTCTCTCTTCACAAATCGCAGCCAGAAGCCCGCGCGTTTGTAGTCATCATGGTGGCCACCTGGTCCTCGCTCACAGTTGCTAAGCAATGGCGCTCGATTTCTCATCGGGGCGATGCCCCGCACGTGTTTCACACATGTTTACGACTTCCCGTATTTGCATGGGAAAAAATATGCATAATAAGATAAAGCACGCTGCTGCAAAAGAGATATAATACAGACTGGGGGGAGGGGGGTAAATGGCATAATGATCCCCTCTGTAGTTTGTATTCGCGTCAATATATATATGTGAATCTCTATATATTTATAATTTATAATTTATTAATATATTTTATAATATATGTATATATTTAATTTGTAATATACATGAATTTACGATTATTAGATGTTTCGAGGTCACGTTGAGGTAAAGGAATAATGGTGCTTTGTTCAAGGTATCCATCGCAGGTTTTCGTGGGTGACACGTTTTGCTATCTATCGGGAATGACTTTCGCTGTCGTCGGTATCATAGGCCACTTCAGCAAGACGACCCTATTGTTTTTCATCCCGCAGATAATCAATTTCCTGTATAGCGTGCCACAGTTATTTCATCTTGTACCGTGTCCTAGACACAGATTACCAAAGTAAGTTCTGAACATGAAAGACGATATTCCGTCAGAAAATTCCATTCCATAGAAAGATCTACTCATAGCGTATATGTACATTTTATACGCAGGTATAATGAAAAGATGGATAAATTGGAGCCTAGTGTAACTGTATTTCACAAATCGGAACTTAATGTACTAGGTATTATAGCATAATTTATCTTATATAAGGAAAAGACCGTTTGTGTTGTTTAGAATTATATTTTACTTTACTAGGAAGGCTGTTAATGTATATATTTAAAACATTTAAATTGATAAAATGGCAAGAAGACAAGGGAGGTATTGTGACCTGCAATAATTTAACTTTGATTAATTTTATACTGATCAATGCTGGTCCATTGAAAGAACCAACGCTAACTTCAATTTTACTGATAATTCAGGTAATTAAAAAAAAAATAAATGTATTTAATTAAAAATATATAAAATTAATATCTTTTTTTAGATTGTCAGCAGCATGATGGCATTTGTTATCAGATATCCTTTGGCTTCCATATTTTACGATGTTTAAATAAATAAATTAAAATAATATTTGAATGCAAGAATAAAAATATATTAAAATTGTAAAAATCTCGAGTTTATCGCAATTATTATCAGTGATCATACTATTTCTTACATCTTTCCTAATTTCCTATTTCCCTTTCATAGAATACCAAGATTGTGCCATAAATTTTAAGGATCCTCAAATTTTCATGGTTTTAAATACAAAAGTATATATTACAAACATTTATTTTATCAATACATTATTTTCCGCACATATGATAAAATAAGGAATAACCATAAAATAACTTCTGTATAAGTTTCTCTCTATTATACAAACTTTATATATGTATATAACTTTATTAAAAATAATCGCATAAAAAGATTTCGTATGAATTTTCAATAATAGGCTATTTTTAACATGTAAAGTATTCTAAGCAAAGATACATAAATATACTTCATTCTTTAGGAATTAAAAAATTTGTGATTATAATTATAAAATTACTCAAATAATACACAACCAATTTTAATGTCTGCACAAGCACAAAATCTTACAAAATAAAATTTGAGCAATTCTAAATAACTGTTTATCATGCTAACAAATACTTTAAAGCTTTGATGATCTATAACTAGTACATTGTATCACTAACTTCTTTGTGTAAGTCAGATCAAATGTTAGAACTAAAAGTAGTTATATATATATGTATATATAAAAAATAATGCGGTATAATAATGCAAAACTATTTGCATATTTCAGTTTTTGAGGTACCCTGTATGATATTGTGATGATTGATGTAGTAACATAAAATTTGATTCTTGTAGTTTAGTAACAGTGGTCTTTTATTTTTAATTTCTTAATAATTTAGAACATGGAATTCGGGATGAATCGAGAGGACGACCGAATGACGTCCATACCTAATCGATTCTTTATATTAAGTTGTGTTTTCGCAGCGTCTCTCAAGCTGTATATGTGTGTCAGTTCCATGAATGTACGACATAATACCAAAGCCCTGTCAAATAATATTATTGCTTCCTCTATATTTCCTCTGTGAAAGAAAAAAAAATGAATTTAGAATATATTTTTATTAGAATATCTTCGGATTTTTCAGTCACGTATGTGATCGCAACTGGATCACTTAAATAATTCCAACATACATGCAATAATCATTGTGAACAATTACGTTGGAAACATACCTTTGTACTTCGATACTTGCTAGTGATTCATATGCAAGCTCGCATTTCTCGTCCAATTCTATCGCTTTGTAAATGTATTCCACAGCTTTATCAACATTACCATTCCATTGCAATTGCAGTAAACCTCTGTGCACATAGACAGTTGCGTTCTCCGGATCTTTCTCTATTGCTTTAGCAAAATAAGTATCAGCCTTCTGGTATTGTTGAGTTTCGGACATCATCTACAATGATTATTGAAAATTTCACCAATAAGTCAAAATGTGTACAGCAGTAATAATTTATCGCTTATTTTTTTTTAAGAAATTACAATTACGTACCTGAGCATACAATATATAACAGTATATACATTCAGGAGGATCTGGGTACTTCTCGAAAGCTCTCTCAAAGTCTCTCACAGCCGATTCGGCTAATCCTACATCTCTATTGAACATCGCAAAACGATAATCCGTGTAACATTTTTGCACATATGCTATGCCAAAGTTTGGATTGTATTCAACGACCATTTCAAAATCGAGCTTAGCTTCGTCTATTCTGTTCATGAGTAAATTTACCTAAATTGATAAAAGAAGCATCATTATCGTATTATTACATTATTTTATATGTGCACTTATACGCGTGCAAGAAAAATGTACCCAAAGACGCATACCTGTCCTCTATGATGATAGATATCGCTACAAGTTGAATTCATACTAATGGCTAAATCAAAGTCTTTAAAAGTCATTTCGGGATTATCGAGTTGCATGTATAATGTCGCTCTCTTTATCAGGGCGTTTATCTTCACGTCATCGGACGCATCTTCGCTGCTCAATATCGTTTCAAAATCTTGGATTGCAGCATCGTGTTCGCCCAAAAGTAAGTGAAACGTAGCTCGTAATAATAGCACCTCTAGTTTAGATGAAGGTAACGTGTCAAATTCGGGGTTTTTAATGATTTCCGTGCACAGCGGTATTATGTCATCGTATTCCGTGTCTTTCAACGCTTGTAATGGTTTTTTGAAAAATCTGATAATCAAATCACGAACATTACATTAAAAAGTAAACATCAAAATTATCAGAAACTGTCTCTTCTGCCGATACTTACTCTGGAATATTTTCCGGATGCTGAAGTCTAGAAAACACTGGATCCTTGGGAAAAGACATAATGTAAGTTTTGATGAAATGCTTGCTTGGCATTATAAACTTTTTGTTTGCCAAATTTTCCTGGGCGTGTTGTTTCCCTGAAAATAATTTTTACTCAATTTTACTTAAGTTACTAAAAAACTATACCCATTTTCATAAGGGTTTTGAGCTATCCCAGTCATCAATCACATATAATTTTGTAGATAATAATGGTAGTAGTATTTTATTTAATATCAAGTGCTTTTGTGTACGTTGTAACTCACCAAGTTTTTCCAAGACCTTATCTGCCAATGAAAGGGAAGTCTGATTAGAAAAGCCTTCGTAAATACATGCGGTAGTCACGTCTTCCAAGGCAGCTTCCAAGTCTCCTATCTGCTCTAAAGCACGCGCCCGACGTAGCAAAGCTTTTGCATATCTTGGATTTAATTCTAACGCTTTTGTACAGTCTGCTTTTACAGCACTATATTTTTTCTGTAAGTTGCAATTACAATTGTGTAAAAAAACTTATATATCGCAACAACTTAGACAATCGATTAAAATCATATTTTCATGGCTTATCATTAGTATAATCAATTTTATTACCAATTGCTCATACGCAGCCGCTCTATTTTGATAAAAAGTCGCGAGATCCTCCACGTTTTCTTTTGGACAAACGTCGATTGCTTTATTATATCGAGCAATAGCCTCGTCATATTTTCCCGTTTTGAAATGTACATTTCCTTCATTCTTATACTTCTGCGCCTTTTGTAAAGGAGTCTAGAACAAAAGAATTTGCTCAGGTCAGTCATGAAAGTACTGTCTTCTTCAATCTATGATATTATCTATATAATCTAGAATATTCTAGAAGTATATAATGCCACCACATGAAAGGTATTACGAATTATTTCATTTAAGTTCTAAGAGATAAACAAATATATACTAAGAAAGCCTTGATCGACCAGAAAAGTCCACTTATCACCTGCACAAACTACGTATCTTACAATCACAATCTTATTATCACAAAGTTTAGCAGCATTTGCTGGCAGTATTATTTACTTAAAATTATCGCTCCTGATAACAGCATTTCAACACATCAATGGTATAATTACGACTACCAACGATACAGGGGAAGTAAACGAATTTATCACTCATGACGTTTCTTAGAAATTAAGAGACATCGACAAACGTGACATTGATATAGCATAAGATACCCTCTTTCTTAATTTTCTTTCGGATAAATGGATTTTCGCGATCTATCGGACGTTCCCAGATAAGGCAGGCGGTCTTAACCTCCGGCTCGGCCGCGGGTGAAGGCACTTTGGGTAGGCAATCGCCGTCGATGGAGATCTGCTTGTCGGCGGGCGCGCCGTTCTCCTTGGCCGCGCCGCTCCTGAACCTGTCGCGTTCCGGCTCGTCGACCTTGCCGCTGCCGCTGTGCCTGTTCCTGTAGTACATGTAGCCGAGGCCAAGGGCGACCGGCGCCCCGACCACGAGCGCGAGCTGCCACTTCGGCAGCGGGCTGCTGCCGGCCACGCCGCTCGAGGCGGTCATTCCTACGACCGGGAATCGTTAGCCGCGGACGGTCACGACGTGACACCCAGCACCACCGGGATCGCGACGAGGAGACCTGGATAGGACGACGAATCTCTCACTCTCTCTCTCACCGACGTAGGACACCACGAGGCTGCGAGAGCACGAGGGAACGCGCGGTCCAGGCGACGATCATGCGGACGCGTCCACTCTCCACTCCTCGGTCCCGGTCCTGTTCGCGTTGCGGGCGATCTTCTCGATCGTCCTCGGCAGTCCTCGCCGTCCTCGATGCCGACGTCGCCGACGAGTATCCGGAATATTCCGGCCGGGGTATCGCGATGCGCGGCAGTCGCGTGAAAGATTCCTCGTGCGGCAGCGCCCCCTCGGCGAGTGTCGCGGCTCGCGGCCACTCCGACTTCGATTAATTAATCGATTATTTATGATATATTCATCGATCGATACCCTGTACTAGATTTTATTATTTTGTAGATAGAATAATTAATCTTTCAATAATTAATCTTGTTTAATATATGGAAGGAGGAAAAAGTTAATTAACGATGACGAACGTTACACAGCTGGAAACTTTGCAGTCGGCAATTCCGCAGAATTTGAATTAAAACGACGCGTCGAGATTCGAGATTCGCGCCGCGTATCCCGCGCGTGCGCGGAACCACGCCGGAAAGATGGCGGGCGGTCTGTCAACAGCAGCTACGTTCAGGCCGTTCAGCTACGTTTTATCGGCTGTCATGCCACTAACCCGTCGGAACTGAGAGAGTGTCGTCGTTTGACATGAAAGTCCCCGTTCGCGCGAGATCCCCGAGGAATGCTGAGCGACCGAAGTCGTGCTTCGCGTGCTCGTAGACGGCTTTCAAGGACGTAAATCTCAGGTCAGGACTATCTCCGTTTGCTCGCGCTCGTCTCGGACACTCCGGACGACGTCGCTGTCGGACGTTCGCCGCGATGGCCTTACAAGAGGACGAGAACACCTGGTGAGCCGAGATCGCGCGGCTTTCTCGCCCCGTCGGGAGACGACGCGTCTCCTCGACGAGAACGCCGAACTTCGCGTCCGTCTGATTTCCGTCGATCCGCGACGCAGTTCGCAGCGCGCGAAGCTTACACGTGAAACGTAGAGAATGCAGCGTTGCACGCGTGCAGCTGCGACAGAGCGCAGTAGAGGATGTTTTTTGTTAGCGGAGCAACGCGAATTACGTAATGTCGTTTCAAAGCTTTTGCTAATTAACATGCTAATTGATACGCTACATCCGTGTAAATCGTAGACTCAAATGGCTATATAGTCGTGCTTACGTATCCTCAATTTACATACTTTCAAATGGCAGTTTTTGTCATTTCCATTAGCTCCAAGTTGATTCCTTGTTGTTTCAGGGTGTTGGAACTGGAGGCGGCGTTGCTCGACACGGAAGCACCGTCTGCGTCTGATATATATGCCATTTGTAAAGGCCAACCCATCCCTACAAGTTTAAGACCGGACGTCTGGCTGGCTTGCCTCTACGTTACTGATCGAGGTGATCAATTGAGCCAGTTTAGCGAAGTTTACGATTTACCTGAGCAAAATATAATTCGCGACGACTGTCAACAGTTTGTCGGTGAGTTTGACGTTGAAAGGATATTATGGAGGCTTCATTTATATTTATTAACAGCTGTTTATCAAACATTGCAGCAAAACTTGGAAACGATGACGAAGATAAAGTCTCGGTGGTTTCCGATCTTGAGTCCATACTAACATTTTATTGTAAAAGTAAGTGTAAACGATACGAAAGAGGAAATGGATGGCTAGAACTATTAGGTCCTTTAATAGCTTTAAAATTACCGCGCGCTGCAACTTATAATCTGTTTGAGGCAATAAGAGATATTTATATTCCAAGGTAAGGAAGAGAATCTATGTAATAGACATCTTTTTGCTTATATACTTGAATAAATATTGTTATTAGTGTTAATATAACATTTGTTATTTAATAACAAATATTTTTTTCATGATACCTTTAACTATTTTTTTTAGAGGCGAAACATATAGCTCGGTCTTGAGACTGCTGCTTCTCTATCATGAGCCGGAACTGTGCTCCTTCCTGGACACAAAAAGGATATCACCCGATCAATATACGAAAGTATGGATGAATACCCTCTTCGCCGGTGTCTGTTCATTACCAGCGGTCTGTACAATGTGGGACCTATACTTCATGCAGGCCGATCCCTTTTTCATGCTGTTCCTCTCACTTATCATGGTTATAAATGCCAGGTTAATATTGATTAAATTGATATTTAGGTATTGTACATTTGTTCACATTATCTAAAGTAATTCTTATCTTTGTAGAGAGCAAATTTTGAGCATGAAAGACGAGGACAAACAAAGTATAATAGACGCGATAGCAGTAATGCCCTGTGCTTTGGAAGCGGAAGATGTAACCGATTTCTGTTCCTTGGCACAGTATTATGCAATGAAGACCCCAACGTCTTTCAAACAGGACTTGTATCCCGTAATGTTTGGTGAAAGCTCTGATGAGAAGCTAATATCCCACGCATTGTGTTTACCTGTATCGGCGCAAGAATTAGTAGAGAATGCTATCGAAGCTCCATCCGTACCCAATGGCACCGTTGAGTCTGTTAGATTCTTTCTCGTGGATTGTAGACCTGCCGAACAGTATAACGCAGGCCACTTACCAACGGCGTTTCATCTCGATTGCAACTTGGTAAATTATTGAATTACACAAAAGTACTTAAAAAAATTTTTTTTAGATCTATATTAAGTTAACAGTTTAAAATTTATTAAAATCACGTATGTAACTTTATAAATTTTGGTATAAAAGAAAATCAAATATATTTCTATCTTTTTTTAGATGCTGCAAGAACCTGCCGCGTTTGCTACAGCCGTACAAGGCTTACTACAAGCTCAGCGTCAAGCATTAGCTGTTGGTTCGCAAGCTGGCGGAGAACATCTTTGCTTTCTGGGAAGTGGTAGACAAGAGGAAGATCGCTACACGCATATGGTAGTGGCGTCCTTTTTACAAAAACATACACAATACGTGAGCATGGTTACCTCTGGATATCAGGGTATTTATTCTTTATTTTTTGATATACTTTGACCAAGATAAATTTATGTTCTCTTCATATATAATTATGATTTTGTTTTCAGCCATTCATGAATATTTCGGTGACGAAGTGGTGTCAAGTCTCATTGATCACACGTCGCAACATTGTCTAGTGTGTAATGCTAATATGTTAGAGGAAAATTCAAACGAAGCAAGCCCAATTAAAGTCAAAAACAACAATTCGGATCTCTTGGGCAAGATTGGATTAGCTATGAAACTAAAGAGTCAGGAAGTAAAGGGAAAGTTATTTGATTATATTGTCAATCCTACGGCAAATGTCGATAGCAATATGGAAAAAAGAGATAGCAAAGACTTGGACTATATTAGACGTCAGAGAAAGACCGCGCCTGTGTTTAGCATAGACGACGATCAAGAGATAGGTAATTACATTCTTCAGATTATCCTTAAGTGATCTTGAATTGCTTATCGTAGAGGAAACTAATTTAATCTGACGACCTGTCTCTCGTAGATATGACAATGACTAATAATGAAAGTGAAGAGCCTATCGAAGTAGTATCTATACAACAATGGATGAAGGATCCGAGGTTATTACATTCCTTTAAATGCCAAGAGGTGAAAGTTAATGGCGATCTCTGTGATAGGTGAGCAATAGATAAGAAAAAGGGATTTTCTTTCGATACATAGAGATAATCATGTGTGCACGGTTTTTTTGTTTCAGTCAACTATTGGTTACCGATAGTCATCTTATAGTACTGCGAGAAATCCCGGAGCGAAAAGGCGCCGCACACGTAATCGTGAAACGTCCCTTAACGAGTATCGTCAAAATAACGTCGAGAAAGCGGCACGCCGATCTAATAACTTTCAAATACGGTACGACACAATATAATGACACGGTTATTTCCGATATGGATAAATTTCTTATACCAAACGCGAGCGAAGCGACCAAGTTAATCACGCAACAGATCATGAGACAACTGAAAACGTCAGATTAATATTATGAACACGTATTTTATTTATAAAGCAATTTCAGCTAATGTACAGATGTTATAAAGTTTAATTTATGATAAGTTTTTTTCCTAAAAAATGTATCTTCGGTATAAACCAGTTATTTGATTTTTTTTACGATTATTTATTGAGGTAATTATTCGTTCATTTTTTATTGTATTAAATATAGTCATTTGAATCAATATAGAGATATACACTGGATATGGACAACAGAATAATTAACAAAAACGATAAACTTTAGACATTGAGTAAAAATATTTCCGATATTGTTAATTTTTGTGGGAACTACATATAATTGTATTACGAACAGATTAATTTTTATGAAAATGTCCATGTAATTTCTTATGTTTAATTAATCGGATAACTTTACGTCATTTATACTTTTTTCAATATCATGACGGTATGACTGACCTAAAAACCAATGCGTTCATAACTTTGTAAATCACGTTTATATATAATTATTGTTAGCCAAACAATTTAGAAATTAGATTTCTAATAGAAATATCTAAAGGCCTCTACTCCGAATCTTTGTTGCGTGACAATTTGCATAAAATTTTCGAAGTGCTAACGTTAGCGAAGACTATTTGATTAGATTAAGGTTCTGTAGAAAGTGGAAAATGCAAAGAGCTAAGTTGATACTAATACATATGTGCCTGCCTAATGCACATTGTTGATTGTTTCTTTGGTTGTGTTCGTGCATGGGAGGAATAAGTATTCAAAAATATTTATCTACTTTAATTGGCATCGTGGTCCTAACGTGATTTTAATATATTTCTACATGCTCGAATATTTGCATTTTATAGATCGCCATATTGCAAATGTGTTTTCGTAGGAAGTAACTTATTTATACAAATTATATAAGTGAATATTAGGTGCAATATTTGCAGGCAAATAGTACCTTTCGCAATATCTACTCTTCTGAATTTTTCAGAGCCAGTTTTAGCTATTCTACATTAGAAGAAAATACTTGAAATTTTTAAAACAAGCTTATAATTATCAATCAAATCTTTTCGGTAACAAAATATTATAAATATTATAATATTTTTCCTATTTCTTTGCAAAACTTGTGCTTACACAAGATATATATATTTTTTATAATATCAATACTAAAACGAAAGTATGTAAGGTATCCCTGAAATTCTTAAGTGAATAAAATCCCAAAGTTTTACTTCAGGGAAGCTCTGTATCTTCTTTAATTTATATTTGTGATAAGTTGTAGTAGTTAATATTGCATATTACTTGCCTCTTATAATCTATGAGAATTTCGGTATTATATGCTCTATTAATAAATTAATAAATGAGTTTTCCTGTAGCTGCACAGCTTGTATGTTATTGTTTGAGAATGCGGATTTTTTACGTTTACTTATATGTTTACATTTACACATAAATTAGTTAAATCAACTAAAAAAAAAATTTTTAACATCTAAAAATTATATAAAGATTTACTAGAAAACTGGAGAATGTACATATATGTTGTTAACAATTTGAGTATTATCAACACCGACAATTGTATGCAACATATATATTATAGGTTTTAAATTATCAATAATACACATCGTGCGAGTATATGTGATAAAACTTTTCATATATGTGCTTCCGAACAGACAATTTGAGATGAAAGGTGGAAATGAGTCACATATAGACAGCAATAGAAAATCAACTTTTAAGAGATTAAACGTATGGAAATTGTCGAAAACTCCCAAATACATGTTTATAGATGTGTATTGTGTATATAACAAAAAGGCCATGTAATATATTACAGAAATAATATATATATAATAAAAAGTTAACAACAAAGTAACTCAAACACTGTATTAAATTCCTTTATCGAATTAATTCAACGACAAAACTCTTATTGCTAATGTCAACGCTGTAAATAATTTAGTATAATTTATAGAAAAATAGATGTGGATTTGTGGGATTGTATACGTGTATATGTATATGTATACATGCATATATATTTTTTTTCCTGTATAGATTAAAAAATAATATTAGTCAACTTAGAAGCCGGTACCATATCATTACTGATACGCCATTATCAGCATTTTCAGCGCTAAGTACGATACTTTGTAAGATATATGTTTAAATACAGTAATTTACTATGTCCTTTCTATTTCTCTATTCCACTAAAAATAAATTAAGAAAAAAAATTATCTAAGAAAATGATGTGCTGGTTCTTTATTATTAAAAAAATTTTTTTTATTTTGGAATTACATCGTTAAAAAATTTCATCGTTATAGATTATAGATTTTCTTCAATTTTGCGACAACAGCAAAAGTACGCGATTAAATATGCACAACATAGTAAACGACGGAAAATCCAGTTTGTAGATAAAAAAATAACTGGTTCTACAGGTTAATAAACACACGATATGCGTACATTTATTTATATAATTCTACGTTTGGAGTATAAATGACCATGAGTATAATGAGGGCATTTTGGAGATTGAGATAAATATAAATATATAAATAGTAGAATTCGCGCAGCTGGCGAAAGCGTGGCGTATATATGTGTGTTATTGGAACGTACGCACACATGCGCAGAATGTGTTGATATGTGTAGTAGTATCAGCCAGTATCCGGCCTTTGCTGGTGCGCGTTGACGTGCATACGTACAAAACCGGAGAAGGAATGACTCTCAAACGTGATGGCCCAAAATTGTTCAAGCTGAAGTGGCCAAGAAAAGTCGAAGGATGGGAGGGATAAACTGGGGCGAATTGTTTCCGGGAAGGTGGAGTCCCGTTATTTTCATCTCCTATATAGCTCTCTTCATAAACCAAGGTATGTTGATCACATGTTTTGTAAGCAACCCTCTCATCTTGCTTGCTATAAGCAACAAATGAGAAAAATAAAACAGGGATTTTATTAATTAAACGTGAATTGCCGTTAAATTTGACATCGGAATTCAATAATCTCCTGCAGGTATTCTCGTGACGTGGTCTCAGAGAAGCGGCCGCTACGAATATAATATTGTGGCAGTTGTGCTGATGACAGAAGTTCTGAAATTGGTCATATCCACAGCACTCTACTGCAAAGAGTAAGTAACTCGAGAATTCGTAGTTTGTTTACAGCTGACATCATCTTAGCTTGATTTTTATCTTATCAGTATTAATTCTGAATTTGCAGTAATAGCATCCTAACGCTTCTCCAGGAGACGAGGAAGAATAAAAAGGGTGAGATTAAAAATAGAGATAAAGAATTCCAGGAACTTACTATATAAATGCCCAGCACGATCGATTTCCAAAGGATACTAAAGAAAACTTCTGTCAATTTTTAGTGCTTCTGCTATACATGATACCTGCGCTTTTATATTGCCTGTACAACAATCTAGCATTTGTCAATCTGGCTAGATTCGACCCCACGACTTACTACGTCTTGCTGCAACTCCGCGTTGTACTTACGGGAATCATTTTCCAGGTATCAATAATGTTGCTTTCAGTGTAGGAGAGTAGAACAACGACGTGTTGAACAGATAATGTAAGAATTCTGATTTCTTCTAGGTCATATTTAGCAAAAAGTTGTCCGCGACGCAGTGGTTTTCCCTAGTGATCTTGACAGTCGGCTGCATGGTAAAGCACTTTGACGCCCACGTCCTTGGCACGGAATTCCACGTAGATATTTTTCTACTTCTAATTCTTGTACAAGTGAGTCACCTATCACTGATATATGAGAATGGAGACGCGATATGTTATCTTGAAAAACATCTTGCTTTACAGACAACATGCTCCTGCTTAGCCGGGGTGTATAACGAATATTTGCTGAAACGACAAGGCGCGGACATCGACATTTTTATACAGAACGTATTTATGTACATCGACAGTATTTTCTGCAACATTGTGGCGATTGTCCTGTTAAGCGCATTCACGAACGGCGTTGACGAAACGCTGACCAATGTCGAGATCGGTACGTTTCTGCAGCCGAAAGTAATCCTAATTATGTTGAACAATTCGCTCGTCGGGATAATAACGAGCTTCTTCCTGAAGACCTTGAATTCCATATTGAAGACCTTCGCTAGCGCGGTGGAGCTGATTTTTACAGCGATGCTATGCTGGATTCTATTTAGCATACCTATTAGCACGAACACCATCGTTTCTATAGCTATGGTGAGCTTCGCCGTCGTTTTATATTCGAGAAATCCCGTACAGAACGTTCAACCTAAAGAGACGGCGGAAAGTGGGAAGCTTCTGGTGTAAACGACAGTATTATAAATTCTTTTTCCAAATGACGATGTAATCGCCAACTGAAATTGCAAAACAAAGTGTACGTTACCATTAGCCTTAAGCCGTTATATGCTTTATCGCGCGACGATGATTATGTGATATAAGGTTGTTAAGTTAAGATAATGACTGAACGCTTGAATAAAAATATCAGTTTCTTTCAACAAATCATTAGAAAATTAAGTAGATGATTTAACGAGCGATATTAAGCGATATTAATTGCGAAAAAATATTTTTATATTTCTCAAAGCCTTTTTGAACAAAAACGAAATAGACTAAGATCTGAGTGGCAATACTTTGCGATACCTTATCAAATTCTAGTGTCTTTCTCTAACTGTGTTTGTATTATATATCTAATCTCTTATTAAAAAAAGGGCATTTCGCAGAAATTAGAGCAAAACATCAATCACGTATTATACTTGTTCTTTGAATTTTAATTTTTACGGATATCTTTTATAATAAAATTCGATATCTGGACAAGGAAAGATCGTTAAACGTTTTAGCTTTTGGATTTCAATTCCGATTTATTCCAAATCGCTCGCCCCAGACCCCAGACACGTGAAAATCAGCCTTAATTAACACTCTCGCAAAACGATTCATATCGCTTCATTCAATTGTGATCATATGGTGGCCAATGCAGGCGTCTTCTTCATTGGTCACTTTGCGCAACGTCGCGGCTTTAAATTTAAAGACCATTTAACTAATTGCGCTCCTCGTCGCTCCCTCCCATCATCACTGCAATGTCTTTCCTCCGAATACATTCGTCTCTTTTCCGCGTGACGAGCGACTTCGCGATCGCGCCACTTTTCATTATCTATTCCAATCTATTCGTAGAAGCGCTGAGCGAAGCGATCTGTAAAAAATCCTTGATAATTCACTGTCAAGAAGAGGAGGGGAACAGCCGCTCTCTCCCTTTCTCTTTCAAGTCGTCTCTCTTCGTCGCGCACGTGTGCGTGCGTGCGAGCGCGTGCGATGACAGATTCCGTAATGACGTCGTGGGCGTGAGTGTGTGTGCGCGACACATGTGCGGTGTGCCGCGGCGGCGTTCTGCGTTCTCCCGAGGGCCCGACGATCCTCCCCTCGGAATCTCGCTCGTCGTCGGCCGTCTCCTTTTTTTTTTCTCGCGTCTCTCCTCGCCGACGGATCCCGTGCGCGTGCTAATGAGCGTGCGTTAACGCGCGGCGGGCCCGCGCCACAAACGATAACGTCGCGTCGAATAGCACCGAGTTCGGAACGTCGGACGTGACGGTCTCTGTCTCTCTCTCTCTCCCCTTCTCTTTCGATCATGGGTAAGTTTTCGGCACCTGGCCGTCCTCGCCAAGTTCACGCGTTCTCACACGGACGCTGATCCGTTTCAGAGGACCCGACGGAGGCGCAGAAGTGGCAGCATCATCTGGCCCTGCTGCGGGAGCAATACGTCAATTTGTACAACTCGAACGCGGAGCTGCAACGGGAGTACGCCGTCGCCACGGCCGAGAAGCAGGAGGGCGGATTTGCCGGCAGACTCCTGGCGACGGTGGCATCCTTGTACTGTCAGCATCGTTACAGGTATCCCTTACGCGTATAACCTGAAATCTCAGCCGTCTTTTTGTAATAACAATAACGTAGAGAATTAAGGATTCTGATTCCGAAAATTGTGTTTTCAGTGATATAAGTATAAAACTGACCGACCAAGAGATACCGGCACACAAATTCGTGCTGTCTGCCAGGACTGATTTCTTCAGCGACGCGGCCCTTGTCGAAAAGACCGTTTTAGGTTAGATAAGCTTGTATATCGTCGCATATTCGTCCGTGTCTTGTTCTTACTTTAATTACATTGTTATGTTTATCACGATTGTTCCCAGATTGGAGCAATTTAAGCAACGCCGTTGCGTTAGTGCTGCTGAAATGGATTTACACAGGCAAAGTGGCTCAGGAACACTTGACGTTGGATTTGATGAAAGCGGCGGCTGGTTTTCAGCTGTCCGAGTTGGTGGATCAGTGCGAAAGGTATCTGATTGGGACGGTGGGATTGAAGAATTGTGTGGGATTGTACTCGGCTGCCGAGGAACTGGGCACTCTGAAATTGAAAGAGCATTGCAGCTCCTTAATTTCAGCACATTGGGTAAGATCACAATTGTCGGAGTAAAGCTATTAACCTTATACCTAAAATACTCATACATCTTGCAGGAAGATCTGACGGGCGAGGACTTTAAGGAAATGCCAGGTTCTCTGTTGTACAAGTTACTGCAAACCAAGAGTAAATATCCTTTGCACGCAGCGGTACGCTTGATGCGCGAGGACGTCGTGTTTCTGTACTTGGTGGAACACAATGCTGAGGTAAGAGTTCTCTTCTCCTGCCTCTTGATCATTGAAAGCCCAAACGTGACGCAATATGCATTGAAATAAATTTTATTGAAGTAATTTCAAATCATCTGTTACATAATTACTTACATAATTCATACAATGCATATGAACATAATATGAAAATATTGTACTGCTAAAGTACAGAGATTTAATATTATAATTTGTCATTGTGTTAAATATCTTAAATGTGGCAATATTATTATAATCAATATTCACAGCTCGAGTTTGAATGTTAAGTACTTGCATGCACAAAGTATGCTTTGTTTATGAACATTAAATGACAGTTTTGGTCTTACTTTTTGGCAGTGCTTATGTATAGAGATACTAGATATAAAATATTTCTAACTATAAATTAAGAAAGATTACTCCAGAATACTTTCTTTAATTCCTGATAAACATTTTTTTGCATTCAAAAGCATGTATTATTCCAAATTATAAATATCGAAATAGAAATTCGGAAATTACAAAATTAAAAATAAATTATTTAATGTAACAATTGTACGAAACATGTTAATTGTTTATGGTCATTCTTACTGGATAGGCCTGTAATTCTGTATTGTATGATATTTGCAATTTGTTACGAAGGATCTCTGCACTCCATAATTAACAGGAGAGCCTTACTTGTCTTGTGCACACAAAACTTTCGTACGAATTGCACTTTCTTTTAAAAAACACATTATGTGCGATAAACTATAAAGTTTTACAACAATCTTACAATTAGCAGCGCTAATATCGCCCCACATACTTTGTTAAACGTCCCAATTTGCGGGGGAGATGAATTGCACAAGTGGAAACTGCAAAAACAGTATTCGGGTGGGCCAGTAGGTGCGCCTCTGTGTTCTCCAATAAAACAACCCTCCTCGTAAGCGGATGTTATGACCTCTTCCTTTTTGTACCACTGTTTATCGGCGTCATTGTAAGTGTGAGAAGTATATTTCTGAGGCGCGCAATCTCGCTGAACAGTGGTCACTATAGATGCTGAAAGAAGGAGCTCGATAAACAAATTGTCTGCGCTATCGCTTAGCGGTAACGCCTGCGATAGTCATCTACCTACTTTTAGACTTGTATTCAACAGTTCTCTTCATACAAAGTGTCGAAGTCGGACAAAACACCTGGAATTTGGCACTCCCATCGAAATGGGAACAAAGCATTTCTGTATCATCCGGATTTGCGAGCGTCATGAGACACTTGAAACACGAAATACCTTCCGCCTGTCCTGGTGAAATGTCTATAAAACATTCAAGACATTAATCTCACGTTCTTTTGCTACATAACGGTAATATAAAAAGAAACATACATGGTAGAATACTGATACATAATACCATAATCTGCAGACTTGGCTTTAAGCTGTACATTTTATTCACGATATCGTTCGTATTCCATCAAGGAGTAATTATTACTTAAATCAGTAATGAGGTATTTACTTGATCACCTTATTTCAATAATAATAATGATGATAGAATCTGAAACAATATTTGAATTACATTTATATATTAACGTTTAACATGAAATTTTTATTGCTTTCTCTTCAAGATTAAAATTTCACCAACCAATTAAGATAGAAGATATCGTCCAGATGTTTTGCCTAAGTAACCTTATCCTGCACGGAATTAAAAGCCCCAATTATAGGTAATTAAATTACTCCTTCAATTGTCGATAGATCTTCTGTTTGAGATTCGTTGGAAATCGCTAGATTTCACCGCTGGATGATCTTTCCAAATTGGACTTATTTCCGGTCTCATTATCTTCCTAATTAGCGTGCACTGGCATATCGACGTTCGTCGCCAAATAGAGCAGCGGATAAGCGGTGCCCACCTATCGTAGGGTTTCACCGTTTGCGTAACGACGCATCGTAACGGCTTGCTGATTTGACACGCACCACGAGATACCGTCGCGGACCCGCCTCGCGCGACAACGCATCAGAAACGCAATGGAACGACGACTGGTCGACGGCCGATTGCGGTCGGTTGGGCGGACCGCAGGCCACGTCATCCGCCTCGACGATGCCTTAATACTCCTTCGGTCTTCCATGTATATCAGAAAATAATCTCCATACTTCCTCCACTTTTTCACGCTGACCCGATACCGTCCGTGCCATTCCAGCGCGTATACACACGCACACGTGCACGCGCGAGCGCACGCAGCTGACGCAGGCAGAGACCAGCCGCGCTGATAGCAGTGACTCTCAAACCTCAGTTTCTACAACTGTTGTTATGATTTGATATTATTTTTCAAAAGTAAAATATTTGAAACGCTACTTTAAATATACGTTCATTCAAAATGCAAACAAGTGTTTAATTATAACATCGTTGTTTTATATCATTTTTATTATTTTATTATTGTCAAGATATTCCATTACTGTATAGATTTATAATACAAATGCTTTTGGCGATAAAATGCAACTTGCAAGCTGTGAAATTGCACCTCGTTTTATAGAGTAATCTTTAAATCAATTTTAAACAAGCTGAAGAGGACGAATCTCTCGATAATCTTCTGTTTCTTGATGATAACGTTGCGACTATTTTATGTTCAGCTTCCGAAAGCAGTCAATGCTGTGGATCACAAAGGAGAAACGGCTCTAGAAGTTGCCCTGAAAACTCGCCAGCCGTCTCTGGCTCGCACCCTCGTGGAGCACGGAGCGGACCTGAGCGCGAAGGACGCGAGGGGTCTTTCTCTCCTTCATTCGGCTATCTTAAAGGGAGACTCCTACTCGTCCGAATTCATAATCGAGCAGCTGGAGAACAATGGCAGCGTGCAGAAGTTGTGCGAGGCTGTGAGAATTAACGAGGGCGCGAAGAATGCGGCTGACCTTAAGCAACTGGAAGGCTGCACTGCCTTGCATCTAGTGGCGAAGCACAATACGGAAAACATGCTGGCGGTTGGATCGAGATTACTCCAAGCGGGAATCGATCCGAACTTGCAAGACCACAGGGGATGGTAAATTTGTCACCCTCTGTGTAAAACTTTCTACTTGAAAATTGTTAGCTTTCACGTTATATTTCGAGTAATGCAAAAGCTATATGATTGATAGAATTTAAAATAGAATTCGTAGAGCGTTTATAACTAAATATATCAAGATTATTCCTTTCTTGCTTATGATTTTGTTCTTTAATAATATATATTCTCCGTCTTTTTACAGGACTGCGCTTCACAGCTGTATTTCGGAGAAAAACGAGATGCTGTTCGATCTGTTACTCGAGGCGAAGAATATAGATGTAGATCAAACTACGAACGAAGATGACACACCGTTGTGTTTCGCGATGAAGACGGAACCCTTCAACGAATACTTCGCGTCGAAACTGTTAATTAAGGGCGCTATACCGAATCCAACGTACGATGCCACCGGGGACACGTTGCTCCATATCTTGACGCGAGAACGCAGAGAAGGAGCGGCGTTATTCTTAGTGGAAAATTCTAATAACAATTTAACGAAAACCAACAACGAAGGTTTCACGATACTGCATGAAGCGTGCAGGGTCGGCTTAAAAGATCTGACTCCCGCTCTACTGAGAAACGGGCTGCCGACCGATGTCGTTACCCTTTCCACTGGCGACGCGGCAATTCATTTCGCCATTTCGAATCTGTATACTGACATAGTCATCGAACTGTTGGACGCTACAAGCTCGGATTCGCAGCTAACTATTAAGAATAACGCGAATGAGACACCTCTGAGCTTGGCTATTAAAGCACCGTTCAAGAAGGGTAAAGATATCGTGTTGGCTGTGATAAAAGCTGGAGCCGACGTGAATGAGCGCAACGAAGAAGGCCTGACGTTGTTGCATCAGGCGATATTGAAGGAGGATTCGGCTACAGCGATATTTCTGTTAGAAAATGGTGCTGACATGAATGCAAAGTGAGTTTAATAATTAATAATTGAAACTTACAGAAATCTACTTGCAACCATAGTCTCAATTTTTTACAATTATTAACAATTATATTTTGTATGCGCAGAACAGCCAATGGAGAAACGCCGTTACAACTATGCGTACATTGTAGACTGGGCGAAGTGGTGGAAGCTCTTTGCAGGCGAGGCGTAGATACCTCAATAGGATGCCCGTTGTGGGACGCTTTGGACTCGGATCAAGAAGATACTGCGTCAATCCTGGTTAAACACGGAGCGGACACCGATTGTTGGGGTCCCGGCCCCGATGGCTGTCAGCAAACGTTGTTACACAGAGCGATCGACGATAACAAAGAGGATATCGCACAGTTTCTGATCAGAAGGTGCGCAAATTTTTTCAATCGAAAAAAAATGATAATTCGATTTATCACAAACAATTTATTTAAAATATTTCAGATATTATAATTTATTTTTTTTTTAATGACAATTTATTATGTCATAGTGGATGCGACTTGAATGCTCCGAGACGACCTGGTCCAAACGGTGCTGGCGGAGACGAGGCAAGAGATGAGTGCACGCCGTTACATTTATGTTGCCAATGGGGACTCGAGCAAGTCGTTCAGACGCTCATCGAGCATGGAGCCGATGTAAATGCCCGCGACGCGGAGGGAAAAACACCTGTGCACGTGGCGATACAGAATCAGCATACGCAGATCATTTCTCTTCTGCTGTATCATCCGAATATAGATCTGAATAAGAGAGACAAGAAGGGACTGACGCCTTTCGCAACCGCTCTGACAGTCCGCAACAACAAAGCTGCACAAGCGATATTAGAGAGATTACCTAAGGCCGCCGAACAATACGACAATAAGGGCAGGAACTTCTTGCATACTGCCATACAGAAGGGTGACATGGAGAGCATTCTATTTTTACTGTCGATACAGGTACTGCATTTAACTTGCGTGGCTAGTTCGTTGTATATAAAGCCAGTATCTGCAGCCGATCGTCTCTTTTCAGGTAGACGTAAATTCGAGAATACACGACGTTACGCAAACGCCACCCTTACATCTCGCAGGCATGTCGGGAAACGAGATGTTGGTGCGAAGTTTGATTTTGGCGGGTGCTCGTGTCAACGATACAGATGCAAATAGGAATACCGCGCTGCATGTGGCTGCCAAAGCGGGACACGCCACTGTCGTTTCCGCGTTGTTGCAAGTAAGACAGAAACTAGCGCGCTAAGCACCTAAATCAACAGTCGTGTCATGATCTCGACACACCTACGATATCTCGCGACAAACTAATCCCCGTTTATTTTGCGTAGAACAACATCAACTTTGACGCGGTAAACGCGGACGGTGACAACGCGTTGCACGTAGCTGTAAGAGAAGGCCATGTATCGGTAGTGCGGACGTTGTTGACCGAATGTACATTGGATGCGGAAGCGGTGAATCTCAAGGGTCGCAATCCTTTACACGAATTAGCTAGATGCGCGAGGGACAACGCTGCGACGATATGCGACCTATTTTTAGAATGCATGTCGCAATATCCAGTCAATAACGCAGGTAAAAAAAACAAAAATTATTTCAAAAGATTAAAATTATTCTGAAGGACATTGCAATCTCTCTCTCTTAACTGAATCATATATTATATGTGTCTACACTGTCTACTATTGAATTTATATTTCAGACTTGGATGGGAACACGCCGTTGTTGATCGCGTACATGAAGGGCAATGGCAATCTTTGTAGAACGCTAGTGAAAGCCGGAGCGTGCCTAGGTTCGATGAATAAAGATGGAATTACGATCTTCAACTATCAAGTAGCGACGAAACAGCTGTTATATAGACTGTTGGACTCCCTGACGCAAGAAGCGCCGTGGTCCGACAAGGATTGCTGCTTGGAGTGCGGAACAAAATTCTCTCTCACAATGCGCAAGCATCATTGGTACCGTCGGATCGTTTTAACACAAAAATCGAACATGTTGATCTCTCAAACGGGCATATATCTTATTTTCCTTTCTTTTTTCAGCCGACACTGTGGACGAATTTTGTGCAGCAAGTGTTCCGGTCAGGATGTGCCGATCTTGAAATTTGGCTTGAACAAGCCGGTACGCGTATGCAACGTATGCTTCGACGTATTGCTGGGCACCGGTTCTCTTCAACCGTCATAGTTGAAATAAGAATTTATATACGACAACTGATGAAAGGAAAGATCATTCCAAAAATTTTTTTATACGAAGAAAAGGCAGATGTGAACTGAACCGAAAGTCTGTGTGTAGTTGTACGCCATTGATATTTTATGTATCCTATTGTATACATATTGTTCAGATTTGTTAAAACTATCTCATAGAGTTGAAATACAGATGAAGAGGAAACCGCGTGTTGGTATAATTTCCATGTGTAATAAGTTAATCTTTTATTACTAGTATTTGATTATATATGTACAACGCTCGAGAGATATTCTTTAGCTTTAACATTGCGAACAACAATTGGCTCTTTATGGGAATATAATGTGCAATTACTTAAGTTTACTAAACAGAGTCTTCGCGACGCAATGGTCCACGCATTGCACGTAATCGATGATCTCTTCCAGACAAGTTTCCTCCGTGTTGGATCTTGAATTGACACGGTCGTTACATGTGTCTAATTTCTCCTTGAAACTGGCACATTTCGGTAGTTGACTGCATTCCTCCTGCAAAAAGAAAAATCAGATGTCAATTAAAATGGTACAAACCAATGTTAGATTATCATGAGCATACTTAATGTCGATTTCTTTATTAATAACTCCGACATGAATAACTGTGTAAACGGTGATTTAAATTTGAATCGGATTTCAATTCAGTTGTTTTGCTTCACTAGGAAAGCATACTCGTGTATATTGTAAAAAGGAATTGTGTTTAAGCTCGTATTTCTTTCCGATTTTATTAAACACTGTCATTTTTATATTAAAAACCAAATCGAATGTCGGTAATTGGTAAATTTTTTCTTCCGGTTAAAAAATTTTTCAAAACACGATCACAAAATGCATATGAGCCGTGATCATGGCTCAAACCTTATCGAACGTGCCTTTGCTTCGAAAAATCGGCGACACATTTGCACGCGTTCGAAAGACAAAACATTATGTAACGATTGTCACTTACACGAAGCACTGTCTGCGGATCCACCAGCTCCTCTTCCTCTTCCTCTTCGGCCTTGACTACCGGCAGATAACGCTTGAAGAAGTTCTGTATGTTCGACATTTTTTCAATTAAGATAATTCCGATGTCGTGGAAGTCGACTGCCTCCAAGCTTCTCCGAAGGAAGGAGCTCCACGAAATAACCGCTGAAGATAACCTGAGATAACCACAACTTCAGATTCGGAACGTTCGGGAAGAACGATTATCTCGATTCATCGATTGATCGAGATTCGCGTAGTGACCAATCGGCTGCCGGAGAATGAGGTGTAGTGCTCGCAATGTGATTGGCTGACGCTTCCAAGCGAGAGTCGTATGTCGTATGTTGCACATTCACATTTCTTTGCAACAGTCAACAGTTACTCACCACGTGACGTGCGTGCATGTCGTGTTTCAACATTATTCTTCTCTTTCTTGATTTTTTCATTTTTTACGGAAAAAATCAAAATTGCCTTGCTGATAAACAGTAAGTAGTATGAAAAATCGATAGAAATTAGTTTTTCTGATTAATTTTTTGATTCAGTTCCGGGTTAAATTCCCGGTAGATAATTAATAATTCTTATTTACTGTGTGACCTTTTGTGCGACTTATTGTTAGATCGCTGCAACCTATATCAGAAAATGAGATACAAGATACATTAAATACATAAAAAAATATATTTTGGAAAATTTTAGTCATTTAAAAGCGTAAGCGTAAGTGTAGCGAACGTAAAACAATTTACATTTTGCAATTTTTCTTTGGTGCAACGTGTGTGTATGCTGTTCTTCTACCGTGTGAAACACATTACCACGTGGTGGAACATGTCATAACGTGTATCGGAAAATGATGAGATAAAAGATACAGTAAGAGTATGCGGTAATACGTAAGCAGTAAAAGTTGATTAACTACAATTGATTATTCTTGCATGGATTACAAAAATCTCATTAGTCAATAGTTTACTGCTTACGCGTCTTACATGTCTACATCTACGACTATTGTAATTGTAGAATGGAACTTTATAGTCATTTAGAAATTAAACCTAAATCGCGAATGTGAGCAATATAAAATTGTGTAATTTTTTGTTCTTTCTTTTGTGCACGTGTGTGCCACGTGGTAGTGGAAGAACACAGAGCTCCTGATATTTTAGATTTATAGAAGAACATTTTTCTACATTAACAAAATTAAAAAATAACTGTTATTTCTTTTAAATAATAAATTATTCAATAATGATATTCAACACACACATGCAGACTATATAATAATGTCAATATAATACTAGCAATGCGAATTCTCGAAAGCAAGACGTACTTTTTGTTAGATTATATATATAAGATTATAATATATATAATTATATATATATATAATCTTAACGCTATAATTATAAATATATATAATATTATAATGCATTTTAGCATATGCTAAAGAAGAAAAAATTATTATACATATTTTTTATCTTCTTTTAGAGAGAGACTATGACAACTCACAATAAATCTTTAAATTGCGAGAGTTGTAGTCGATATCCCTACATCGGCAGAGTATCCGTAGGAGAAGAAAATAGTGTTGACTTTGTCTATCAATTTGGGAAGAAAAGATTATTTGCTACCTCGAAAAGAAACCGTCCAGGTTTTAGCATATTCCATACTGCCCCTGACATAATTGGACCACCCAATTCTTTAAATTATGGCGAACACTTTCATTTACCTGATTTACCATGTTCTTTTGGAGAAAAAGATGTATGTGTATTTCCTGGTATTATCTATTATTGTCCTGTACAAAGTAATCGTTATCTATATATTTATGTTACAAGATTTTCTATTTTACACATTTTCATTTTCTAATATAGTCGAGAAAGGATGGTTCCGAGATTTCAATATCTCCGTGGCGGACATATAACGATGATTCAGAGGAGTTATTAATTTATTCTATTCCATGGTATCCAGTGGGCCATGTGACGATGGGCGAAAATGATTATATTGGTATGTAATATTCGAATCAATAAATAAGATATTATTAAAGAAGATACGCTTTTGTTGAGAGAAGAGAGTATAATTATATTTTCTATTTTTAAGATATCGAGTTTCATGAAGCTGTATATCCAGTCAGAGTCTCTATTTACGAATTATATAATCCTAGCATAATTAAAATTTTGGCTCAAGATTCCAATAATCACTGGATACAGTTGTGGGATGAATCGTCTGAGATTGTACCCCCGGAATCAAGATTATTTTCTCCACCGTTATCGCATCCGTGCAACTTCAAAACCAAAATGCTCAGACTAGTGTTTAAGAAAAGCTCACGTAAATCTTATTATACAAAACTGGATGCTGTAATGCTTATCGGTACATCAGATTTGATCGTTCCTAGAAATACTAACGAGAGTTTAAGTAATCTGTTAAAAAGAATTAACAGCATGTACTCTCGACACCACGACGATGTTCATAATTTAACAGCAGATTTAAAAAGTGCGCATTTGGATATAGTTCATCTGCAACGAAATTTTTCTGAATATTGTGTTATTTATCAAAGGTATTACTACTGTACATTAGGTAATATTTAAATTCTTTTTTCCTGTTAATAATGAAAATCAATTTGTTCCGATGATATTTGCAGCGAAATAAAAAGGATTAATTATAAAAGTAATTTGAAGCACAAAAAGGCATCTCAAGAGGTAATCCCTGGATATGTGCAACCTCTTGGACAGAGATATTCGCGTCGTATTCTATCGAAAAGTTATAAGGAGCCATCACGTTGCAGTTTATCTGCGCTTCCTGTAAAGTATTTTAAGAAGTCTATTTCTCGTCAAAATATTTATTGCAATGACATTTTGTACTTTGAGTATTAAAGTATTTATTTTTTGTATTATATTATATATATTTTATCTTTGTAGGATGAAATATTACTAATGATATTTAAATACTTGGATTTGAAAACGTTATGCTGCATGAGTAGAGTAAATTGGCGCTTCAATAATTTAACAACACGGGATCCTCTACTCTATACACGTTTGAACATGCGAGGGATTGAATGTGACAAATATATGTGCAAATTATTTCGTTATTTTACACCTAGATGTGAATATTTGCAACAATTAGGTCTTACAGGAAGCAAGTTTGATGTTAATGATTTCGTAAACTTTCTTAATAATTGCGGCAGGCGTTTAACGCATTTGAGCTTGAGTCATTGCTACATAGATGCTTTCTCAACACAATTAAATCCTGTTCTACTGTCCTTTGAAATTTCAAAGACATGCAAAAATTTGAAAGGTACATGCATATAGTATATGTATATAATTGTCAAGATTATGAGTAAATTGCATAACAACTAATGTAAATTTTTCTTAGAATTGGATCTAAGTTATTGTGATTGCATAAGCGACCAAGAATTTTCGTATCTCGAGGGGCTAAGTAATTTGGAACGTATATACTTTTGTGGTCTGACAACTACAACTGAACAGCTTTGCAAAATACTGCAAAATAACCCACGGATACGTGAGGTAGAATTGGGAAACTTGGTAAATGATGCAGTTCTACTAGAGTTGGCAAATTCGTGTCGTGATTTGGAAGTAATACATACACTGTACGCATATGATCTTACATCTCAGGGTATTAAAGCTCTCGCTAACTGTAAGAATTTGCAAAAAGTGTACCTTGACCTGTAAGTGTGCGTGTGCTACATTTTCTTTTAAAATACACATTATTGTGTGTTTTATTCTTTATTGAAATTGTACTTGAAAAAGTTACATGATTTTTTCTTCGCAATTAAAATACTGTACTAATTATATGATTTTTGTTACAGAGACCAATATCCAGTTACTGATGATGACAGTTTATTTAGATTACTTTCTTCTTATCAACACTTGCAAGATATTTATTTGTGTTTTACTGACCTCACTGATCATAATTTGGAATTATTAGCGCAGTGCAGGCACTTAAAAACGTTATATTTTGAACAGGTGGTACTTGATACACCTGATACGTGTTCCCTTATTTTGAAACATTGTCCTAAATTGCAGAAATTTTATCTCAAGAAATGTAATATAAGTGATCAATTACTTGATCAATGGACGGAAAAATATCCACATGTGTCTGTTTTTACATACGACGACGACGCCGACTACGACGACGACGCCGACTACGACGACGACGCCGACTACGATGACGACGACGACGACGCCGACTACGACGACGACGACGACGACGCCGACTACGACGACAACGACGTCGACGACGACGACGACGACGACTGATGATTTGAATAGTTTTTGTTTACTTTTGTTTACATATATATTTGCAAATGAAATTTATGTCTACTATTTTTAAATATAAAAATTATTAATTTTTTTATTAATTATCTGGTGCACAAGATTGTCTGGTACAAAAGAAGTTAATGCCTAATAAAAATAAAATTGTATTTATTTATAATTTTGTTATTTTTGAACACTTCTTTCTGTTCCTTTTTTTTCATAATTTGACTTTTTTGGGCAATAAACTTATTTTTTTAGAAATATTGCAAAAGCTATCATTAATAACATCGTCAGTAAATTCTTGGTTTTTTTCCGCAACCACATGTCTCTTTCAAGAATTTGTTTAAAATTTGAATAGAATTCTCCTGTGATGCTTTTTTTATAGCCACAGTTTTTAAATAACTTTCTGTGAAGTTTGTGTTGTAAATTTTTATATTTTGCTGAAACTAAACAACTTATCAAAGCTATCCCAGCAAGCAAGAAACATTTCAGATATAAAATAAAAAAGAAATATAAAATTATTCATTATTCGTATTGCCGCAAATGTAGCCAATATATATAAGCGTCCGTAATACCGGAAAGGTACCTAGAATGTCATCTGGTAAGGTGATGTTAGATGTAAACACGGTCTTACGAAGTTTCGGTTTAAGCCAATGAAACTGCTACTTTTCTGTAAGAGCTGCAAGTTGATTGGCTTAAACCAAAACTCGAACGCAGTTCTAGCATCGTGGACACAAGGTTTAAAACTTCATTACGAGCAATGGTATTTATTTTTTAAAAATTTAAGGAAGTCGAAAAAAATAAAAAGTAAAATAAACCGAGATTAAAGTTAATCCGCATTGGTTATAGAAATGGAAAATAAAAGTTTTAGTAGAATTTCTAGAAAACTAATTCTTCTATTGGATATCGGACGCAGTATATGAATAATCGGAGCAAATCGGAGTTTGATCGAAACAGTCACCCCTAGGCCCCCACGCGTTATAATCTTCAGAGTAAAATCCTCTTCAGAAAGTGCGAAGGGAAATCAAATAAATTAAGGGTGTCCAGTAATAGCAATTAATTCTGTAATTTGACGGAAAAAGAAAGATAGAGAGAGAAAGAGATAGCGCTTGTAATAAAAAAGTAAAAAAAGAGGACGCGTTCGCGCGAGCGAGTTTACGAGCGCGCGGGGGATGCGCGAAGTGCGTCTCGCGTGCGCGAGCGGACACGGCAGCCAAACACGCTCAGGTGCGTCAAACTCGCCCTCGCGCTCTCGCGCTGCCCGTCGAGAAGATAGAAAGAGAGGGAATCGCGCGGTCGGCGAGGGAGCGAGAAGGACAGAGAGAGAGGTAGAAAAACTCGACTCCTCGTACGTTTCGTCACATTTCTCAGCCCGCTCAGCCGGAGACCGCGTCGACCGCGGACCATCAGCGGACAGCGGTGGCGAAACGACGGCGGGACAGGAGTCAGGACAGGGACAGGGACAGTCGAGAGGACGATCGGTTCGATAGCTCGATAGCGATTATAGCGAACAGGCTCGGGGACGGGGACGCCGCGCCGTTGCGCACCGTCGCTGGACGTTACGAAAGTTACGCGATCTCTGGCAGAGAGGAGAGAACGAAACTGAATAAGGGTCTAAAGGTTTTGGTAGAAGAGGGAGAGAAAAGACGAAGAGAGGAGAGACATTGAAGCGGAGAAGCGAAGATAGTGGGAGAGACAGAGGCAGAGAGAGAAAAGTAAAGAAGAGAGCGAGATTCGGTGGCGCGCGATCGAGGGGGGTCGTCGACGGTGCTCTACGCTACGCTGTTCCGCACGGAGAATCCCGCGGCGAGGGATGGCCTCGGCGGATCAACGTCGCGCAGGCAATCCAACCTAGAAGGAGCGCCGAGAAGCGCCTTCGAGGTTATGTGCCGTTGAGGAGGACCGAGGGACCGCACGACGTTCGCGCGAGGCCGAAGCTGGAGTGGTGAGAGGGCGAGAACCACATCGTGTAAGTCTGCGGTGCGAACGGGACGGGACGCGACGGCTTTCCGCTCGTTCGATCTGAGGATGTTGTATCGATAACGCCGCTCCGGGGATCGTATCGATCCAGCGAGTGTTTCGCGTTCGCGCGACGAGAGGATGCGTTCCTCGTGTGACGATCAGCGGCGAGGTTGTCAAGGTTCCGCGTGATCGTTGGTTGCCCCTAACATTGTCGCGCGCGTACGATGAAAGGGAGAGAAAAAGGAATCGTTAATGGGATCCTCGTAAAGAACTGTAAAACTAGTCTGCACGCGTAGGAGCGCGAGATAATATAAAAAGAGTTGTTGAACGATCTCGCGATCATGTAATCGCGCGTTGTTGACGTAGGAGAGTCATACCTAGGCACCTAGGCACTTAACGTTTCGACAACGAATTCGCTATTTTTGTAATTGAAGTTTAATTAATTAAGTGATGAACCGAGTGATGTGCGGAAATTGTGTCGCACCGACTTGCAATTCGATTTGTGCGAACGTGTACGATTTGTTTTTCGCGCTGATAGACACGGTTTTTGTCGAGAGATGTGAGCAAGCTATACTAGTTGCACCGTAGGTTGATTTACATTCATCGAATTTTGCCGAATATTATTTAAAGTTTGGATAAATGTTTACGACAGAGGTTCATGCGAATGGATGATGCTCGGTGGCAATGAACGGCATGGAGAAACATGGTCATGGACATGGACATTCACATGCGCACTCGCATCGTCATCGCCATTCCCATGGCAGTTCGCAGAGCACGTCGCAGAACTCCAGTCAGCCGTCTTCGAAGCACAGCCACAGCCACGTGACGCATTCGCAGAAGAGTGACACAGCCGTGCCACCAGCGACCCCGAAGACCCAGAGGAATTTCAAGCTGTTAGTCGATCCATTTTTAGTCAAGGGAGCTGCAAGATTGTGCAGATACGATGGGACTGTTCCGGGTGACCCAACGTATCCACAAGTTCAGCCTCGAGATCCCAGGTCGCAATTGACGAGGATCTGGACTCGACTCGAACAACTTGATCTACCTGTACCTAGATTTAAAATTGATTCCAATTATTGCGGAGAGCCTCCGCCGCTGGAAGTGACGTTTTGCCATTTAAACGACAATATCGATAAGACATTTTTGACAAATATGGTTCAGAAATTCGGATCTATAGAAGAGCTTACTATTTATTATCACCCGATAACCAATAAACACCTTGGTATAGCAAGAGTGGTGTTTGAATCGACCAAGGCATCCAAGGCGTGTGTGGAAAAGTTGAATAATACATCTGTGATGGGGAAAGTGTTGAGGGTTTTTTTGGATCCCTTCGGGGAAGAGTGCAAGAAGATGTTCGAGGAGTTAACCATAGAGAAGAAACCTGAGAAGAAGGTGGAAAAAGAGATACCGAAGCCGGAACCTGAGCCAGAAAAACATCAAACACCGGTGGAAAAAGTGGCTTTGCCCGAGGAGAGAGATGACTTTAGAAATAGTAAAAAACCAGTTCTGAGTATGGAAAAGAGCAGAGAGCCATACGTAGAAAATTCAAGATACAACAAATATAGGGATTATCCTACGCCGAGTGGCAGTACGGGTAGTGATTTGGGTTACGGAACGGCGCCTAGCGAACTGAATTATTCTAGTAATTATTCTCAAAACTCGACGCCGGCCACAAATTACAGCGACTTCTACTACGGCAATTATCACCATCAACCTCCGAGTAGCTACTTAGCTAACATCCCGCAGAACGTGTCCCAGAATATACCAATTCAACAAAACTCAAATGTATGGTGGGGCAATAATTCTGGATCAGCAGCATATTCAACCTCGACTGCCGTCTGGCCGATTCAACAACACGCGACAAATTTGGACGGTGCTGGTTCTAATGTGACGCCGATTAATAATAAGACTTCCAGTACGAAAACGCATCACACTCCTAAAAAGGAAAAGGAGAATCAGACTACGGCAAAGAGCACGCCGCGTGATTCTCCCGACGAAACTCGCAAGACATTAGATTTAGATACGAGAATCGCTATGTTGCTGAAGGACAAAGCCGGCGGAATGGCACCTCCTTTTTTACAATTTGGCAGCGACTCGGAAGACGACAGGAAATCTCAACACGCTGACAATGAGATGCTGTCAGATCCTCCCAGTCCCTTTCTCTCACGCGAGATATACAAACAATGTTTCGACAAGATGGTAGAGAGAAATAAGGAACGAAGGAAAGCTCACGAGAATAGCATTAGTCAGTTCTCCGTGGATGAGGATTTAGGTAGCGTCATAAGTTCCAGTGAAGACGAGGCGTTGTTAGGAAGTTACAGTCCAGCACCCGATGATAACGAACCGGAGCCACCCAAGGAACCACCTCCGCCTCCACCACCTGACGACGACAGAATGTCTCTGAGTCCTTTAAGTTCGGGAGATGAGAAAATCGAGGAAGTGAGTTTATTATATGAAATCCATTACATGTAGTATCCATTGTATATGTATATGCCTATTTTATTAATAAATATTTTCTTGACAGGTAATAGCGCAGACTGAACCTTCGAATCAACTATATCCGGCAACTGGTTACCCAGGACATTTGACTCACTATCCCTCTAATGATGTTTATAATTGGCCGCGACCGACGCAATATCCTTATCCTTGTGGAACGACTTATTTACAGAGCCATTATCAACCTAATACGGCATCTTTGTCGGCAACAATTGGAAATCATCAAGGAACAAATTATTATTCTTCTTTTCAATCTCGGTTACATGCTATGGCAAACTACAACATCACAAAAGATCCACAGGCAAGATTTATTATTACGTAGACGTATATAAAACTGACTTTTGCATTTTGCCGCTATTTGTTTATTAGGAAACTGTTTAAAATATTCCTATTTAGGGACCTACCATCAATGGAGTGTTGAGCAGAGTTGTAAATGAACTAAAGCAAATTCTAAAGAAGGATTTTAATAAGAAGATGATAGAAAATACAGCTTTCAAATTGTTCGAAGTTTGGTGGGACGAAAAGAAATCGGAGAAGACTCAAACTCAGGGTAGCGGCGATAATATTATTGTCAATAACACGACGAAAGAGGATGTGAAGCCGCAAGGATTGTCATCATTGTTGGAGCAAGCAACACCATTGGGCCTCAATTATGACGGTTTTGGTTTGGGTATCAGAGCTAGTATGCCAAAGATGCCTTCATTCAGGGTAAAATGTGTTTATATTATTGTTAGGCTTTCCTCCTTAGTAACATTAGACTGTGTGACTTTATTATTTACTTACTGTTTATATCTAGCGCAAGATCAAAGCTCCAAGCCCATTACCGCAGGATGAGGATAGCCGGCAGTCGGGTCACGCTGATATAGAAACAATTGAAAGTGACAGTGATTTGGATGTACCACCTGTACAAAAAACGAAAAAACCGATTAGTTCTCTTCCAACCGTCTCTTCTTCATCTACTACATCTTCGTCGGTCGAAAGTAGTAGCGAGGAGATTAGTTCCAGTGAATCTTCCGATGGTTCGAATGAAAGTTCTGATGAAGAAGGCTTTGAGGATGAGGTGCGTATAGAGTGCAAATAAGCGCAGTGATTTAAAAACATTGCGACAGTTATGCTAATTAAAATGGATTTGTTTTTAGCAAGATACAGATAGCCGAATGTCCGATCATAGACCTTTGGCTTGTAATAGCGAAGATCCTGATATATTGATGGAACTCGCGATCCAAAGGTCCCTGAATTGTCCCACGCCAACCGGCAGAGAAACGCCGGTGCCGGATATCAAAATTAAAGATCAAAATTCGACCGAATTCCCACAGATTGATGACAATGACAATCTGGGTAGTTCGTTATCTTCTCCCATAAGATACGAAAGCGTTAAAGAAGAGGAAAGAATTTCTGAAAAGTTGTCTGTAACGGAAGAAAAACCGTTTGACGTGTGTAGAACCTTGGACAAGGAAGTGAAGGCTATATCGAGAACCACAGAGGATAAGGGAACGCAGAGCGACATAAAATCTGTACCGATGGCAATCTTCAAGGAGGAGGCGTTGCCGGATATGCAAAAAATGGAGAATTCGGCCGCGGAAGCTCTGATGACCCTGGCTGGACGGGACAATATTATACGGCACAGGAGTCCGGGTCCTATGCAACCTAACATTATCAGAACACTGCAGACAATGTCAGCAAAATACATCAATGACGAACCTATCCTGAAGGATAGTGAGAAGATTGAAATGTTCAGCGAAATTCCTACAACCGACTCGGAGGAAGAGAGCTTAGAAATCAGAAGATTAAGGTCAGTTAAATAATTTTTGTAAAATAAGTTTTTGTCAGATAATGATTTTTTTGTATATAATACCGTAGTGCGTTACTACTGTAGAATTAATTGCGATAATCAATGACTTGAGATAACAATGTTCTTTATCAAGCAGGTATCAAGCGGAGACGGAGCTTCGATTGAATGGACAACGGACACCAAGTTCGCCTGGTTCACAAGCTTCGCAAGTGTACATGGAACACTCGTATTCGTTGCCACCTGTACAACCGGAGCCCATAGAACCGGTGATGCGTGTACCGCCAGCCTCGATGAAAATAAAACATCCGAAGATTGTCAAATTAACGAAATCGAAAGACAATACTCACAAAATCGAGAAACAGAAGTCCAAGAAATACACGAAAGTGCACAGCAGTCATCAGAATCACGTGGGAGAGAAGGAGAATATTCAGAATGACTATATATACGACAAATTTCTTAAGCAGGTTCCAGAGCCGACTGTCACGTACAAAGAACGAGATCTTATGTCGGAAATGGCTATTTTGTACGAATTTTTAACTAGGGGAATAGACGCGGAGGACGTAGAATATTTGAGAAGAAGTTACGAAGCTTTATTAGCGGACGATACTCAAGGTTACTGGTTGAACGATACGCATTGGGTCGATCATCCGCCGACGGATGTACCGAGTCCTGCAAAGAAGAGGAAACGGGACGAGCTTCGATTACACGCGAGTGGAAGTGCTAGAACGGAAGGATATTACAAAGTTGACATCAGGGAGAAAGCTAAACATAAAGTAAATAATTTGACATTTGATATATTTATAAAATGCACATTTTTCTAAAAAAAAATTTAATTTTAAAGTTTTAAGAAACGTGCATATATATATATTGATATATCATTTTTTAAATCAGAATCCTTATAGGGACGAAGCAAATAATTGTTTTATTCTTGCAGCATCATTATGCTCAAAGTATACAGCGCACTAACGACGTGGAGGACAGCGGTGGCTCTTACATTGGAGGTGATGGTGTAATGAATGGTCCAAAGAATAATTCTAAAGCATTGACTGGCAAAATGCAAGCATTGTCACGCGAGGCACGAAGCAATCAACGTAGGTTGTTAACAGCTTTCGGAATTGATACGGACAGTGATCTCCTTAAGTTTAATCAATTAAAGGTAGGATATATCAATATATATTCAATACCTATTAACATTGTCGATGATTCGTGCATTTCAATATGAATTCCATGTTTTAGTTCCGTAAAAAACAATTGAAATTTGCTAAGTCTGGTATTCACGATTGGGGCTTGTTTGCCATGGAACCAATCGCGGCCGATGAAATGGTTATCGAGTACGTTGGACAAATGGTTAGACCGGTTGTGGCCGATCTGCGAGAAGCCCAATACGAAGCCACTGGAATCGGTAGCTCTTACCTTTTCCGCATCGATTTAGATACAATTATCGATGCGACAAAGTGCGGAAATTTGGCGAGGTTCATAAATCACAGTTGCAATGTGAGTTACTTAAGATTATTCATTTCTTTGAGCTTGATTAGCTATGCGATATAATATATTCTATGAAAAAGAAAGAGGTTTCTAATTTAAATTGAAATTTAATTTGGAAAATTGCTAAAAATTTGACTTGTAGCAAAGTCGAATATTAATTAATCTTGAAGCGAGAGAGGTGGAGTAATATATTTCATTGTTATTAAATCTTTATTTCTTTTAGCCGAATTGTTACGCAAAAGTAATCACGATCGAAAGCCAAAAGAAGATCGTTATCTACAGTAAACAGCCGATAGGAGTTAATGAAGAAATTACTTATGATTATAAATTCCCGTTGGAGGACGACAAAATCCCTTGCCTTTGCGGAGCTCCTCAATGCCGGGGTACCCTCAACTGAATTGTTTATTCTTTTTCCTGTCTTCTACATTTCATCACACCCTACTCATATTTTTGTAAATATTTCCCCATGTAAACATTTTATAAAAATGCAATGGAAAAATGCTAAATTATGTTAAGATGCGTTCTTCTCCTATTTTATTACGAGACCCCTCTGATCCAGTGTGTGATTTCGACAAGTGAGACAAATGTATGAATCATTACATGTGCGTGTGTTAGAATTATTTAGCAGCGTCTCATTTTTGTATTTATCATCGACCGCTGAACATGATAACTGACATTTAAGAAATAATAATTAAGATTGTATTTAGTGCAATCATACTTGCAATTTTAAACAATGTAAATATTCTCTATGTATTATATAGTGATTTTTGATTGTATGTCAATGAGACATTACACAGTGATTTGAAGTGCAAGATGAAAAAAAAATGTTATATGAACATACGTTTAGGTTTTATTTTTCAAATTATAATAAAAATTATAGAAAATATATTAATTTTATTATTTCATCTTGAACAGCATTAGAAAAAAAATATATGTATATATAAATGTATATGTATATATAAGTATATATAAATTTTCTTATATTTAATTCATACTTATTTAATTATTTATATACAAAACAATGGTATGTATTTTATATTATATTATTTTATTTTGTTTTATTATTTCTCTATGAGATACATCTTATAAAGCTAATAAATTAAAATCTAATTTTGAAAAATTTGTCCAGCGAATAGAGAATTTTTCATCAGACAACCAATCTAATCTTACAACGCACAAATTCCATGTAACTTGAGTTTAATACTGTGAATATGAATTTGGCTTAACAAGATGGTGCTAAAAATGCGGAGCGGAGGTGTATATAGGTTATGGTTATGACGTTCTGTAGTTTGCGAGATTGTTGTTTTAGAACTTCTCTCCCAATAAAAACAGGTATAAGCAAAGCTTCGAATGTTGTGACAATGTGGTCAAAAGACACAGAAAATAAAGTGAGATTTCAATAGATTGCATTGAATTTTTGTTTAGGAAGCACTGAGATTTTTTTAGGACGTCAGTGGCAGGTGGTAAACTCCTCCCCATTTGTTTTGATTGTTATGAACATTACGAGAGGCTGTACAAATTAATTCTAAGCGATTCGTATTAATCAGTATTGATTCAGCATTATGGCAGATCGCTTGACGCAGTTGCAAGACACCATAAATCAAGTAATGCAATTTTTCTTTTTTCTGTTTCAATTGTACATCGATGTCGTTAACGAGCTTAGAGTAACGTCGGTTTTATGTTAGCAAGCGGAACACTTCTGCAACAGCGTCGGTATTCTACAGCAGTATTCTACGCCCAGTAAATTTCCCGGTTTTGATCGCATCGGTACCCCGCAGCCACATCAATCTCAAGAAGGTTCTTACATATTTTGATACATATTGATAATACAATGTTATGTTAAACATACGTGTTGATTATAAGTCACAATTCGTTCGTTTTAGATTACGCTGCCTTATTTGCGAATCTTATTGCAAGGTGTGCCAAAGATATAGATACATTAATAGAAAGTTTGCCAAGCGAGGAGTCGTCGCAGGAGCTACAAGTAGCCAGTCTTGGCAGACTCGAACAGGAGAATCAACAGGCTGGTGAGCAATTGGAAGAGGTGGTAAGACAGGGCGAGGCGCTTCTTCAGCGAATTCAAGCGGCTCTACAGGATATCGCACAAAGTCAGTTAGATATGCAAAATCCCACATCGACGACTGTGATCAACATGAATCTCAACAGTTCTAATATAAAACAAGAGAGCCTCAGTTCTATAAACACTGTGCCTTCAAATAATACACATCAGATATCAGATCCTTCACCTAATTCGATAAATCAATGACAGCTTTATGATTTATTGTAATTAGGAAATTATTTGTAAAGTAACGTCTTACAGTCTATAAAATCAAATGAGTATATCAATTTCATGTTCGAAAGACGACTACAATTACTACTACAATTAATTATACGGTAAATTTCATTTATACAAAAATATTGCTTGAGACAATAAATGGAACATTAGTTTGTCACAGTATTTTAGTAAGATTACTTATATTTGTAACAAAAATATAAATTTGATATATTAGAATTGTTTACATGTATTAAAATTAAAGAAAACAATATCGCAATTATCGAAGAAAGTAGTTTTGTTACTGTGAGCACTTTAGAAGATATCATATATTCATCTCAGTCTGTATTTATTTAGAACTAATTCTAGTATTTTACATTATATATGTTAATTAGGCATATAATGTAGGTGAAAGAAAGAAAATAAGTAATGGAAATTTTTGGCACAACAATATTTGGAGTTTTATTTCATGCAATTTCTCTTACTTAACAATAGATTTGTCAATCAATTTAACATCTCTAATTCTCGCAATCGTAATTCTTGGAAAGAAAGAAAATTTTTAGAAATGTAGAAAATTCTTGACTGAAAAATTCCTGCAGTTTTAGATAATACAATCTCCTTGTTGATTATGTTCTCCTGATGAATGTTGTCAGTTTTCGAAATTTCTGATTTTTGCAGATTTAGTATTTATCGATTGCCGAAATTACCACTTAAATTATCAAGAAGAATGTTGTCTGTCACCAATACAATATTTGTTTTATCTATTTGTTTGCATACAATATTCGATACTAAATTCATATGTGTTTATACATAATATTGTGCAAAATAAATTAATATTAATGAAAAAAATCATTAAAAGATGTTACGAGTATTGATTCGTAAACCTTATTGTAAACTTTTAAAATCTTACAACCATGCATTCAACTCGCAAACTCGACGTTTAGCCCGTTTAGGTTACATCAGGTAATTACAGTGATAAATCAAAATTCTAAATAGTCTAAAATATTTAATCATATAATATAAATAAAAAAACACACAACAGTGTCTAATGTTTCATCATTCTTCTTATAAATTTTATATTATATATAAAATATGTTTACAATGATTTTGTAGAGTAATGTTAGTTTGACACATTAATTTCACAAAAATCATATACAGCTCAACACGGAAAAAATCGGGAAGTGGTGATTTCCATCGAGCAGATGCGTGTATCGATAAACCGATAAAATGGCCGAGCGGAAAGAGGATCAGTTTTGATTTCCACGAAGAAACCGAAGCTGCTATGAATGAGCAGATAAACGTGGAGCTGATGGCGTTTTATTATTATTTATCAATGGTAGGCATGATCCCTTTTATCACGTTTCAATTTAAATACAAGAGATTAGAGCTTTATTTACATGACTCACAGATTTAATTTCTTTAATCACTAAATAATTGTACATAATAACGAATAATAATATTGTCCTTTTTCTAATCGTTCATAGTTATATTTATTTTTTAATTACATTTTTAAGTATGTTTTACACTTGTTTAAAGCACTATTTTGCTTGTAGTTGTAAACTATTGCTGTAATTAACATGCTCTTCTCCTTATGGTATAACATTGAGTAATTTTATTGTTATTTTATGAGAATTTATAAAATTTATGCAGGCTGCATATTTTGGTCGTGTGGACGTTGCTTTACCCGGATGCAAGTCATTCTTCACGCAGATGCATCACGAGGAATATAAGCACGCATTGAAATTTTTTAACTACATACAAATGCGAGGTGGCAAAGTGCATTTGTGTGCAATATCGCCGCCGGACGATCAAGATTGGAAATGTCCGTTGCACGCATTTAAAGTAAATCTGTTTTGAACAGTCGAGCCCGTTGCGATTTAAAATAATTAAAATATTATGCAATGTAATATTTTAAGAATTACAATACATCTTAAGAATTAGATAATCCTTAATTAGAATCAGATGAATTAATTCTTCCATATTATAATAAGAGCTTCTCATTTAGTAATAACCGATTGGGCTCTAGAAGCAAAATGCAATTAATTAAACATTGTTAATTATTAATTAATATCTTTTGTCTGTATAAATTTTATGTAGACAGCATTGCAGCTGGAAATCGAAGTTAGTAGAAAACTGGTCGCGGTGAACGCTACAGCGGAGAAGTACGGTGACCTGAACGCGAGTGACTTCATCATCACCGGCTTCATGGAAGATCAGATGAAAAGCGTGAATGAATTGGGAAGATTAACGACCGTGCTGTCGGGTGTTGGAGATCAAGCACTGGCGCGATTCATATTTGACAAGGATCTGCTAAAAAAATGTTCTGAAAAGTAAATCCGAGCGAAGAAAGTTCGACAAATAGCTGTATGTGTCCTCTTATGGAATTATTTTCGACACAATATTCTTATATTGCTGTTTTTGTACATATATTGTCGTTTTTTGCTATGTTCTTTATAAAGTACACTTTTATAAAATTTTCTAATCGAAAAAAGCATATTATTGAAATGGGACTCGATTGAACGATTTAAAATGAAAATATCTGATTGGCTGGTCCAGTGGATGAACTCCAGGCACCGGGGCCTGTGAGTGGCTATGGTCAATCGCAACGTGGTCAAACGGGACGCTCAAACGGGACGCTCGATGATTGGTCGTACTGAGCGCGTTCAGCAGACATAACTGTTGAGTTCGTCTTATCAACACTCCTCGTTGATTGGTTGGTTCTAACAGTAAGAGCCAATCACGTTCGACTGCTACTGAGCGGCTTGGTTATATCTGCCGAACGCGACTATTCTAACCTCCAATTCGCAATCCTCGATAACAATTAAATGGAAACGCACCTTGTGAAACTATCATGACACATGGCGAGATTGGCGATTGGAAATCTGGAAATATAGTGGGGAAATATGCAGCATGGCCGCCATGGTCCCGAACGTCGTTGTCGTCGTTGATTAGTTGGGCAATCGACGAGGGGGGTCAAGGTATTTAATCAAGGTTGCTAAATGCTGACAGTGCACGTTAATTAGACGCGCGTCTCAGCACCATTAATTCGCAGCGACCAGACTCGCGCTTCGCTGCCACGTACTTCCGGGACATCGGACGATCTTTCCATTCATTTTTTTCTCATTTTTTTTCTATACACAATTTTCTCGCACGCGGCGCGTGATAAGATAAGGGAATCCCTCCTTAATCTTTCCTCTAGTGCCCTCCTTCCACCTGTGGATGCGGTTTGCCTGTCGTCGGAAGGAATGCACCATCCCTTTGTTGCTGAGCGTATCCTCTCGCGTAAGCTAATTTCGAGCTTTAAAGAGTGATTCGCGTGTCGCGATTGGATTCCGCTTGAAAAGCTTGACAGCGATAAGTTTCACTCTTCGCTGCCGGGTAAGTTGAATGATGGCGAGCGATCTGTCGAGCGGCTGCACGGACACGATCGACATCCTAGACGACGAGAAGGAGGAGGGTGAGATCTCGTTGGAGGATGTCAGCTCGTCCGAGGAGGGCGGGATGGGCCACTTAACCAGCAGCTACGTCGTCGGCAGGACGCGCCCGTGCCCCGACTGCAAGTCCTGGGGCGAATGCGCGACCTGGTGCAACGCGACGTATCATCCTAAGAACAGGAGAGGTAAAGTCATGCTGGACCTGTCGGTTCATTCGAGATATGCTTCTTTTTCTTCAGCTGCATTTTGCATTTGCGTTGAGAGACTCGAACATTTCCTCGAACTTTTCTGTTTGTTTATCTATACACTTGGTTGATAGATTCTCTGGAAATACATATAATAACAAAGAAGCAATAACACCTGTTATGATCTTCTGACGGAGACCGTTGTGTACTTTAACATAATTTGCTTTGATTATTATTGTTGCTACAATAGTCTGTGTATACTTTTAATCTTTATCTTATCTTTCTATTATAATACAATTGAAAGTAAGAAATTTTGCAGAGATTGCTATTAATGAATTATTCTTGAGAGAAAGAAGTCTTACGAGTCTGAACGTGCAATGAAAAATGTGTCTTTCAATGGAGAAATATAAATAATTATTAAAATGATTCTTATCCACAGTAGTATATTGTTTTAATCAAGTAGCAGTTAATCTTATTTTATAAGATCCAGTCAAAGGGAAGGAAAATCGTCACCATGTCAGGGAAACGGGATGTGCCGCAACGAAGCACGTGGCGTCGACGTTGCAAGAGAAAAACGACGACGACGACCTAGTGCCTATCTCTAGCGACAGCGACATGGAAATCGTCGGTCTCACAGACACGTCCAATCGAGCGAAAGCCAAAGTAAAAAAGAAAAAGCGTAAAAAAAGGAAATACGAACCCCTCACTCTCGACGAGTTGCTTTCTCCGTCCTCCATCGATCTGTCTATAGCAGAAGTCGGCGCGCTGAAAATATATAGGGAAGTAAGTCCGGCGCACAGACCGAGCGGCAGATCAAAGATGATTACAAAATCGCCGGTTCGAAGATACAGATCGCCAGTGGTGGCACGAGCGTCGTTCCAATCGTCCCGATCTCCAGTGAGTCATCCCAGATCGCCGATACAGAAGAGATCCCTGCGAAACGCCAGATCGCCGAAACGTAGTCCCCGGCGTCACTCGCCCGTGAGAGCGGCGAAGAGACCGCCGCCGAAGCTGAGCTCGCCGCCGTTCGCTCGTTCCCATGTCTCAGAGAGACACGACGACGTGACGCGGTTGTTGAAAAAGGTCAAGCACCTGGATTCCTCCATAACCACGCACTCGTCGGAGCCGAGCGTCAACCGGAGTAAAGAATCGTCGTCGCTGAAGGAAAAGCTGTCGAACATACTAAAGGGAGCTGGCATCGACGACCACGCTGTGCAACTCAAGGAAAAATTGAAGTCCGAGACGATCAATGACGCCGACGACGAGGAAGATCTAGCGTTGCTGCGACAAAAGGCATTGGAAACAAAGCAGAAGAAGTCTAACGGATCTTCGGACCATCTGACGGATGTAGAATCGGAGAACAGATCGGCCGACGACAGAGTGAATGACGATCAGGACGAGGAGGCTTTGCAGCTGCGAATGATCGCGCTCCGCTCGGCGGTAATGAAGAAACATCAGAATCGGGTTCAGCGTGGCATTAAGGCCAAGAGATCCACCCGCAGCGAGAGTCCGTTTAGTTCGAGTTTCCTCGACGACATCCCCGTGCCCGGCGACGAGCTGTTGAAGTATGCGTCGCCGCCGTGCACACCGCCGTGCGACAGCAATCACATCGAGGACATGGATCTGGACACCGACGTCGAGAGGGAGAAGGAGAAGCTGCCGTACTCGCCGACCGACAAAATCGAGAACATATCTATCGACACAGCGTTGCTCGGTATCGAGCCATCCGACGTGTCGTTCATTAACGTAAACGAGACGATCGGTAGCCCGGTCTTCGACGACGCGCAGGACGAACTCGCGACGAACAGGGTCACGCCTTACTACGACGGGACTTACTTGCCTTACCAGGTACCACCGGCTACGCAGTACTGTTCGTATTCGCCATCGCGGTACGGCAGCGAGACATACCATTCGGATCTTAACAACGCGGTCGGAAAAGGGCCAGAAAATCTTCATGGCGACGATGTCGTATGTGATCTGATAGATGGAATTTGCTGTCAGGAAGGAACCTATTCCTCGACGAGCATCATGTCGAATACATCTCACGCTCTTCCAGCGTCTGAGAGTCTTCTCGCGCCTTCTGTCTCTCCCCACGACACTCTCGCTTCTTCGCCTCAGATGCAGCAGATCGTGGAGCAACCCACCAACGACGGTATTGTATTTGTGAATGTGAACTCCGCATTCAGAAATGGCAAGTCTGTCTACGAAACGCAGACAACTCCCGAATATTCCGTTACAGGTGCTCCAACAACAACGGTGTATGCTGAATCAATGTCGCCTAACGAATCGATGATAACGATCGACGATCTTCCGGAGAACGACGCGGATCCGTTGAGCTCTCCCAACGTCGCTCTTGGCGACGATAGAAATTTACCGGCCACGGAATACATTCCAAAGGAAGCGGCACCGTGTCGAGCCGCCGCGGAGGAACCTCTGTATATGCAAGGTATTCCAGATATTACTAAGGAAACGAATAAGATACCAACGTTGATCAATAGGACGCTGGTACCCGCGCCGATCTTAAGATCGAACAGGCAGTTGCGACGACAAACGCGTCAGGACGCGCTTCTGAAGAAGCGCGAAACGCCGATTTCGGAGCCGACTTTTAAGAGTGCTGAGATGCAACCGGTGACCATTACTGCCACGGATGCGAGTAGCAGCGTCTTCAAGCCGATAAAATTGCAAGTAGCGAAAAAATCCGCGCCCGTATTGTCGGCGTCTGCCACATTCGACGATTCGATGAACGAGTCTCTGGATGTGTTAGAGAATCAAAAAGATTCGCCTGGAAAAAATCACGAGGCAAGTGAGCCGCAACATCCTGAGACATCCGTCGGTACACCATCCGCGAGTAGTAAAGCCGCTCCAACGCGGAGCAAGAAGCGGAAACGCGCCAAAAAGAACTGCCGCAAAAGTCCTGACACCGCGCAATTGCTTGAGAAAGAAAAAAGCCCATGTTTGGATGCTGGTGTAAATAAAAATACGGATATTGTGGATGCGTCCGTTCCAGATCGACAAACTGTAACCGAATCAGATCAGAGCAAAAGCAACGATAATGCTGATGCGCAGGAGAGCTCGATGGGAAATGGAGAATCGTTAAGATTGCAAAGTGTCACTGATACTCAGGAGCCTGTTAACTCCGATGATGTTTTGACAAAGAGGAGAGATAAGGACAAGAACAATTACACGGCGCTGTCAGTGCGCATTGAACAATCGCAAGAGGAACAGATCGAATCACATTGTTTGTCAACAAATCCCGCGCCAGACAATTCCGACTCTACTAGCGTGTCTGACAAAGCCATCAATACGATGAAAAGCGATAGCAATAGGAGACAAAGCATTGACGAGGACGAGGACGAGTTACGCGCCATCTTACTAGCTTCTCTAAAACGAACGAAGTCAACAGATATCAGTCCTTCAGTTATCCCAGTCATTTCTGTTACAAGCTCTGCTGCGACGAATGTCCAAACGCCTGCATTAAAAACGTTGGCAGGTACCATGCCATCCGCGGCTAACGCGACGAGCACGGCGAGCAATAACGCTTCGTCGTTACCGTCGAGACCATTAACTTCGTTGGAAACCGTAAAGAAGAAGATTAACGACGTACCCGTCTCGGTGCAAAATGGAAGCAGGAAAAGAAGCAGCAGTCTGGACACAGCAAAGAGTCTGCCGAAGAAAATGGCGAGAAAAACGCTCACGAGCACGAAAGTGGTGAACAACGCTAAGAAAAAATATCAGAATATGATTGTGCAGAGGAGGCTGAATCTACGAAAGCTCGATAACAGTTCCTCGATAACGAATTCTAATGAGAATGTGTGGCCCAACGCTGGCGCATCAAAGATATCGTTACACGCACCCGACACTCAGCGATTTGTGATAAGTTTAGGTTCCGACTCGGACAGCGAGTCCGAGGATGAGAGAAACGAGCCTGTTCCCGTCGCAGAGAAGCATCAGATGCCTCAGGAGATCCCCGCCGACTTTGAGAAGAACTTGAATAAGTTTCTGCGCGACGTGAGAACCGAACAGGAACAATCCGCGGCCGCAGCAAAGTCATCCAGTTCGGCCACGCAAGCGACAAAACAAGACGTGCCATCAACGGATAAGGGTCCATCTAATATGCACACGCCATTGGTAAGACAATTATGTATTACGTCTGATTGCCTTTTTGTGCGAGTAATTTAGAAATTGATATTATCTAGACGTAATTTTTGAGAATTTATTACTGAAGAAGACACTGACCAATCATAGGAACTTTCTTAATTCATTCTGCAGACTTTCTTACTTTGTTATAGGCTGTGAGGCACCTTCCTGTATCACAGCAAGAGGAATATCGTCGATTGAAGCAACAGATCTTGGAGCGCGAAAAGTTAAAACTGCAGAGGAAGGTAGCAAGTAATAATAGTAATAGTAATGGTAGTAGTAGCAGTAATAAATTATTAAACGCTGACGTAGCAAGTTTGCCAGTAAAGTCCTTGCCACTGTGCGAAAAGAAAATGCTTATTAAACAAAATCAAGATAAATTAAAAACGCCAGAGAAAAATTCCCAGGAATTGTCAATAGAAGTCAGAAGAAAAAGCGACGATTTGGCGAGAGGCACATCGGAATCAAACGTATGTCGCATATCTGCTGACAAAAAACTTTCAGCGAATATCGCTAAACATACTAATTTCACGCATCTGCAAACTAAAAGCAATAAAAAAGCGATACCAAACAATCTTAGCATTCGAATTTCTAACGTTACCGCTCCGAGTTCCACCGGAGCAAGTACGAGAACAGTCGAAGACCGCGAGAAGCAATCTGCGAAAGATAAACAGCAACATAGATCGGCCTTGAGAGCGTTAAGCAAAGAAGAGATAAATCGTAAATGTGTGCAAGTACTGTTGAAGCCAGACACGGTCGAGCGAGTCGTCACTATAAGTGACAAATCGGCCTTGCAGCACGACACGATAATAAGCGTCGATCAAAATAAAAATCCGGCCGAGCCAGATGATAATACAGAAATTATAAATGAAAAAAATTTAAATAATGTCGATGACAATAATACTAGTAATTTTTCTAACGCCTCTACCGTGAAGCTTTTCAATTTATCCGTGAATTCGAGCGATAGTCGGCACGAAGATACGATGGAAACTACAGTCATGCTTTCCCAGTGTGAAGCGGAACGTCAGCGAGAAATTGATCGTAATACTTCAACGTCTGTACTTACAGAAAATAATAATAGCAACAACGCCTCTCGTCAATCTGACACAATTGCTGATGATAATAATGGTAACGCGAGTGACGTTTGGGATACGCTTAAAAAGGACGTTAAAGCGGAATTGGAGTCCTTGACGAGTCTTTCAAAATTGGAGCAAGAGCGATACTTGAGAGAAACCGAGAACAAATTAGTTACGAGACGGTAATTATATCTACATAAGAATTTCGCGAAGAAACAAACTATAAATAATGAGTAATGTGCAACAAAGTTTCAATATTAAATTTATGTTACGTATATGGTGCAGGTATATGGTCTTAGATCATTTAGCAGAAATGTCGGGGAACCTTCGTCAGTGGGACATGGAGAAGGACGTGCAGATTATCCTGGCCAGCGAAGTGAGAAAACTTAAGGAACAACTGAAGATAGCCGAGGAAAAATTACAACAGCAGCGCGATCGCGTTAGTAGCATGGGCCCAAAGGTTTCAACCGCACGTCAAAAGATCAATGCTGGACGGCGCGAGTGCTTCAAGCTATCTAGAATTTGTTCGACCCTAGGTAACCGGCTCATGGGAAAAAACTACAAGTACGCAAGTATAAGAGTCTTAGGCGCGTGAGCGCGTAGTTAACATAATAATGTGTAATATATACATATACATAATAACATACATATAATAATTTAAATATCTTACATTGTATGCACAATTAAAGAGATTAATTCTTACGTGTCTTTTTAGTGTATTTTGACTATGAAGATTGTTCTTTTAGGTTGCCAGAGGCAGTAGCTCAACTTTTGAGTGATAAGCTTAAGGAGATTGCTAATCATACCCGTCAGATTACCAAGAAGAAGCGATTCCAATCTAATGATATTTCTGAAAATTCCTATTCTAGTTTGTTACAAGAAACCTCCGAGTTATCTAGGTACACGTGCACTGAGGAGAATTTGTCGTTGCAAGAACAACCAACGAATAATGCAAATGTGATTGATGAGGCGGGATCAAAGAGCGATATTTCTCACTCGACGCAATCTAATGAAGATAAGAGTTTATCGATATTAGAAACTTTGTTGGATTTCTCGCAAACGGTTCCATTCCAATCGACACCAGAGAAGAGGGAAGAAACATCAGTAAATCCATCGGAACATCGTAACGAAGAACAAATGATATTCCTTAATCAAGATAGTGCGTCATCGTCCGAACCAAAGCTGTACCAAAGTAATCCTACAGAACAAAATAATAAGCATACGGAAGAAAGTAGAACGGTCGAGTCTGATCCCGCCGCATCTTCAGAACTAATGTCATCAGCGATGGATTCTTCAAATCAAGAATACAATGAACAAAATAATAAGAGAGTCTCGCCACAACTGCCATCACCATCACCATCAGCATCGCCATCATCGCCATCGCCATCGCTATCACCTCCGCCATCGCCATCGCCATCGCCATCGCCATTGCGATCGCGATTACCATCGCCGACAACAATGACGACAGATACAACAACGACAAATACAACGATGACGACGACGACGACGACGACGACGACGAGGACGACGAAAACGATTGCACCTTATGTATCGATATTGATGCATTTAAAGAAGCCAAGGTGAGTCTTTTGAAAAATGGTCACGATACTCGATCGTTAAAGCCTCTTGCACAATAGGCGATAGCGATAGCGATAGCGACAATTACAAAGGTGCCGACAAAACTGTCGCTATCGCTATCGCCTATTGTGCAAGAGGCTTAACTGTCTGTGGATTGTGCTAAAAATCTTAAGATTTTTGTGGTTTCTGTTACTTTTCACGCCAGGAACATCAATCCCCATGGAATCCTGTGTCCGTACGAATTAATGGGCATTTGCAGGGATGAGGATTGCCAATATATTCACCAGTCGAGGAATCAAATCTGAAATAATACGTTACATACTACTGAACATAATCAACGTGACATACGTAAGGTGGTTCTAATTTCTCGTCAAATGTGTCAATGTGGATTGTACACTTTATGTTGATAGAGCATCGGCTCGCAGATTTCATAAGTTCGCGCGTTTGGTTTCTTGATTATCTTGACTTTTGAATTCTAATCGCTTACGATATATGTTATATATAAGATAGAATCGCGTACAAAAGTAAAAATAAATGTACAGTAGCTTTGATCGTTCCCCTTCAAGCAAGTGTCTTTGATTTCGCATTTGCAGGTATCATCGATTATCGTCTAGGAAGTAGATATATCGATATAGGCGGGATTATGTTATGCAGAGCCAACACCCGAAGATCGGTAAGTTGTCTTCATCCATGGCAGGCTCTATAGTGCACAGTACTGAAATTATGAAATTATTTCGCAAACATCTTACATTTTACGTAAGATCTCTTTTTTAAAAAAGAAAGTCGTGCCACTACGGGGTTTCGAGCGGCATATTTTATCGAAAGTTTAAAAAGAATGTCTACGAGTGTATATATTTTTTATAACTGTAAGAAAAAAAAGTGTCATAAACTGCAAGATCAGTGTGGTAAAGATAGAAGAAGAATCTATTGACCATACTAAGAAGACTAAATATCGAAAAGAAGACAAGTCCAGCAATTACGGATCATCAATGGACAGTTATTTTTTTCTTCGTACTTCGATATAAGTTACCTCATATTAAGGAATCTTGTACCTGTATAATAAAAGTTGAATATTTTTTTCTTAAGTAGAGTATAAATCAATTACGTATCCCCTCATACATTGAACTATAGCCCCTCCCTTACATAAGTTTCTATAATTATTATCTCTCTTAACTATAATTCACTAGGAATATACAGTCGTAATAATTGTTTAATTTCCAATTTCAAATATTATAAGACTTTAATTTTACTCTAGAAGATTGATCTTTATTTTTCTTCATTCGCCGTATTTATTGCCGGGGAAAGCGCCCTGAGTTTTGTATTTGTGCCAAGGTAATCTGCCTGTAAGTCTAAGTTCATCCCAGTGTTCTACCCAGGCCTTCGGACATATGGACGTGAAAACATCTTTAAACCACGTGCATGCTTCAGAACCTTCACCTAAAATATGCTGACAGCGATAAAAGTCGGTATACATTACGAAGCATCTCTGCGTCTGATTTTGTTGCTGAAATCTGCGAACGGATAACGGAAGTGACGAAGAAAGTATTATCCTTGAATTAATTAATACCTCAATCATGTGTACCTTGGGTCATTACCAGGAGAATATTTAAATTCCTGCGATTTAAACTCCTTGTGAATCTCATCCTTCTTTTTGAGACGAGGATTATCTTCATCTACGATAGTTATCTTTTTCTTTGAAGCCCCCTTTTCCCTTGTTTCATGATTTTTCATTGAGGATGGATTATCAACTTTTTCCTCCATTTCCTTTAGACAACACAATCACGTGTGCTTCACGATAATAATAATAATTCTGTTACATATCTTAAAACCCTCTTTAAAAATGTTGAGCCATCCTGTCATTTCTAAATTTTCTCTCGCTGTTTTTCACTTGTTCAAATTTTATCTATACATACGGCGATTATAATTAAATTAGCGTCTTTATTGACATGAGACCGATCGTATAAAGCAGTACAAAAAGATTTCCTAAAATAGCATACAACGCGCAATGCATAATTAATCACAGCTAACATAAGGCCATTATCTTTTACATATGTGATGCTGAAGCGTTTCCAACGTGTGTGGATCAAATAAATCTAAGTCATTTCAGGTAACGCACACTATACAGCAGCATATATCGTTTTTACAAGAAAACAATTCTCTGATACAAATTGTGATACATACAAGAGAACAAGCGCTAGCGACTAATGCGTGAATCGCATGAATCAAGATATAACATTAAGCTTCCCGGCGAACACATTGTGGTAAACAAATAAAATCTACAATGAGATTTATTTTTCAATATTATACGCCGAGCGGTATATAAATATAATATACGCGCATATATGAACAATTTATATATAATATAAAAATATTATCCACGTATGTATATGTCAGTATTATCATTCTAAGATTAAGAACACACTTTCATTATTTCTTGTATAGAAGTGTTGCATATTATCATTTCAAGCTTTATAGAAATGCGTTTTTTCACATTTTATATTCAGTCATAAGAGATAGACTCTTGGTAGAATTTATGAAGCTCTAAAAATAGTTTGCGTATAACAGAATTGCAAACTTTCAAAATTATTTAATATGATATGATAACCGAGAAAAAGCTACATTTAACAACCAACATTAATATCTCATCAATCTGACGATGTCTCCAAAAAAACCACAGTTTGCTTATATATATCTATATAATCATTGAATCATGTATAATTATGAATACGCAATTATATCAGAAGTTAACAAGTGGAGAATAATTTTCAGTAAAGTTATAGATTCATATTAAGGTGTGTAATTTTAAAATACAATACTATAATGTTACATTATTGTCCACTTGATACTTCTATCATTAAAGGCACTATTCAGGTCCCAATATTAATCAGTTAATCGACATCGGGATTAGGATTACATAGTCCTTGCATCCCTTCGATTCCTTATTTCTTCTTTCATTCTTTTTGGAGCACATCTCGTGCATAGATAATAATCGCGTCGTAGATAATAACATTTCTCAAAATAAAAATACCTAAATATTACAGTTTCGATGGATATGTCAAGATTGATATTAAGACAAAGATATGTGAACGAAGTTGTCTTAGGTTTCTTCGATATATGTATGTATGTATATTCATATATACAGATCTGGTTACTATCGCATTAATGTTTAACGTTACATTCCCTGGTTAATTTGGACCCAAGGAATGTGCCACGAAGAAGAATTATTAATGCAGAACACCCTGTTTATATGTTTCAATTAGTGAATCGGTTGACTAAAGAGCAAAGAAAGTATCGACAGGACCAGCCTATCTTCGAATGAATGATTCTGTAGACATTTGTGTGACAACGTGACAGCATGAATAAACCCTACGTTATTTGCGCCGATTGTAATTATCTCAACGACGAGAGGTATGGTTGACAAGTCATACGCTGTACCGGCTGATAAAGTCTTCTTTGTACTGGACTGGCAGTAATATTACTATTCTGCTCGAAATTTGGATCCCTGGATAAATCGGCGGTGGCCATTTCCGCGGGACGATTTTCCTGGAACGGGGAATCTCCGTTTCCGACCTGAGACTGCGCAGCAGCCTCGTTCCTCTTACGATATTTCGTCGAGTACTTGTAAAAATCCGACATCTCAAAAGGCTTTGTCACTTCTCTGTATGGCTGATACTTTCCCGGTTGCACGACCGTGCAGTTTTGCGGCGAACCCAATGGTCGTATCGCGTTATCGCAGACGTCCACGGATGGCTTCGATTCGGCTGGTATCTCCAATACCTTTGGCCTCGTTGGGGGCTGATCGTAACGAGAATGAGACTGCGCGTGCTGCCGCTCTTCGGGCTTGTCCCTCTTGTGACGGTTCACCGGACTCATCGGCGGCGGTGGTCCGCCGGTCGTCTGACTGTCTCTCGCGTTTTCGTTAGTAGCAGTCCTGATACGAGCAAGCGGAGGACTCGACTGATAATGCGCGTTTTTTCTCGCGTCGACCAGGTTGTGATCCAAGCACGTACTCGCTCCCGCATCCAATGACGTTTCGTACCACTCCTTTTGACGACTCTTACGATTATTATTGGCGTACTCCGACGTGTCCTTGCTGTCGTGCGAATCATGCGAGTGACTCGACTGCCAGGTCTCCACGCTTCCCAATGACTGTGTGCGCAGCAGCATCTTATTGTTGTTCGCCGACGTTTGTTGCTCGGACAACGGCAACAGGTGAACGGAGTGATGCTGATGAGATGACGCGGTAACGTTGCTGCTCGACGAGCTTTTAGTACACGCGACCGCGACCGTGCGATAACGCGATTGCGTATCTAAATTTGTACAACCGACACCACCGTTGTGCTGAGCACTTCTGCGTCTGCGATCCAAACTGCCGAATCTATCAGGCTCGTCCATGCTCACCCAGTGGATGTCGTCGTTGTGGCGCACCCAGTAGCCGGATGACAATTGCGACTCGATCGATGTACTGCCACCGCTGTGCCGCGAGATGTTCTTGATACAGGACGGTAATGACGAATCACGATCTCGCCTCGGTAAAATCTGCTGAGATTGCGCGCTGCTCTTATAGTAGGCCTGGTAATCGATGGGCAAGTAATGAGACGAGCGAAAATCTCTGTCGTAGGTTCCCTGACCACTTCTCCGTACAAAATCCGCATTATCCAAATGCTTGTAGGACTCGAAGGAATTTGTGTAATGTAGTCTGTGGGGTTGCTGCAGTTGATCCTGCAATTGCTGTTGCTTCTGCAGATGCTGAAATTGACGATAGCGCATTTGACGCTCGTCCTCGGTATAGGTGTTCGGCACATAAGGTCGATACGTTCTCTCGGCGTCCGGGTAATGGCCACGAGATCCGCCGCTCCCATGGGAATATGTGCGCGCGCGATATTGGTCGGGTAAAATGTAGATATTGTGATTGTCATTATGATCGTGCTCCACGATCTTAATGTTCGGTGGTTCGACAGGGCTTACGCCAGGATAAGTGCCACTGTGGTGATGATGACTGCAAACGGTCGGTACGGTTAACTGCTCCTCGTATCCATGCCCGGTATAAGTATTCGATTTGTCTTCGGATGCCAAAGGACTCAAACTAATACCAGGTTCATGAAGTATACTCCTTCCAATAGACTTCAGAGTTGTTATTTCATTTCCTGTTGTATACAATTACGAATTATAGATTAAAGATCTTTATTTTGTAAAATTATTGAAAAATTTGTAATTATAACAACTTTTTTCTCTCACACTTGTACATATATATATACACACACAATACCTGTACTATCTAATGGTGGCCGTGGCTTCTTTGTCCTGTGTTTTACGTTAACATGTGAATGCGGTGGCGTATTGTAACTTCCCGCGTGTACTTGTATCGGTCGCTGTGCTTTGCCACGAGTCTGTCTAATGAAGTTGAGCTCCGTCTCCAACTCTTGTAGTCTTCGTTGACTCTGCTGATAAGCGAGCCTTTGCTTGCGTCGCGTGGCCTTACTTTCCGTAGGGTCGTTAATGATACTCAACGCAGTTTCCACAATCCTAAGCTGTACTTGCCTTTCCAACTCCAATTCTGACTCCTCCTGCGCATGTAAGCAAACGATACCTTCAATCTAGCATACTTGTGTCAATTGTTATACCATTGCATCAGTTTAAAAGAAATCGTGATCTTACAACGTCGGTGGTCTTCAACTTGTTGATCAATTTTTGCGGATATGTAAAGGAAGTGCCTACTTTTCTACGAAAAGCTGGCGGACTTTCGCCAGGCTCCAAAGGTATTTCCGGTGGTAAAACCCCCGTTAGCTCTGCCTCCTCTACGCATAGGTTTTTCAACTCGCTGTTCTTTTGGGCAAGCTTCTCTTGCAAGGCTTCTCTGCGTTGACGCAGCCATTGCAATCTCGCAGACAACGGGTCATCTGCCAAGGTTCCTGGCGCATTTTCGTTTCCTGCCATCACTAGGCAATTGCAAAAGAGTAACTTCAGTTATTATAAAAATTAATTAAAACCACTAAAAGTCGCATTGTACATTGATTGATTGTACTTACCCATATTATTGGACAAGGTGTAGCAAATGGGTCAGCTATAATCTTTATGTTTGTCTGGATCAATGCATCTTGACGATAGCATATCCTAAACTACGAGCCATTTGAGTATTATTATTTGCTAATCAAGATATATAAAGAGAATGTTTACTCATACTTTTTGTATGAGTCTAGCGTTTTTCCTTTGTAAATAAACCCTGAACTACCAGTGGTGAGTAAAGCAAAATCCCCAGTAAAAATTCTCGATGCTCCAAGATTTTCTGTAACACAGCGGAGTTATATTTTTTAATAAACGACAGTTTTTAAAGAGATTCTTTGAAGTTAAGTGCTGCTTCAAAACCCATTTAAAATTTTCTGATCCAAAGATTTCTGGCTCTATCTATTTTATCGTTATTTTTGTACAACTATCTTAATCTCTTCTTAATAAACTTGTAATTCCAAGCTTAAAGACGCTTGGAATTCCACCTTCCTTCGGCTACTCTCAAAGTCCACTGTCTCCTATTCTACTTATCTGTCTTATGATAACGCCTAGGCTAAACGTCGCAAAAATGTGCCGATAACTTTATCAATTTACGAGTGTCAGCCATTTGTGATCGGTTACAAGATTAGACGCCGCTTAAACTGTGCAACAGCGGATTCAGATAATTCTTTCATTCGTAAACTCGGACTGTGTGTCATAACCAATAATTCCAGTATTTAAGGCGAGTTAAGTCAACGCTGAAAATGATCGTGATTTTACCATAGGCTCCTCCAGGAAGGGTTTCAACTTTCAACTTCGACTGGAAAGAGGTAAACACGCTTCAATATCCAGTCCACGGACGACAGCGTCGTTCGGAGTAACGCGCGAAGGAGAGGCTCGACCGAGGAGGAGCAACACCGACTCCCGACTCCGAGCCTGAGTCACGCATTTTTTTTGTCAAGCGTGCACTTTTATCTGTTTCACTTCCCCGGGACACGCTGGTGTACGTACGTACGTACGCTATTGATGACTACCACCAGCTGCACGACGGAAAGGATCCCACTCCCCTTCACCTGGAACGGATTGTTGATTGTTGACGCGGAGAGAAGCTGGGAGTGGACGTGTTCACGTTTTACACTAGGGAGCTAGGGAGTAGGGACCCTCTAAGGTCTCTAGGTTGTGTTTCAGCGAGCGGGTGCGTTCGGAAAATGTTGGGTTCGAGTTCAAACGTCGATTTATTCAAGCAGTTTGTTTTTCATAACTGAATTCTTCTTGCACTTTTCATCTTTTCCTTTTTTCCTGCTTCGATTATATATCTATTTTATTTCAGGTGGAGAAGTAATACTGAAAAACTACGAAGAACGGATCTGATGAAGATAGGTTTGTTCTTTTTGAGCTGAACTCCGTAGTTTTCATCCTTTTTCTTCGACCCTTACGTCCAAATATCGTGTTGGCGCACACTGCACATAAAGTTATTTAATTGTAAAAAATATAAAATTTTAATCGATAAAACGCTCAATAATTAACGTTATCGTACATTTTTAATTGATTCGGAATGCACGTTGAGATTCGTGGTGCCGCATAGCATGACTTTTAGTAGCTAAACCTGCTAAACCGTGATATTTTGCCCTAATTGGATCGGAAATTCACAATAAAAGGAAGGAAAATAATTTTAACATTTAATTGTGTCGATTTGAGTTCAATACCATATATATATACTTATCTAAAAAAAAATTGACGCGCATATATGTCTTGAGTAACTTAAAAATATGTAAGCTTATATTATTTCAGTTCTAATGCTTTTTTGGCTGTCCGGTTTAGAATTAGTTACAAAAGCAGAATGCTCTCTCATGTATGTGTACATACATACATATGCGCGGCGCTGCACTTCTGGGCCCGTATGTCTATTACAGTGTATACATACACATCAGCCTGCGTGCGCCGTGCAGGGCGAATGACTTTTTAAAAACGCGCGGTGAAGAGAGAGAGAAAGAGTGGGAGGGGGGGAGAAAGAGAGAGAGAGAGAAAGAGAGAGAGAGAGAGAGAGAGAGAGAGAGAGAGAGAGAGAGAAGCGGAAACGCCGCGGACGTAGGAGGAGTCAACGATCGGGTAACGTCGCGGTAACGTCGTCGTCGGGCTCGTCGGCGTGGACGACGACGGCGGTGTCGCGGGTGCACGAACCCGTCGCGAACGGGATCAACGAGAGGCGCGCGATTAATCGATGCCGTGGCCGCGATGCGCGCCGAGGCCGTGCCGCCGCCGTGCGACGGCCGAGACGTTAATCAAACCGTCGATTGACCGAGCGAATAGGCGAGCGTGCGTATTCCGGATTCCGGGGGACGGGGCGGCCGCGCACCTTCCCTCGAGCGAGCGCGAAGGGCGGATAGAGGGATAGAGAAAGATAACGAGAGAGAGAGAGAGAGAGTAGAGAGTGAGAGAAGAGAAGAGGAGGGAGAACGAGCGTGTAAAAGCGAATTGAATTCCTACGCTCGGCGGTAACGTACGGTGCCGGAACTGCAGCCAGTGCCGCCCGATAAACCATCCGTTTCTTTCCGCGCGACGGCGGATCGCGGATCGCGGGAGGGCCGACGAGAGAGACGGACCGAGAGGGAGAGTGAGAGGGAACAATTGGGAGGGTTAGATGAAGGGAGGGAGTACGTTTCGATAGAGCGAGCGCGAACGGCGAGCGCAGCGACGAGGAATCCGGAGTCCGGAGTCCGGAGTAGGTACGATCGAGGGGAGCGATCAGCGACCGATTGGGTAGCGTGCGTCGAGAAGCCGAAGGATCGCCTCACGATGGACGAGTGCATGCTGAACGACTTGTTGGAGTGCTCGGTATGCCTGGAGCGGCTCGACACGTCCAGCAAGGTGCTGCCGTGCCAGCACACGTTCTGCAAGAAGTGCCTGGAGGAGATCGTTAGCACCCATCGCGAGCTACGCTGCCCGGAATGCCGCGTCCTCGTGGACGCCAAGGTGGACGACCTGCCGCCGAACGTGTTGCTGATGCGCATCCTCGAAGGGATGCGCAACGCCGCGCCGAAGAACCAGGCCAAGTCCGCTCTGCCATTGTCGAGGTCCTCCGGCCCCACCGCCGTCCCCCAACGGCTGTTCGGCGGTCACCAGGTCGCCCCGGCGCCCATCGTCACCGGCAATCTCGCGCCCACCATCGGCTCCGAGCCGGCGGTGCGACACTCCAATGCCGCCGCCAAGCAGGTACACCTGCACAACCAGGCGTACGGAAGGGCGATCTACGATTATGTCTCCAAGGTGCCAGGGTACGCATTGCCATTCGTACGTTCATGGTTTATGCTTGTGCCTATTCTACTATATGAATATTATTGTTTGTTCTTGCAGCGATTTGAGTTTTAAAAAGGGTGATATAGTCATCCTCCGGAAGAAGATTGATAACAATTGGTATTTCGGGGAATGTGGTAATAATCACGGTGTCTTTCCTCTGTCTTACGTTCAGGTATAACGCGAGAATCTTGGAAAAATTGAATGTTTTCATACACTGTAAATTTGAATTCATTGTAATTTGCTTTGTCGCAATTTTCAGGTGATGACGCCTTTGACACCACACGTACCTCAATGTAAAGCGCTATACGATTTTAGGATGACAAATGATGACGAAGATGGTTGTCTAACTTTTAACAAGGTAGGGTCATATGTCTCTAATCACTCGCCGTTGATGTGTCGCCGGCACATATGTATAAACAAAATATATGAGTATGAACGTATTTTAGGGGGAAGTAATCAGCGTTATCAGAAGAGTGGACGAAAATTGGGCAGAAGGTAAACTCTTGGACAGAATTGGTATCTTTCCACTAGCTTTCGTCGAGCTGAACAGCGTCGCTAGAGCTTTGATGAAACTCTCGACCAAGTAAGTAGAACAGTCGATTGATACAGTTGCCGCGCTTTTAAAAAATAAATGTATACGTTAATTAATTTTTTAATCAGCGTACAGCCGGGACCGTCGAGGGTAGCCCCGCCAACTCCGACGAACGAAGAAACCACGCCGTTGATACCAACCGATCACTCGCGTAATGTGCAAACAACGAGCCAGTCTCGACCGCAATTAGTACAGGTATATATTTCTAATGAAAGCGCCTACTCAATATAAGATATGTTTCATGAGACATGTGTTTTGATATTATAATGCACAAATGCTGCACAGGTATCTGATTCTGTCTCAAACGTATCGTCTGGCGGCAGCTCCACGACCACTACTCCGAACACCCCCAACAGTTCGACCACATCCAGCAGTTCCAGTACGGCCCCGAGCAGCCCTGGGAGTCCGGCGACGTCGCCACCCGCGGTCGGCAACAGGCATAACGTTAAACGTCATAGTTTCACTGCCGTCAATACAGGTCATCATGCACATCCCCATCATAGACATAGCGCTGAAATACTTAGTCCTCCGGTAGACAGTGTCCCTAATAACGCCAATAATAGCGGAGGCAATGAGCCGTTTTCCTCCTTACAAGTAAGAAAACCATATCTTCTTTCTGACAATTCTCTTTCTGTATGGATAGCTACATACGCGAACTGCTACCTCGATCAATGTATGGTTCTCTATCGCTTTTGCATTTTAACATCTTTTCTCTCTTTTCCTTTCGTGAAATTTATGCTGAATTTGAATGAACTTCTTTCTATTCTAGACGAGCGGTAGTTGTACGGATCACAGTCTTCGTCACAGGCGAAGTGGCAGCAGCGATCTCGTTCTCGCCCAGGCGTCGCAAAATATACCCGCTGGTCAGACTACCAGCGCATCCGGCGGGACGCATTTACCTGCGGCATACGTAGCATTATATCCATACAAGCCCCAGAAAGCGGACGAGCTTGAGTTACGAAAGGGCGGGATTTACATGGTGACGGAACGCTGTCAGGACGGATGGTTCAAAGGAACGTCCAATCGTACTCAGAAGTGCGGGGTTTTTCCTGGAAACTACGTTGCACCTGCCAAGTACGCATTTACCTTTCAGTCTCTGTCTCGCGGATTAGCCTGATCATTCGCGTTACGATCTTCGATGTATTTGCAGCAGATGTCAACGCGGGCTGTGCCGTGGATCTCCAAACTCACCGAGCCAACATCAAGGTTCGCCACTGTCGAACGCTCCGTCGAACGCTGAGTCACGTTTGGCGGTGACATACACGAAGAGCAAGGGTCCCGCGCCGCAGCCGTATAATCCTCGCACCCTGCCGCCGCCTGAATTACCGCCGCGCGCCATCAGCCCATCCACGACGACTGTGTCTTCGTCCTGGCACGGCGCCGCTCAGTCGAATCAAGGACCGAATCAAGAAACTAGTCCGCCCCGACACAACGACCAGAATGCAGCTGCCACCCCGCTCGGACGCAGTCACAGCGCGGTGATGACGGCAAATATTCGTAAGTACTTAAAATATATCGCGTTGGATTATGGGCGCGCTTTTCGTTGATGTTACAATTATGCCGATATACAATCATGTGTTCCTTTTCAGCTTCCCCCGGTAAACAAATCGCCGTGTCGTCGTCGCTACAACCGGCAGCAGGTATCAATAATGCTAATAATAGCAGCGTTACTATCCCAGCTCCTTCCTCTTCCGTGAGTGACATGAATAGAAGCCCGAATAATACTCTACGTGTAGCAGGCGGTATCGCAACGTCGAATGCAGCTGCGACAGCGTCCAGAACCACGGAAAAGGTATTATTCCTACGATAAGCCTTTATACAAGTGCTATATTTCTTTAATATAGTAATAACGTTGTTTATATATATATATATCTACTTATAAATTACAGCCCAAGGAAAAGAAGGATAAATGCGTCTCTTTGATGCGGCGCTTGACCAATATTAAAAAGTCTAAATCGCCTCCACCTACTACGTACTCGATGGATAATCCTGTATTCGACGACGGTAATTCCGTCAATCCGATGCACGTTCGGTGAGTACACAGTTAATTTAGATTATCGCGAACTTATGTGTCTGTACAATCTGTATTATAATCCAGAAGTCGAGAACAACGTTGATCTGCAAATTGCACGTTCTGATAATCGATCTTGTTTGACATATATCTCACCTAATCCTGCTAATTTCCGTATGCACATACATGCATTATTATGTACATTACGTGTTCTCAGATTGTCAAGCAATTTGTATGAATGTTCGTCGAAGTGTTAGTTCAAATGTTTAAGTAAAAGCGCTACTTTTTTTCTTTTTGTTTGTTAAGATTGTTGCATGATCGTTGCATCACCAATAATTATGCACACGTACAGAATAGATTAATAGGTGGCTAAGCAGCCACCCACGAATAATATTTACATCATCATGCTTTGTGCAGCATGACACAAACTGCACGCCTTGAAATGTTTCTCTAATATTGTGTTGGGACGGGGCGGGTGGGCAAATTGACAATCGCAGATCGGGGTCTTGCCCAAGTCAGTTGCTACAGGTGGTACCTACACAGGAATTAAACGCTTCAAACAGCCCACACCGCTTAGGTCCAGGCTCTGTGCAAGGGCACGTCACATCCTCACAGAGACTGAAATACAAGGAGAGACCCTCCTTACCAGTGTCAGTAACCCAGAGGTTAGTCGTTTGAAATTCTAAATAAGAACCGGGCTCTAAATTCGTGAAAGTCCTCTGCGCGCATATTTTGCCAGCTAGCAGATAAATTAGGATTATTCATGAAATACAAAGGGAACAATCGTTTTGGTATTGGAAAACTGCGACGTTCTTTATATTTTACGACAATTAATAATACAATTGTAGCATTTGTTTACTTTTATGAAAGCACAGGATTACATAGATTATCCGACAATAAACTGTCCTACATAAAATTAATACTTTCTTATTTTAAGCAGTCATTTCTTAATTTTTACGGCGAAGACACACTCCATGTGTAAGTCAATATATGAATTTGAGAATTATATAATTCGGTTTCTTTTTTTTTCTTTTTTTTATATTAGTGTTTGCAATTTATTGCGAGGTAGAACTGCATTTCATTTCAAGGTAAGCTTAGAAATGTCTAGATTTATACAATTTATTTTGCATTGTTGCGTAATTAACAATATATATGTTGTTTTTCATACATCACAAAATTATAGCACACTCTTTTGCACAAAGTAAACTTTTATAGTTAGAGAAACATTGATTGCAGATATTTTGCATGTTTGAAAAATCCCCAATGTGAACTGTGATGAATCCATTAAATGTTTATTACATTTGTTACATAGTTCTTTGTTAATAATTCTCTGTGCAAAATGCCATAATTTAGATATATTTCATTTATTTATGCTTGTGTGATGCTGAACCGTCTGGTATATAACTTTAGCACAAATTACCGCAATTCTCTGCATTAGTAGTGACAGTCTTGTTACATATAGGCTCTTTACTTCCATCTAGATCCAATGAATCCGGTGCAATGGTATGCTCAACCGTTGGAAATCATCATCGCAAGAGTAATTCTCTAGACGCTGGAATGGGAAAGCAAATGAAGCAGCAATCGTCGCGCGACCGGTAGGTATAACATTTGTCCCTCAAATTTCCGAGTTTAACTTTCGTTAACTTGCGCCCGTTAGTCGCAAAATTATAACGTTCCTCGTTGTTTCATGATAATTGTGTTCGATTTCAGCACGGGGTATAGATTCCGTTGTATCGTGCCATATCCGCCTAACAGCGAGTTCGAACTGGAACTACGCGTGGGAGATATAATATACGTGCAGAAGAAGCGCGACGACGGATGGTACAAGGGTATGCAGCAGCGTACCGGTCGTACGGGGCTATTTCCGGCGAGTTTTGTGGAGGCTTTCTGAGACCCGACGCAAAGTCGCCTAGTGTTAGAAACTTGTATATAACTTGGCCTTTTGTGTAAGTATTTACACGACACATTCGGATTCGGGATTACGCCGGTACGGCGTATTTGTCGTTGGTTTTCTCCGCCGCTCTTCGGGATGTTATCGACTTCAAAGCGACTAACACATGCACGCGTATCACGCATGCTGTATCTCGAGCTGTGCAATGTATTTAGAGCCGTTGTGCGAACTTAATGGGCCATTAATTAAACGTGTTGTAATAAACGCGCCGTGTAAATGATCGACGACAGTGTCGAGTTAATAAATGCATTCGCGCGGTGGGTGCAATAGGAAATTTTAGCGCAAAACAATTATGCGTATTTCGCATGTAAATATGTGCAAAAAATGACGAAGGGTAGTACATAATGCTGAAAACTACTCGGAATTTATACTGCCATTGGTTATGCGTAATTGTAACGAGATAACGAATTCATTTTTGCGCGACGTTACTGCCATTTGCGATCTTAAGGGAAGGAATATCGGTTTTCCTTTTTGAGCTACTGATTTCAAACTTGCTATCTTTTTCGACATGCGCGCAATGTATAAAAAAGATTAATATGGGTTGTGTAATAATCATGCTTATGCGCGTGAAGCCATTCATGACACGTAATTAAAAGTAGAATTATGGAATAAACGAAGAGGAAAGAAATTGCGTGTGGAGAAAAGAGGATTTTTCTTAGAAAAATCTAAATATCTCGGGGGGGGGGGGGGGCATACGCACACGTAGACTAATACGAAACAATAAGCGCAAACGACAGTCTGTGCGATGATACGCTTAAATTTCGTCAACAATGTTAAATGTTGGAGTTGTACTTGCGATTGTCTGGATGGGACCGTATTTGTATATGTATAGTCGCTAATCTAACTAAAAGTTGAAATTCCATCATTTTCGACTTTAGAGATTTAAGCGTATTGTTGCACGGATATTTATTTTATCCTGAGATATTTAGGATTATGGATCTGATCCATATTTATTGTCAGTCATACCGGGCTTTATATAATTTTTCTCTTCCTTAATCTGCCATTGTAGACGATCGGCTTATTTGCCACCGATAATTTATTATGCTTGTGTATCGAAAGCTATATTATACGAGAGCACAACCAGTAATTTTATTATTGACATTCAAGACTGGACTACGTTTTAAAATTGTTGATCGAGATTAGGTGAATGTATTATAATGTCTTTTCTTAGCAAAGGAAAATGTTCTATTTTAACGAACAATTCGGATTGTTATAGGCAATTTAGCTAAAGTATTTAGAAAATGGCCTTGATACGCGCAATGTTGATGTATTATTATATACTTTGTATACATCATTTTATAACTCGATTTATAACTTGTTTTCTAATTTATAAAGTCACACAGACATCCATGGCATGATGACGAGTTGGTTGTTTAAACAACTAATTCAGGATAAATAGGAAAATATCCAATAAATTAAAGTGCTTCCATTATCTGATTGCTGATCAGTACGTAGATATAAAATTTTGTTACGTTCTTTATATTTTGTATTATTATTCTTCTATTATTCTTATTAATTGTACAATTTTGCGCAATCGGTTTTTATAAATCTTTATACATATATCGTTAAAAGATATTTTATTGATTACGATTATCATTGTATTAATTATACTATCGTCTTTTAGAGTTTATGATTAAGACGCAAAAGTGTACCTTATTTCGATATGTTATTAATAATTATATACATCAATTGTACATACATTACGCGTGTATAAATAGAGAAGTATACTTGTACATATATATTCGTAATGCTCAATTCATTAACATTTATGCATAAGTAATCCAGCTAACATTTACATATTCGAATTTAGACATGTGTATTGCACAAATCCACATGTAAACGAGAAACTTACACATGTCATATTCGATATAATTTTGATCGCATATGTATACGCGTACGTATATATCCTGGGGATATATATTTATATTAATTATGAACATTTAATGGCACATTTGTATATAATTTTATTGTAACTTGGTATATTATAGAAGTTTGCAGATGACCCGTTTATCTGACTAGAGACAGAATCCAATGTACAACGAACAATATAATGTAACGATATAGAGAACATTGCACAGTACACATTATAAAGACGAAGTCACAAAGAGATAGTTCACTAGACAACGGAAGAGAAAGTATTCTCTGTGCAGCACTTTCTCTTTCAGAATTTTTATCATTAATTATATCGATGAGTTAACACTCAATGCGCATTACAACATTAGTTCTATACTTTTCTAATGGATTAACATGCAAATTGTTGTAAATATAACAGTGACACCTGCAAACTTTTATGATACGAAGAATTTCGTTGTCCTCATTGAAATGCAAAGCAAACAGATATCAGAAAACGACAATTTACAATCACGCAATAATTGCAAAAGGGGTAACGAAAAGCGTCCATCTCTGTCATTTGAGGTCAAGAAAAGAACGTTGCCTGTAAATTTACGAGCGGATAATTTTCTGTGGCCATCAAACTGTAGAATAAAACCTAGAAGGATTAGCGTAATCGGTAAGAAATTACACGAATCTTATCGACGTTAACGAAGTCTACGTTGTGGTACGAGAAAAGTGTGACTTAGAGATTCTGAACGTCTATATTCGCGTAGGGAGAGATGTAATTTTATAGCTATTCGTCCGATTGGGAAAGGTGGCTGGATATATTTTTTTATGTCAGTCACTTGAGCGCGAAAAAAGTGAACGACCGATCGACCATAGGATCGAATTTAATCGAATCTAGAATTATAATAGTCAGGAAAAAGAAAATATCTCTTACACTCTTATGCGAGGGGCCACACTGCGCATGCTATAATAAATTTGGCAGTCTATTGTAGCGCGATATTTAGAAATTGGAGAAAGGATAGGAAATAAAACGTGAGATATATATTATATATATATGTATACATATTTATATGCAAAAAACTCGTCTATTTGTGTTCATGCGGATCATTGGAATCATTATACCGTATCTTATACAAATTATTAATGTGTCATACGCACAATATATTTAATGTTTTGCATTTCGATCTTGCATATCCATCTCCGACGAAGAATATGAATTTTCAATAACGGCTTTTATTTTTTTTGTACATCCCTTTCGGTATATCTCCGTGGCGATTAAATTATACGATTGAATTCCTTATGTCATACTAAAAAAAACTGCGTAGAAACTATTTATACACAGGCATACGTATGTGTGTTTTATATGACGTACACTTAAGTAATTTATTATTAATGGCTTGTAAAGAAGGTACTGCTAAGTTACGGGTGGTATATCAGATCGGCTGTAACGAGAGAGACTAATTAGTCGTCGCTACTTTATATCGCGCGCAACACAGAATCAGACGTGACACGAGACGCCTGTAAAAGATCATCCTCCGCGTAATTATGTAATCGTTGATTTAACATTGTTGTGCTCGTTTGTTTTTGCGTAAGGCATAAGAAGAGCCGCAAGTGTACGAAACGCGTTCACAGTCACAGTAACAGTCTTAAATCAATGAGAGCGCGCATGCGATGCGATTATAAAACCATCTCTGTGGATTGTAAATAAGTTACTGCGAAATCTAGCGTTTCCGCGACGTTACAGTAAAAAGAAAAAGATCATGTCGGTAAAGCTATACTCTCGTATACATAGGGACGACGACCCTCCTGCGTTTCGCATGAGGTCGGAATCTGTCTAGGTTGCAGAACAGGTACACGTAGCGTAGGGATGTAAGACAAAGATCCGAGTCAAGAGCCTTCGTTTAGACCAAATGTGTTTCTAGCACTTCTTTCGTAAGGGGAAACTTAGAATAGTCATTATATACCGATTACTACCTTTACACGCTACTTACGCTACTCGGTATTTTGTCACTAACGTAACGATGTTCCAACAAGTCTATGTCGATGTCGTGTCCAAGCGTAATTTACACATATACATAGGTATCGTTTAATATTTAAATAGCATACGAAAACTGTAATAAAATCCTTCACGTGGCTACCACAAATGCCGGGGTCTGTATGTGTGTGTAACCCAAATCAGTCATTTCTGTTTGTCGTGCTCGTGAAGTCGATTCGATATGACGATCCATTATGTTAAATTACATTTGATTTAATAGATCGTAAATAATTATTTCAGAAGATTAGAAATCGACTAATTTCACGCAATTAAAGAGTTTATTGGAACTTATATAAAAAAAAGGAATACGTATATATTTCTTTTTCAATATAGATTAAATTTATGTGGTTCCTTAATTGCGCGAAACCGATCGATGTGCTGAATCCTTTAAACTGCCGCAGACAGCATATAGGAAGTTGAAGCCTTTTACGGTCTTTATTGTACTATAGGGCGCAATTTCGACAGACATGCACCGAGTCTGTTCTCTAGTGCGATGAAGACTGTTATACGTGAAGATATCTAAGTGAAAAAGCATAATATAAGCACTTCAACTAATAAAATATCATATTATAACTTCAATTAAAAATGTTATAATATTGACGTGAGATATTTTATCGGTCAAAATGTTGATATTATGTTTCTATCAGATAACTGCATACATAGCCAGCCTTTAGCATACATCGGATCAGACTAGTGCAAGTGATCTAATTCGCTATTGCTATACAGATACCATTATCACCACTCTTCTCATTACGTTTATTATTATCTCGAACATTGTGAAGATAGTGATTTTTTTCTTAAAAAGCTACGTTTTTTTAGCACACACACACGGCAGAATGTTTCGTAGCAATATATTAATGAAAGCTTAACAAAAACAATATTATATCTCAGGAATGCCTCTGAAATAAAATCGGTAATGGTATCATCATTAATTTACTATCGTACTTGACCATTATTTCGCTAATGTCATTAATTTCAGTCTTTCCCCGAATACGGAGAAAATGCGTGTAAATATAATGGACAGAGCTATTCCGTTTTTTCCGTGACGTCCGTGTTTATTTGACGTTTACTACGCATCGATGCCATTCGTGCCGGCTACTTTAATGCAACAGCTGGTCGTCTTGATGTAGAAGCGCTTCTTTGCACGCGAGCGTATCAATTGAGCCCTGTCGGGAGTTTATTAAAGTTATTTAACACGGTCCTTTACGCTCCGATGCACAGTTAGATGCTTCTATCTGGGACGCATTGCGCTGTGCATTCTATCATGTTCTATCCTCCATCTCCGTATAAATTAAATAAATTTGCGTATATTTTACATATATAAAAATTATATAACAATGATTATATATCCACACAGCGTGGAATGCTGTCTGGATAATATAATAATTATACACATATAATTAAAACAAATATAATGTTTTGTATTACAATATGTAATTAACATTTCCAGTCACAAGTGAATTTTTAGACGAATGGTTTACATTCTTTGAAACAGAAATGACGCTAAAACGATTTCGAAAATGTTTTTTATCCTAAAATGACTGGAATATTCATCAACGCATTCGGAAACAGCTGTTACGCAAGATTATAATTAACCTGTTTCCGAACCTCCGAGAGTCGATTTACATGTGCAAAGTGATATACAGTATATATTCGTAACATTCCTCGCCTGCACTACGCGCGGTAATAGAGTTTTTACGCAATCGCACGATGTTAATAATTCCTCTCTAAGGAATAAGAACATTCGCAAACTCATTTTAATATTTCTTTGCACGATAAGATATAAACTGCTGGAAAAGATAAAAAGATGAGGGTCGATAGTTAAGAGGAATAGTTTATATCTGTTAGATAAGAGTCCTAATTACAGTTGTACAAACGATTTCGGGGAGAAAAACTTTTTCATTTTTTTATGTGCAACATAGATAGCGAGACAAAAGGTCTAATATTACACTTGAAGGAAGTAATATAACTTAGGGGAAGTCTCGAGGATATTAGAAATCTTAAAATTCTACGATGGCACGTCGCGGTACGTAACGGTACACGTGTAGCGTGCGACAGCCCGACCGGCGCGCGGCGCGGCGCCTGAAATCACAGCGTCACCGGTGACTCAGGACCTTGAGGATCTATTTAGCAAAACGTTGCATGCCCGGAGACTGGCATCCTGCACGAAAGAAGAAGTGTCATCCACGAGACACGCGGCGTCGGGCGCAACTGCAAAACGCAGCGCGGCCGTCGCGTTAAGCAACTCTGGCGACGGGCATGCATGCGACAAAAGCCGTCCGGCCGCCCGTCTGACTGGCTCGTCGACTGGTGGATTGCGAAGCATCGACCGGAGTGTAAGTAATTAAATAAATCGTCGTCGGTTCGTTCGACTGTCGTCGTTAGAACGCGCGTTTCTCGTTTTGCGAGTGCGTGGAGGAGAAGAAAAAAAAAGGAGAATTGGAGTTGCGAGAGTATCAACGGGACGCACGTAGCGCGAGTAATAAATTCAGTGCACCTTTCCTTTTCCGAGACCGTTGACCTCACCGTGGAACAACGACCAAGGACGGCTGAGCCAAGGTGCTCTTTATCGTCTTCTTCATTTTGCCTCCCTAGCAATTTCACGGAAGAACGAGAAATGCCGGGAATGCGTTCTCGAGCATACCGTGCTTTTTGCGCAAATCAGACAACGCCCAGATGACAATGTTCAAAATCGACATAAGACGTCTTAACGTAATTAAGATGTTTTATAAGATGTTTATAAGATGACGTTTTGAAGACGTCTCATGTCCCGATTTTGGACAGTGTGTTATCTGGGCGCTCTCGTTTACGCGCGATTAAAATTCCATTTCGATAGAAATATGTGTACATTACCTACGTTATATTATTCTAATAAAATCGATTGGAATGAGGCAATGTTTATAGCGAGAGATTATTACTGCATTTCGATTAACTTTTGTTGAATAAACGCTTCAAGAATGTATAAGTATTTATGCAAGCATGACTCTATATTCTTGCATAGCATTATATAATGACATATTGATAAAAGTTGGGAAAATATTAATGTTTTCATCGCTGTCACATTCAATTAATTTTATATTCATATTTTTACGTGAATTGATAAATTTTGAAATTTCAAAGTCATCGAAATAAATTTTACGCGTAGTCTTGAAGGTCACAATTCAATGTTAAATGATTTATAGTATCGAACGCGTTATGCAAATTATACAAATTGCCTCATTATTCAGTTTCTTTTTTTCTTTCAAGCTTTTTATATATGTAAACGTCGTGTCTAGACCGTGGAAAGTAAAAGTTATAATGTAAATTAAATATAAAAATTATCTCATTCGTTTTAAATATATGTGAACGTTCTTCCATTGTCTTGATCATTGTACTTTGAAAAACGTGAGACTGAAATGTTTGAATGTTTCGTCTTCTATCAAGATTTTTACGGAAATTTCCGCATAGGTATTCGCGTGTTTATCTCTGCTTTGTTTAAAATCTCGCACAAATTATAGATCGTTTGAAATGAGTATTATTTATCAGTACGCGTGAAGAATTAAGAGGAGACCGGATTGAAAAGGGCAGACCCTCTTTCGAAATACACCATTCAGCGTACTTCACGTACGTCTTCTCTGTCTCCGCTTTGTTCGCCACTTAAAGCCCATATTATTCAGCCGATCTATAATTCGAGCTTCAAAGTAGAAATCTGACGCGTTTAATTCCGTCTACGATTTTTTGCGCCGCGTATCTCGATGCTCTAATATATTCTTTTATACCGCGCGTATATTATTTTATTATTATCGTATTACATCGCAAGTAGGATTTTCAAGCTTTGCTCGTCGCGAACGCAGATGTGGAACCCTCGGGAGCCAGAGCGGCGCGTGCGCGCGCGCGCGCTCACGCACCCCCGGGAAAAAAATAAGGGATCCGGTCGTGTACGTCGCACGGGCGCGTATGCCGTGTAGCCGTGTATGCCGTATTGTATATAATCTGTTGTAGTCTCGCCAGCGGCCAGTCTCGCGTCTCGCGGCGGAAAGACTTCGTCCCGCCGGACGAGATCCACTCCGAGCGAGCATTTCAGCGGCGCGCCGCCGTCGGGGGTTGACACCGGAACCTGTCGTATTGTAATAGATAAATTTGATAAACGCTCGCAACGGGTTTTATCCAGCCGCTGGACCGGCTGGACGAGTTTGTCGTCGGACCTCGGACTTTATGCGTCGAGTCATTACGATAACGGATAACGATATTCACGATAAATTAGACGTGTCTGCACTTCTCGTACTGCCATTACAGCTCCCGTGCGCGTGTGCGTGCCTGTTTAAATGGCACGTATGTGATTTTGGCAAACCACCAGTCGACGTTGTGTCACACAAATGGCGGCATTGATCATCGTTCCATTCCAATAACCGAGAGATTTGTTGCCTCTCGGGCCAGCCGTTTGACGCCTAGACGGAAAATGCAAATCAGTTGCCCGAGTGGAATTTGATCCTTTCGAAAGTTTCGAATCGACCCAGAGGAAGAGTGAGGGAAGGTAGGAAGGTGGGGGAGATAAGATAATTATGTCAAGTATAATCGACAAACCAATCATAAGGAATCGTTCATTATGCAGAGTCGACGGAACTAAGTACTGAAGCAATAAACACACAGTGGTGTTCGTTCGATTTGCCTGCCGAGTGGGATCCTTGAGGAAGTCGACTGGTAAAAATTGATGTAACATTAATTCAGTGGATTGGAATATCAATTGCGAGTGTAGATCTTGACGCTCCGCTTAGACTTTCGTTGCTCGTTATATTCCAAAAGTGATTAATCTCTTATAATATTTTCTTGTTGTAGGTGTAAGGTGTACGAGAGAAAGACGGCGAATTCTTTGTCACAATGATGGCCAGGGCTTTGTGCAATGCCTTTTCGGGAAGGCAGATTAGCCTATGCGCGCAGTCACAGCTATTAAAACGTAACCCATACTTGGTAATACATTCTTCTATTTGCAATTGTTGTTATCATGACATATGTTAATCATGCTACGTTTGCTCACTTTGCGTTATCACGTTTGCCATTTCTTTCAGGGTATCGGACAATTAACACGCATGATATCCTCGCACCATGTCTCGAAGAACATTGAGTTTCTTACGCAAGATAGTCGTATTATATCGTCCAAGAACGTTGCTCAGAATATAAATCTAGCAAATAATCGTCCTTTGTTGGTTATCCTCACTTGGCTGTTATCAAAGCGACAACACGTCATGAAGTTTGTTAATTTGTATATGGAACAAGGTTTTGACGTGGCAGTGGTATCCCTTACGCCTTGGCAGCTTATGTGGCCTGTGAAGGGCTCTAGAGTAAGTACACATGGTAGATCTGCTTTAGACAATTTACAATTTGTTACACGAGTCTCTACTTTATGTATAAACTGTAAATAGAATTCTGTCGCAAATCGTAAATCGTCCAAGATGGATTTAAAATCCATTTGTTACAATTTTCGAAGTTTGTTTTCAGCTAGTGGCAGCGGATTTGTTAACTTTCTTAAAGCAAAATGAAAGTTACCAACAAATTCTGTTACACGGGTTTTCGGTAGGCGGTTACATGTGGGGTGAAGCTTTAGATTTGATAGAAACCAATAAGGATAAATACAATAACATTACTGACAGAATTGTCGGACAAGTGTGGGACAGTATAGCCGATGTCAGTCAGATCGCGATTGGTTTTCCTCGTGCGGTATTCCCGAAAAACACGGTGCTGCAATCTGTGCTACAGAAATACGTAGAGTAAGTAAGCAACAGGGATAAGATCAAACACCAAACAAATAAGTATCTCTAATTAATATCAAGTTACTTTTTAGATATCATATGAAGACATTCCATCAGCAAGCGACACAGTATTACATTCGATCCAGTCAGATATTTCATACCACCAGTGTAAGGGTGCCAGCATTACTATTCATGAGCAAAACCGATCCTGTTGGAGCTGTAACCAGCAATTTGTCTTTGCGCGATAACTGGGAATCTTTAGGAATAAAGGTAACGCCTCGCGTTTGCTGGCTCATGAGAGAATCACGTGAGAGACGTATGCATTTATATGTTGCAGACGTACATGAAGATATTCGAGGAGTCGCCGCACGTTGCCCACTTCTACACGTATCCTAAGGAATACGTTGCCGAGCTCTACGCCTTCTTACAAAAATTAAACTTAATACAGAACGAAGAAAAGATTAGAGCGCGCCTCTAAATATCTTAAAAGCGTGTTAATTCTCTTCACACATAGCCGTATGATATTTCTTTTTATATATAAAGTTGCCTTTTCAATTACATTTTATTCCATACATTTGTAATATCCAGCACTTGCCACACAGACATAATATACATAGATGTAGGTGACATCAGAGTAGATGGTTTTATAAATATTTAAATTTACAAGATATTTATATAAAACTTTGCGAGTAGTTAATACCAAGTTTAACGAAACAAAAATAAAACGTTAAAAACGTCTTTAAAAACGATAAAAAAAACATACCTTAGTCACATATTTTTGTACATTTGTCTTTGAAGTAATTATGCACTTAGTACAATGTGCATTATTAGTTATTATTTAAATATAAATTGTAATATGGTGCAATTTGGGCGCAAGACACAAAGTATTTTTACTTTTTTTTCTTCTTTAATGAATTAATACAACTGTGGTAAAAAGATAACACTAGTATTACTTATTATTGTATCACAAGTTATACAAACAGGCATAAAGTATGTTGTACATTTGGTGTCTTTTATTACATATATTATATATTAGGTTGTGTGTGTTTTAACACAAACCGCTGTGTCTCAAGAAACTTAAAATTTTCGTTTCTTCGCTCTTTTCTCTTCTCCTTTCTACGTTTCTTTCTCTCCTCCTTCCAGTCATCTATCACCTCATCCGGAGGTTGGCCTCCTCCTAATTCTTCTAAGATTAACTTTTTTTGTTTATAGATCTTTTTCTTTTCGTAAAAATCAGTTTCATCCAATTTGATTTCCGCTTCCCGTTTTGCCACCGATATTTGCGTCAAGATCGTAACGATTTCCTTGTCTAGCATCAATTAAGGGATGATCAGATGTGATTTTGAGCTATCTTTATTGAAAAAAAAAGGATCGCAAAATAGGACATGTACTCACCGTCTACTTTGTATTCCGTTAATTTAGTACCTATGGCATCTTCGATCGCGTGCAATAATTTGATATCGTGTGGAGTTACCAAGCTTATCGCCATACCGTTTTTACCTGCGCGAGCTGTTCTACCGACTCTATGAATGTATTCCTTCGGTACATTCGGTATTGTATGATTAATGACTAATTCCACCGTGGGAATATCGAGGCCTCTCGCCGCGACATTGGTAGCAATTAATATCTGTACGTGGTTTGACTTGAACTTGTTTAGCGCTGCTAAACGTTCGTTTTGCTTAATCATCCCGTGAAGAGCCACGTTCGTAAATCCAACATCATTCAACGTCATTGATAATAATTGACACTGTCTAAATACAACACAAAATAATAATATATTATTAGATCTAGATACGTAATCTTTGAAGCATCTTTTATGTTACGTGACAAGAGCACGTGTATTCTTTACCGGCAAGTATCCGTGAATATCATGATGGAACCATTTTTATCGGTGGCGCGAAATGTCCTAATTACTTCTATCAGATACGAATCGAGCACATCCTTAGGACACAACACGTAACGTTGATCCAATTCCTTTACTGTGGCAATACCAGCGTCATCTTCCTCTTGCCATGTAAAAACCTAGAAAAGTTGTCATTTTCATTCCTGCTAGTCGTAATGTAACATAACATACAGTTGTATTATCGAGATATACCTTATCAGAAGCTATTTGCTGCACTTTGCCAAGAGCGTCTGTCATTGTAGCGCTGAAGAACAATACTTGTTTCTGCTTGGGTAAGGCAGCAAAAATTTTCTTAAGCTGTTCATCGAAATGGCCACCGAGCAGTCTATCAGCCTCATCCACCACTAAAAATTTGATCTTCTGCAGGGAGAACGTATCGCAACTGTCCAAATGATCTGCTAGTCGACCCGGTGTAGCTACAACTATATGTGGCTGTTTCGACAATTCCAATCCTTGTGCCACCATATCCATGCCACCAACAATCACACATTTTTTCAGGTTGATAGCCTTGCCAATAGCAGCAAACTGATCAGCAATCTAAAATAATTCCATTAAATATAATAAGATTTATTATAATTAACTGCAAGCATGGCTGTTTTGTAAAAATATCACATCATTCCAAGAGTAATACAATTTATTTAAATAAACATAATAGAACTACTAAAGTTTTGATCAATTAGATATTTGTTATTTCTTTCTCTCTTTCTTTCCATCTTTCTAGTAAATTTTCTATCCTTTGGTTACGATATACCATACATATACAATGCAGTACACAATCAAAATTATTTTCTACTATTTTAAAGTATATAAAATTACTACGTTACTTATGAGATGATTTGACAAATCTCACAAATACATATAAAACAATTTATATTGCAAGTAACAACAAGAAGAAAGTAAAATGTATCACCTGAAAAGCTAGTTCCCTCGTTGGCGTTAACACAAGAGCAAATATACCATACGGATCCTCGCATAATTTTTGCAAAACAGGCAGGGCAAATGCTAGAGTTTTGCCACTACCGGTCTTGGCGCAGCCTATGCAATCTTTGCCCGTCAGTATTTGAGGAATGCAATTCTGCTGAATCGGCGTTGGCTTTTTTAAACCTAAACAAACAAATAGCTGTATAGTTTCGTCAATTTCGCAAAGTTTAACGTCCTGAATATTATTCGATATGATCATTCCTTGTAACTCTTTATAACCATTATGGCCAGTCTACAATGAGTCGTTAGTCGTTAGTCAGATGTCGGAAGAGAGTCGAAAAAAGTCATAAACGTGTCATAAGGCGATCGGAAGTCTGTAATCGGCAATCATAAGCGATTGGCCAAATGCCATCTCTTACGATCACCGATTACAGGCCTTCGATTGCTTACAATACGCTTATAACTATTTCTTCCGACATCTGACTAACGACTCATTGTAGAGAGACTGGCCATTATAACATTTTCTGGAAAAACATGTTATTTTTGTAGAAAACTACTCACCCATGGACTCGCATTGAGCGAGGAGCCAAGAATTCAGTTTCAAGTGCGAGAAATCTTTAACTTCTTCACTCATGTTGTTACTCGAATGTCGTTACTCCGGTTACTCGTCGATCCGAGCTCATCAGAACTCATGCACCTTAGCATGTGTCATTTGTCTTCTTCTTCTTACTTCTTATGTTTTTTTTTTGTTTTGCTCCTTTTAGATTAGGCTCGTTAGCGCCTTCAACCTTCAACCTTCAACCCTGCCTTTGGGTTATAATAACGCTTCTTATATGTTAATGGCTTGTCAGGTTTTTTATATACGGCCAGCATGCCTAGCACGTGTAATTTGTAATATACGTATTGACAATTGTTACCCTATGAGACGGGTTACCGACTGCACTTGTATGTAGATGATTCGTACATTAACCGCGCGAACCGGTTCCGGAGTTCGGAGTCTGGAGCTCTAACGGCACGTTAGAAACCATCACTGTCAGTGATTGTCAGTCGCGTTGCGTTCACCATGACGGAAGTATAGTTTCCATCACCGTCGCTCCTCCGGATCTTCCCTAATCAATTTCACATTCTGCTGCAGTGCCAGTGACTGTGAAAGAACGTAACTTTAACCCCACGCACATTATCCCCCATCTCATTTTTACCTTCATTCTTCGCGCAATTCGCTCGCAAAAGCGCAAAAAGTTATTAAGGTTAAGCGCGCGGTTCCCCAGTGAAAGTGCTCACGTTCCTCGCAGTTCCTCGACCTGATTACAGTCTCTCTCTCTCTCCTTCACTTCCCTTCTCCAATCTTTATCTCTCGATCTTCATGTCTCGTACCTAATACATTTCAAAGCTACACGATCACCTAATGTCCGAAACGTGGACGATGGACAACGATAAGAAACGTGACGTAATCAAAGTTGGATCTCGAAAAAGCGAGGTAGGTCTGCGAACTTTCGCTTTTCCATCCGATAGGAAAATTAGTTTTGGGAAACAGGAAAACCGTGGGTCGCGCGCGAACAGATGTTTCTGATATCGATCGACGATCCTCATATGAAGTTTCCTAACTTCCGTTGTGCTCTCGAACGCGAGAGCGGCTGCGCGTGTCTACGCTTTTGAGCGTGTAATTATTACGTCAACAATGATCCCCGTGCTCTTTCTGCTAACAACTGACTCTATATGCAAGTCATTTCTTATAGATGTGACAATTGTTAATTTTATATAATCAATTGCTGCGCGTCTTGACGGTGCTCGTCTGCTCGTGCCTCTTTGCGCGAGATTACTCAGCGACTTTTTTATTTTTTTTCCTTCGTCTGACGATTTACAATGATTTGGTATTTAATCTTTTATCCAAGAGATATTGCAAAATAGTTTTTTCTAAATAATTTTTTCTAATTAGTTTTTTTCTAAATGTCATTAAAACGTTATAGCACTATATAATTTTGTACATATTTTATTATTACAATTAATTTGCATATAATTATATATATTTTTTATTGTATTTTATTATACGGCTTGATTTTTACATTGCAAATAAGCGTCTTTTTCTATCTCGGTGAATAATGTATTTTTTAAACTCTTTTAGTTGGCCTTGATACAAACCAGACACGTGATACAATGCCTGACAGAAGTTCATCCAAAAAAAGAATTCGAAATAGGTAGGCAAATATGCGTATGCAATATCCAATACAATGGTACGCATCATTGGCTGTTGTATCAGTTATTCTCTGTATAACTTTAATAAATTTGAAGAAGTTTAAGAGTTTAGATTTCACAATTTCTCGAATATCATACGTGATAATCTCTCGGCTTCTTTTCCTCCGTTTGACTGCATATCATTACATACGCATTTGAAGTACTTGTGATAAATATAGCTTTCTCACACACGTTACATGACTGGCATATAATGAAGTGCTTTTTATCTTATTATATTTATTTATCAGCAAAAGAACATGTATATATATATTAAACTGTATATGCGCTTCTATAAAATTAGAAACTTTTTATTTTATCAAATTGTAATCATTGCAGTAACGATGGATACTAAGGGGGACAAGATTCTAGACAAGTCTTTACCGAAGATCGGCGAGAAGTCCCTGTTTACCGAGGAGCTGGAGCTAGCTTTGGAAAGTGGTCGCATTGATTTTGTGGTGCACTCATTGAAAGATTTGCCAACGACACTGCCGGCAGGAATGGCCCTAGGTGCAATATTAAAGTAAGCTTTTTTCTGACAGTAAGTTTGGAACTTTGAAAAATTCTAGCTGTTCTGTCATAAATTACTTGTAATATTATATTCGTCCGGACTACCTTGTTTCTCCTGAGCAAGTGCTGACTTTGCTATTTTGCATATGCTTCACTGTTCCAAGATGGAGACTTCATTTAAAATTTAAATGCATATACGTGTGCTATCGTGCTTATGAAAGAAACATCTGCCCGTAGAATATTCTCTATTGATACTCCAAAACAATACGTGCTTAAACTATATGCAATGTCAGTCACTTGCAACATGGGAATTGTGACCTCGATTGCTTTATCGGGATTATCAATTCTAGTTAATTTTCAAGCTTGTCATTAAAATAAATATGATAATTTACTTTCAAGTTATTTGCTTAAGCTATTAAACTAATTGTACGATAATTGCCGGATCTGTGTATAAATTTTTCACTTGTAAAAAATAAATTCTTTATGAAATATCCAATATTTATATTTTAAATATATACATTAGACTGTAAAAAATTTGATATTAATATTTATCAATGCCAATAGATAACGTATTTTTGTAGACGTGAAGACCCACGCGACGCAGTGGTTATGTCGAAGAAGTACAAAGATAAGACATTATCATCATTGCCAAAGGGTAGTGTTATAGGTACTAGTTCTTTACGTAGGTCCGCACAATTGTCACGGAATATGCCGCATTTAAAGGTAGAGAACATTCGCGGTAACTTGAACACGAGATTGAAAAAACTAGACGATGAAAATGGCCCGTACGCCGCGATAATATTGGCTGCTGCCGGTTTAAAAAGGATGGGCTGGAAAAACAGAATAAGTCAGGTATGATGATCTTTTATCTCGCATTTAACTTTGGTATTCTGTAAAATTTGCTTGGATTAATATACGTACTCTTCTAGCTTCTGGAACCCGAGGAAGCTCTTTACGCTGTCGGCCAGGGTGCATTGGGTGTTGAATGTCGAGAATCCGATTGGGAAATACGTTCTCTCTTGGAATCGTTGTTTGATTTAGAAACCATATTGAGATGCGTATGCGAGCGTTCATTTCTAAAAACTCTTGGTGGCGGTTGTTCCGCACCAGTCGCAGTGGCTTCATCTTTGAAAAAGAACGAGTTGACGATTACCGGTGCTGTATGGTCTCTAGATGGTCAAACTTTGGTTACCGATACTGTGAAAAGCAAATTTTATTTACCCAATGATGATGGTGAGCCTCCTAGGTGAGTTAAACATGATTTTTACATGTTTAAGATTCGCACATGTTGATATCGACTCTATGTTATCAATGTATATTTTTGAGCACAATGCAAATTTTATTAATTTTATATTTAATTTCTTTTTTTTTTCTTACAATAGGAAATGCCCATATCAGGAACCCCGCCTTTACTGTAGCGTTGTTCCCAATAAAGTAAGCAGTATAAGTCTTTTTGCTGCAGAACAGCTTGGTATAAAATTGGCCAACAGTCTTATAAAGAAAAACGCTCTCGACGTAATGTCACAAGCTAGAAATGAAGTCTTAGATTCAAAATAATTGTGTCAAATATAAATTTGTATTTTGGTTCCTGTGGCTGCAAATGTGCGCTTAGAATGTATGTTAATGTAAAAATAAGTGACAATTATCAATAATTCACCGATCGATGCCCGATGACTGTAGATATCCATCATACATTTCTACTTGTATATGCTCAAGATGGAAAACTTGATTGAAGTACAAATCGTATTGTTTTTTGTATCGTTGCTTTTCTGAGTTCTGCTTTTGTGTATCTCATACACCATTTTGTTTATTCTATTTAATTGGTAAAAATAATTGTAATTATAACAGTGAAAAATATTGGAAATAATCATATAATGGTATGTAATATAAATCACTGAAATTCTTATATGATGTATGTCTGTTTTGATTAATTGTACGAGTGATGTAAGGATTATATGTTCAATTTATTGTTATACAAATAATCCATAATTATTGTTGACGATGCAAATATTACATAGATATTTTATTACTGAAAATAATAGTTTATTGCAAAACACTGCCATGTATAGATCATGTAACAATCAACGTGATATATATACATATAATCCCGTTTGCGTTAAACAGATTATAACAATAAAATTTTGTACATGCACAATTTCTAAACATATAGCTCACGAGTATGTATATTTCTGATTCTGTTGAATTTTTTGTTTTATTTTAAGAAATTAAATTGATTTTTGATTATTTTACATTTTGAGGTATTATTAACATCTTATGTAAAATTACAAGGTATTAAGTAAGAACATTATATAATTTCATAATTGGGTTTTCCGTCTATTATTTATGCATATATATATATATATATATATATATATATGCCGATCATGAAGATGTTTCTTGTGTACAACACTTTGTAGACATATAATTACAAATGTGGGGAACTATAATAGAAAAAATTTATACATAACGTTATTATATATAAATAAAGAAGTTTTATATTTTATCTCGACCATCTTATTTCAAACAGAAATTTAATGTCAGATCGCGCACAGTAAATATCTATTTTATTTCTTTAGTTTATGTTTATTTGATAGAATTTCAAATATATTATGTGTGTATAGAAACTATTTCTTTTTTTTATAATAATATATCTTTTATAAGAATATAATTTCTCATACCAAAACTATCTGAATTGTTTATTATATGTTAGAGAAAAAGAGAATTAAATATCTTCGGATATAACGTATATTTATATTTAAAATAATTTATAGCGACATTATAGAGGTTTTATCTACAAAATACGTATATGTATATTTATAGCGATACGCATCAGAAGACTTACAGTAATCTTCCAACTGTATATACTTTTGTAAATGCCTCCAGAATATAATAATGCATCTGATACCAGATAAACTTTTCATATTTTTGATAATGAATGAGCAACATACTAGATGTCAACATCATAGTTAGGTGATTACAATAATTGTACAAGATTACAATTGGATCCGTAGATTAACAGTGTTGTACAAGTCACTTTTCCACATTTACTACACCAAGGTAAGGCAACGTATATGCTCATCAGTATTGCAAATGTGATAGTGACAACGTATTCTATTAAACACATAGCTAATCAAAACATATAATAAATATTACTAATTTATTTTATTAGCGTCAATTCCCTGAACACATACGTGACACGTTTCTCGGAATCGGACTAGAGCTTTATGTAATCTGCTTAGAAATTTATCATGTTTTGATAAAACTTGTATAATAACTTGTTTAACTTTAATATGTAACACAAAACAATTACATATCATGTACATGAAACACCAAAATTTCTTCTTGGGATTAGAAAATATAATTGGTAAAAATAGGATATGTAAACAAACGTAGGCCATTAAGGATAAATTTCACATTTTTCTCAGAATATAAAATCAATACAAATAAGAACAAGTGACTACATACACAATCATATTTCACACATTTTAAATCTATTAAAATATTATAAATATTTTAACAACGTGCAAGATTTTGTATCGAATATACTTTTTGTGGAGATATTTAGAGCCTTATGTGAACTAGAAAGATCTTTATATCTTCTAACATACAATAATACAATTAACATCGCGAAGAAATTCAATCTTGATTTGATATCAGAATATTCTATTCTATAAGCTTAACATCTGTCAAAAATCTGTCAGAATCGCTGTTCGATTAAAATTCATTTTATTTAAATAAACGGATATAAAAATCCGCTTATAACAAAATAAAATACTGAATATTTGTAAAAATTTCTTAAGGTTGTTACACACATCTACCAAGATGGAAGTTCAATACGGGAACAACAAGTTGTATAATTGTAGGATTTTTTTTAGATGTAAACTATATTCGCACCCATATTGTGCAAAAATGACCAGACTCTTTACTAATTTCAAATTTTATTTGAGAATTGTCAACGAAATTTTATATTCCTCTACTCAACGTCCTCTTCCGCCATTTGAGTTTGCGATGCTATCTTCTGTAAAAAAAGCAGGCAGAATAAAAAAAATGTTACCTCATTTCAATAATATTTTCTTTCAAACAAATCCGTACCTGGCCGACGACGGGTAGTCGCTGCACCAGAATCTGGAAAATTGGTGGCGGCAGAGTCTTCTGCAGAACTGTCAACAACTGGGCTGGTTGTCCACAGACTGCCACTGCATTAGCCAAGTGCTCGACTCCACCATCTATCTCGCCGCAGGCCAGCAATTCTTCCCCAAGTTGTACCTAAACAGTGTAACATGTTTAAATGTTTAAATGAACCTAAAAAAGATTAAAGCTAGATATATTTGCACACGGTAAAATTGACAGCAAGTTTTACCTCTTGCAAGAAGAATTTCTGCACCAATTCGTGATCCTTCAAGTCCGGTATCTTGGAGGAAGCCTTCTTCGCTTGCTTCTTGACTCTTCTACCTATGAAATAAAAATAGAATTTTTCCCATGGAGAAATAAAAGAGCGAGTACATTTTTTATAATCCCGGACACTGCAGAATGTTGTGTACAATTGCAATTCTAATGCAATAATCAATATTATAACGGGAAGATTCTTTAGTATATAAATAGCACCTCTCACGCTAAATCTGAACATAAAATGGACCGTAGCACAAACGACGCGGTGCGAGTTATCAAGAAAAATCGTTCTGACAAACGTGCTCGGTTTATCTAGAAACGTACGTCACCGCAACGAGAGATCACGCGTGCCGAGTGTGCACGCGAGTGAAAAAAGGGTCTCTGAGGCTTACGTTCGCGGAGCTTCTTTTTGAAATCGGGATCGCTGCGGCGTTTCTGGTCGAAGTAGAAGCAGTAGCCGACGAGGATCCCGGCGATGCCGACGGCAATGCCGACCGCGGTTTTGGAAATCATGGTCATTCTATAATATACAAATCACCGGTGTTATTGCAGATAATTCACGAGACCCTTGTCGAAACCTCGGCCATCATGGAAAAGGTTGCTTTTCCTGTCGTGCGCGCTGAACATGCCCGCGCAATGTTTGCACGCAGACGCGTCAACCTGAGTTCGATGAAAGCCCTAGATCGCGGATTGGAATAATTTCATTCGATTTCGTACAAAATCTCCGTCCGGACGAAATTGAAGACCGAAGAAAATCAATAATATTTTCGAATCATTATCGGAATACATTTTCCTGATGATTTTCCTATAATTTTCCGTGATCGCGATATCAATATCAAATTATATTAATAAATATTATTTGCAGTAATTTTCGCTATTTTCTATAAAAATATATTCTTCCGATTATTCTAATAATTCTCTTGAAATTCTGAAGAAATTAATTAAAATATTTTTACAGACAGCTCGCGTCTCATTGGACAAGTTCGGACGGTGTGTCCCGAAACTCATCGAAAGAAAACGTTTTAATTTCTCCGCTGCCAAATTTATTTATATTTATATATTTATTTCGTATTCATATATATATTTTTCCAATGTAATTTAGATGGTGAAAAAATAAATAGATCTGATTTTCTTTGTATTCTACGCTTCTTTTTCTTGAAAAAGCTCCTGCATTCCCACACCTTGCGGGGAAAGGGGAAAATGGAGGGAGATCCCGGAGATCACGTGGAGTAACATGGAGACTGGAGTAAACATGCGGATAAAACGGCGCGCATTATTACACGACTAAATACGTTTCTTATAAGAACGGTTCGTACATGTTTTATATTTTGCATGTCAGCAAGCTAACAGATATTCTGAAATGTTTGTAGGGTGACGAGAAATACAAGTGCCTTCGATAGTTTATCACGTGAATCTTGGCGGTAATCCGTAAACATGTCATTAATAAGGAAACCTACGCGATATGCTCATCAGGAAGGGCACACCGATGTCTGCTACTATTCCGGTGAAAAGTAAATCGCTGTATATTACTCTTGTACATATACAGAATTTGTCACGGAAAGTTATTATTGATGAATGTGTCTGTGATTGTAGGAGGGGACTCGTCACTTGTGGATGCGACGGGGACGTTAGATCCTGGTTGAATTTAATGGATGACGATCCGACCACCAGCTGCATCTCGGAACAAGCGATCACTGTTATCTCAAAGGTGCTTAATAATTGCCATGTATCGTCAAGCACTTCTAGAGATTTTTTATGATAGGGACGCTTGATCGAGACAACTGTTCGATAGAGGCAAAACTGTAATAAAGTTTTTAATTTTAGGATGGTAAAATTTTTGTGGGAAATGACAATAACACGGTGCAAATACTTACTTACCCTGATCTAGAGAAGGAGGGAATAGTTACAAGATTTTCAGCGCCGGTCTCAGCACTGGCGACAGCAAAAAATAGTAGTTTAATAGTATCTGGTGCCTGGTATGTGAGAGCAAATTTTATATTGATTATGTTTATTACTTATTACATCATTGTGCTGACAATTCTTTAACAACTTGGTCTTCTTTTTCAAAGTGATATGAGGATACAAGTTACTAACATTAATACCTCGGACAGTATAGAATTAGAAGGCCATGAAGCACCAATTTTAGGCCTGTCTTTAGACCCGAAAGAAGAATTTGTGGTAAGAATCATTGCATCACTTTCTGATGTTTCATCGATGATAAAAGCAATATATTTTAAAGCATCTGAAACTGATATTTCCAGGCGTCTTCTAGCGCTGATGGATCTATTCGAGTATGGAATATTAAGGAAAAGAGAACCATACATGTTTGGAATAACGTTGTACCAAAATGTAACTCCTTTTTTATTGCGAAATCATATTGCACACCTTCCTTCAAATGTACAGATGGCAGTTGCTTAGCGTATCCATCTAACAAAGATGTAGTTATCGTGGAGAGATCGTCTTGGAAGGAATTATGTAGACTGAAATGTTCCACTTTAAAGACTGTAAGCTACTATCTCAATTTCTTGTCTCAATATTCTTGTCTCTTTTTTGGTTAATTGATGAAACACTTTTCCTGTTTTTATATTTTCATATAGGATCTCAGCATTTGTAAATTCTCTGAGTGTGGCACGCGCATCGCCGCCAGTTCACTGTACGGAGAGATGGTTGTGTGGAATGTGGAAACCAAGGAAATGATCGGATATCTCGAACACGAGCAAGATACTAAAATAACTGCATTAGTGTGGCATATAGATCATTCGAATGAAATTGCATTCTGTGATGCAATGGGAAAATTAGGATGCATTGATGTAGTAAGAGAATACTCATGTTAAATATACATATATGTTTTACATATATATGTGTGTATATATACAATACAATAATTTTAACATATTTAGAATGTCTGTAATAATTCTTTCAGATAAGCTCTAGTAAGCTTGGAAGTGAGGCAATCTTGGATTCTGAGAAAAACGAAGATGTAATGGAAAATGATATTGCTTTACCGGATGATGACGATGATGACGAAAATGTTATATCCCTGAATAAAATTAAAGCCTCCATCAATCTAGAGGATGATCAGAAAAGTCACTCCGATGCAGGCTTTGAAAAGCCAACATTTGACACGAAGGCTTTTGTGCCTAACGTAAAAGTGCAATCGTCTTTTCAACCAGGATCTACACCCTCTCATTTATTATCATATTTCATGGTGCAGTACGATAATAAGATTTACACGCGTGTACACTTATGATCTTTAAAGATAAATTAATTCTTTATGGTGTTTTTATAGATGTGGAACGATGTGGGAATGGTTAGATGTTTCTCATCAGAGGATGGGGAAGAATGCAGCATTGAGGTGGAGTTCCATGACGTTACAGTTCATCGTAGCATGCACATAAATAATTATTTACGACATTCTTTAGCTGCCTTATCTACCCAAGTACTTGCTCTGAGCTGCGCTTCTTCTGAAGATGGTCCTAGTAAAATTGTCGTAATAGTTCTGCAAGGTTAGTTACTTTATTATAGATATAAGGTAATTTAGTAATTATATCAATGTTTCACATAACAATATATGAATAATATATAAATATATACAATAAACTGTTATTTCTCTGTATCAGGTTGGGGTTCTGGAAATAAAGAATGGATCCTGGATCTGCCGGAAGGAGAGGAAAGTGATTGCTTAGCGGCTGGTGATAATTTCGTTGCAGTAGCAACATCTAGGAGGAATTTAAGAATATTTATGATAGGAGGAACGCAACGTGAAATTTTAGCTCTGCCCGGGCCTGTAGTTGCAATGAATGGTCTAGGAAATCATCTTGTGATAGCTTATCACGCTGGAATTGGTAAGAACATTTTTTAGTTAGTTAACATAATGCAAAGCCCAGTAATCTGATAACCGAAAACAGCTAATTATATACGTGTTGTTTAAAAGTATAATACTGTTCTTTTTTTGTAAAAAGGTCCAGCGGGTGATCAGAATATAAATCTATTATGGATGCAAATACAGGGAACGCATATACGCAGTCAAACTTTAACGATTCCGCTTTCGCCAGCATCGGATCTCATGTGGTTAGGATTATCAGACGCTCGTTCGCCTACTATCGTGGATTCTGACGATATTATCAGAATATATGATAAGAGATCTTGTCAATGGAGAGTGCTTTGTGATACAAATGCGCAGGTATGGCAAATTATGAACGAATTTTACAGCGGTCCACGTAACTTGAATTTCTGCTTTAGGGAAAAGGTAGAGCAGATCACTATTTTATAATCGGCGTGAGCGAACATGAACGGAACATGCGGTGTATTCTCTGTAAAGGTAGTTATTATCCGCCGACAACTCCGCGACCGATAATTACCGAGATAGATTTATCTGCACCTCTCTGCGAACCGGAATCTGAGAAAACTAAAAAAGAGCGTAAACTGTGGGAGATAGGAAGCAGTCCGTTGGATGAAACCGAGGCGATGTTAACTCTAATAGCGGTAAGTAATTTTTGAATGGTAACACATTCGTTTCTACTCTAGTATTTTTGGTTATAAATTTGGTACATTGAATCTTGTAATTATCTTTGCTGATACTTAATTGATGATACTTAATCTTTTGCAATCAGCTTGCCTGCAGAAGCAATTTGGAATATCGCGCAGTGGACATTTGCGAACAAATTGCGTCGACAAAAGTGATAGATTTGGCCATACGGTATGCCTTGCGTGTAAATAAAGTGGCATTGGCAAATAAATTGGAAACAATCGCTGATGCAAAATCGAATTCCAAAGATTCAAAAGAAGAAGATGTGGGAAATCACCAAGACGATTTCACAACCAACGGTAATTCTAGCATTAATGATCAAGAGGAAGACGATGTGTCTTTACCGTCCATTAAAAAACCAGAGATAGAAATTAAGCCATTGGCCATGAGTCAAACGTTAAAAAGAGTAAACCCATTTTTAAAAGCCGGAAGTCCGTCTCTATCGCCAAAAGGTAAATAATACTTACTCTTTTTTAATTCTACGACATTTCTACTGTATTATTAAAAATATTTTCTTTTATTATATTATTATAGGTTTAGCTGGTTTGAACAGTTTACCAGAAAAACCCCAGAAACCTGCCTTATCCAAAATCGTGCCTGTTAAGTCAAAATCGAAGACTGAATCAAAGAAAGAATCGTTCGTTAATTGGTACGCCAAAAATAAAAAAAATCTGCAAGAAGAATTTCCCGAGGTGAATGTTGCCGAATTAACTAAAATCGGTTTAACGCGATACAAAGAAGAGCTGACGCAATCAAGTGCAGACAACGCAGCTGGATCTTCAGAACTTTTCAAGAAACGAAAATTATCGAGTCCAGACAACGAACACAGTAGTGAAGCCAAACGATCTATTAGCAGCAAACTCAGCGAATTCGCATTCGACAAGTAAATCTTATTCGGCTACGAAAATCATTTTAATCGTGGAAATTGTAAGATTTTTGGCAATTTAATTTGAAGATACCGGAAGTTTATTATATTTCTAAATTAGTATCACGAAGAAAAGCCTAAGACTATAGATTTTAGTGTTTTTTGGATACATTTTTATTCATTTATATATTTGGTGTAATTCGCTTTTAGCCTCGAGTATCTCTCACGAAAACAAAGAGTTTCTAATGCGAAATAGATCGAAGGAATCCAATCATCTCTGAACGTTCTAGAATTAAATATATAATAATAAATTTTATTTATCGCATTTTTTATTAATTTTGATATTAAACTATCAACTGAAATGTCTTGTGTCTTTTTTGTCTTCTTGTATCAATATGTATTTATTTATATCATTATGTCTGCACTTATGTGAAATGGTAAGAAAGCAAGGTTTGCACATGGCACTAATGCTGTATATTCCTAGGTGTAGAAGCGCGGAAGTCTCTGAGAAGGTGAGGCAGGTCATTTGTTAAAACGGCGAGAGGGTATTAACGCGATAAGTGGATAATGATCGGATATGAATTCGTGTCTTTCAAGTGTCAAGCAGGCGCGCTGCCCCACGTTCACCCTTCTGCGCCGATAAGGCAGCGTGGTGGCAAACTTAAGATCCGTTTTTAGTTTGCTCCAGTCTCTCGGGCACTCGGCAGCACGGCGATACGTGGCGGCGGAAATAAATTTGTGCTCGGCGAAGACGGTGGGCGATCGGCCGCACGATGAAAGGTAAGTTGATCTCCTCGGGCCTCGGAATTGTTCGCCTTCAAGACTCATCCGGAGAACTCGGCGCGCTAAATATACATCAGATGACGGCCAGTGTGCATACGGGCATGCGTGCCTTAAATTGCATCATCGCGACGGTGCACGTGCCGTGCGACGGCTAATTTCCACGGTACATAATCTCGCGATGTATGAGCACTCACGTTCCCCGGGTTTAAATGTGATTTATTGCGACAATGCCAAGAGATTCATGTAATTTATTCTTCATCGGTTTCTTTTCTTCTTTTTTAGCTGAGCTGAAAAAGCTGAGCTACATTTTTCTTCTACGTATGATCAATATATATATTCCACCTTCATTTCAAAAGCATCTTGTAAAACTATATGAATTTGTGGTGATAATGGAATTAAATCTTATTCTAAATAAGCCGCTGTCTTTTGTGCAAGACGTGATTACGTCAATTGACCTTACTCTAATGTATGTACATGATTTATACTATTTCGAATGATTGTGTTATCTATTGCGGAAGAACATAAATTTCTGGTGATATCTCATATTGTATTTAATGTATAATATATATGCTATATATTTTTTAATATACATATTTTAGTTATTATTTTAGTCTTTATATGGATATAAACCCATATTTGCAATTATTGCCAAGGCGAAATGATATTTTAATACCGATCGTTTTATCGAAGATAATATTAACTTCCTATAATAATGGAGAAAAGTTATCGTATTAATATTTTGTAGCTTATCACAACGTTAATATTATTTTATACGTTTTACAGCGAAAATAATTGATCGTGTAACAGGTTCTTAATTCAAGAAAAATGCAATCCGACATCGGGAAAAGTTGGCGCGAAATCGGTAATGGCATTGATAATATTGTTATCCGTTTGTGCGATGCTCCCTGTTTTAACATCGCTATTTTAAGATACATTTTTTTGCCAATAATGTTTACTGTTAATCGTGACGTCTTAACTCGTAACGCTGTTTTGATCATAATCATCGCGCACCTTTCTAATTTGCGGTTTAAAACGGCGAATAAGCACATATGCCCGTTTCAATTTCATTAAGCGAATCGCATTTGCGAGATAATACTCGTTAATTATAGCGTAACAATACGCAAACATGTTATGTAAATAATTATAAACTCGATAATGTTGTTCTTATCCTTAAATAATTCCTCGCATGTTGAAAGGAATTAAAAGTTTGTTCTGCAAAGAATTAGCTATATAAGTTGATGCAGAGATTTTTTTTATTGCTTAAAGCCCATTATTTTTCTACCAAGATGCGATTCGTGTCTGACGTGCGTCACGTGCGTTTCTACAAAGCTTGTGCATTTTTAACGCGTGCATTTTAAACACTTCCATACTATGAATATACATTGCGAGAGCAAGAAAACGAGGACATTTGCAGCTAATTGTTTGCGTTTAACATTTGTCGGTAGTAGAAGTGCAAAATTTTAATTTCTCTGAACAATTTCTTGAACACTTATCTTCATGACGTGTTGAAAATTATTATTTATATAACGAATAAACTTTCGTCTCTGGAAACGCGTTAGTATTATACAGACATCGGTTTCCTGACCTCTGTGAATAATGCAAACCCGATAAACCCGACAAACTTCGATTTGGATATTTCGATCTTTCCTCGGATTCTCCAACGTGTTGAAGCTAACTCTGGCATAAACGGTAATCTTTTTTATATATGTAAAATCACATAAACAAAATCAATATTTAGTATATTTTGTAATCTTGTATTGGTACCGCTATCGTTATCCGCGTCTCGATACAATATTTGATCAATTATATCGTAATGAGTATGATCGAATTCTAATTGTGATTGTGTGTTTGGTTTTTTAATTTTTCAGACCAAATTTGTCGATATAATTTGTATATAATTAAGATACGATTTTTCTCAATGAAATAAAAACGATACGCGAAATTAAAAACGAAGATGAAGCTTCTATATAACTTACATAATAATGTTAAAAAATACCATTTTTTAAACAGAATAACTTTTCGTTTGAAGCATTTCGCCGAAACATTTTTTTTTTAAGAAGAAAAAACAGAAACTTTTTTGTACAAAATTTATTTATCACTAATCATTGGTCATTAATCAGAATAGATGATTAATAATCAAGGCTATACGCAATTTCTTTGCAATTGCAAGCTTTTTTCCTGATCTCTGCGTTGCTTGAAGACAAAAGTTCAAATTTCGTCAAAGCTCATATTTCAGACGCTCTATAATTAGCGCTGGAATTCAGAATAGAATTTTATTTATATATAATTTTATATTTGCCGTTTACTACAAAGAACAATTAAAAACTCGGAATATATGCATAATACAAAATCTATATTAATATATTGTTAATAATTTTAGCGGCACAAAAAAAGATTATGTAGAATAGATTCGGAATAGAAATCTGATGCGAATTATAGGTCGCCCAAAATACGTTTTAAATTGTAAATGGAATTTTATTCTGAATCCCGACGCGACGCGAGAATTGCGCAGGTTATCTAAAGCAGCGTAATTCTATATGCAGATTTTGATAAAAATGCTGCGCTAAGGTTTCGTTTGCGAGTCGACCGCTAACGTCGGGCAATTTTATATGTAACGGTGACACGATACGCTGTTATTGCAACACCGATTTGCACATCTGCAACCGCATGGATAACCGCGTGGATATATGCGCGCGGCGCAACGACACTAATTACGTGCATGTTCTGTTAGCTAATACCGCCGCGGTTCGGAAAGTTTTACGAGTTTGCTGCAACGAAACTTATCGGATATTGACTCTAAATCAAACTGCTTGCGATATACTCGGTCACAATGGCGGATAAAACGTGGAAAAGTTTCATCGTGATTAGAAAAGAGTCCAACAGAAACCCGAGTTGAATTACAGCGGATTAATAATCAGATTTAGAATGTAATACTCCCATAAGAAAACTGGGAATTGCGTGGAAACGCGTACTTAGGTATAGAAATAAATTGTTTTGTCGCGAATTTTGACCTGAATTTTCCGCTCTGCTGTTTCTAACAGTCTTTTTTAATTGCGAGATTTTTCAAGATTTAAGTTTGATAAAAATTTCTTGTTGGATTAAGAAAGAGGCTGAGTTATTAGTTGCGTTTTGAGTAATCTTCAATAGTTAAATCTTATAAATGTGATAATTAAATAGTGATAATTATTATTGCCACGAATTGTACGGAAATGTTACGTCTTATTATTAGATTTGGTTTGTGGAGCTTGCGGTGTGTTTAGATTAGAGCCCAATATAGAGCGATCGATAGAAGCTAATGTCTCATCAAAACATTATTAATATCACACCCCGCTTAGTTTCGCTTATTTTCAAGTAACGCGAGGCATAAACAAAAGTTCGCGGCAAGTGCAAATTGTATTGAGTAATTTTACAGAATAATTGCATAGATTAATTTGGTACGTAAGATATTCTGCGTAGTTCAATTCTTTGCGATTCGAATTACTTCTCATGAATCAACAAAGATAAGATATTTCGTTCTCAATTAGCCAGCAGCATTATTTGAAGGAACTTATCAAGATTCTAGAAAAATATTGTGTTAATTACAATCATACATTCTTCAATTCGAATGCTTGAAGAACTGCGAAAGACTACTATAGAGTGTTATATTGAGTCCAGCTGGACATAAGTTTGCAAAGGATTAATTAAGGATTTCTTAAAAAATAAATAAAATAAAAAATAAATGTAAATGCATTCATATTCTTAAAAATACACCTTATTTTACGTCAAATACTATACGATATGTTCTCTTTCAGGTCTCGTACCACTGGATCCCGTTCAAGAGGCCATGGGCTCCATGGGCCCATGGCACATCGTCATCGCCGTGGCGATTTCCCTCGTCAAATTTCCAGTAGCTTGGCATCAGCTTTCCATCGTGTTTCTCGCACCGCCCACTAATTTTTCATGCATCGCCCCTTTGTCAGCAACTAACGAATCCATGACAATGAAATGCGAGGTTGACGTTGGGAATGGTACTATAGAAGAATGCACTCACTTTCGATACGATAAGAGAATATTCCGAGAGAGTATCATAACGCAGGTAAATTAGGTATAATTTAATGACTTTCTTGTTCAGGTAAATTTAAAATAATAAAGAGATACATGTGAATAATTATGTTATAATCTTTTCAGTGGAATTTAGTATGTGACCGAGAGCAATTGGCGAATTTTGCACAATCTTGCACAATGTTTGGTGTGCTCGTTGGTAATTTAATTTTCAGCATGATGGCTGACAGGTATGTTAATTTGAAATCGTTGCACAATATCATAACTTAAATGGCTGTAATTTTATAGGTAAATATAAAATGTATTTTCACTTTATACTAATGACTTTGCTTATATCTAATTGTATAGAATTGGCCGAAAGAAACCGTTAATGATCGCTATCGCGTTGCAATCGGTGACAGGATTCGCGAGTGCATTCGCACCATGGTACGAATTGTTCCTGGTACTTAAATTTATTTGTGCCCTATCTACTGGCGGAACCATGCTCGTCAGCTTCGTTTTACGTAAGTTAATTAAGCGCAAGTCACATAATTTATGAAAGTATAATTTATAAGACTGATAAATTAATCGATTGCAGTTATGGAGATTGTTGGAGTAGAATGGCGATCAATCATGTCGGTTCTCTTTCACGTACCATTTTTAATCGGACATGTAATGAATCCCCTGATATCCTATTTGACACTTACGTGGTCTGGATTTCAAATGGCCGTCTCAATACCGTCAATTTTCTTATTAGCGTACTACTGGTACGTAGATAAGTATATGTACGCTGTTATATAAAAGCAAAGGTTATTAAGAGTCGATGTTTTGCAAAATAGGATTATTCCGGAATCACCGAGATGGTTGCTAGCTATGGGCAAAAGCAGACAAGCGGAGCAAATTTTGCTGAAAGCTGCCGGACGAAACAAGATACCGGTGGAAAATGTAAAGCTGGCGCTTGAAACTTATGAGAATCAGTCGACGATCCGACAGACGAAAAACAATGAGAAATACAATATCTCGCATTTGTTTAGAACTCCAAATTTGAGATTGAAAACTATATATGTGAGCGTCAACTGGTTCGTCTGTGGTATGTGTTTCTTCGGACTGGCGCAATACATGGGTCATCTCGACGGCAATATATTCATTAACGTCGCAGTTTCTGGTAAAATTCAATAATACATCTTCGGATTGCGATTAAATTCTGCGATTGTGTTATAATATTTATTATGACTTGCAGCTGCCATGGAAATACCTGGAACTGTAATAGTGCTGTTTTTGATATCGCGAGTTTCACGTTTAAAGATTTTGATCGGCGGGAACATCTTGTCCGGCGTGAGTTTACTTCTGATAACTCTTATATCTAACGCAACTGTCCGGATATTTTTAGCCTCGCTAGGCCTCGTGGGTATGGCTATTAGCTTTCCCACAGTATATCTGTACAGTTGTGAAGTATTTCCGACCGTCGTGAGAAATGTTGGCGTTGGTTTGGGGAGTATTTCTGCAAGAATTGGAAGTATAATTGCACCGTATATTGCCACAATGGTAATTTATGCGTATTGTATATGTTTTTTACAATGAAATAATTTTATATTAGTGACCAAGAGTCTTATTTTATATATATATATATATATATATATATGTATATGTAAGTAACGAGTTATCGTTTTAAAATTAAAAAGACATAACTTATAGGGCTACATTCAACCTTGGCTGCCTCCAGTAATATTTGGATTAGGGCCGATAATAGGTGCCGTACTCTGTTTATTTTTGCCGGAAACGATGAATTGCGAGTTACCAGAGACAATAGAAGATGCCGAAAATTTTGGAAAGTACGAAGCTATAAATACTATAAAAACACTTTTATTAATGTTACAATATTGTTAATATGCAACAAATCTTATATCTTTCAGGAAAAAATCCGAGGAAGAACATTGACTTGGTAATTGATACGCGAAATATGCATTAGGTTGCATAATTTTTCATAATTTAATATTTTATAAAAAATAATTTAGCACGGCACATTAAATTCAACCATTCAAGATACTTTATGTGTCAGTATTTTTTATAAAGTTATTGAGTCTGTACAAAAGATTGGTACACATTATATTTTTAAATATATAGTATATAATTATGAAATCTTATGCCTAAAAAGAAGAGAACTTTCTTATCATAATTTGTATTATTTTTCGTATATATAAATATATATACGATCGATATATGGTACCAATGCTTTGTATCACACAGCAAATTTTACATAACAATAATATTTATATAATGTACATTGCATTTTATGATAACGTATGATTTTACAAGTGCTCAACAATATCGCTTCTCAGGCTGATATTTTATGTGTCAAACGACACATTTTTTAAACATGTTAATTGGTTGCAAGTTGCAAGTTGCAAGATAGAGAAATTATCGAGTTTCTAGAAATCCTCTATCTTGTAGTCAATCAATACGCTTGTTGTACGACACACGAAATATCAGTCTTTTAAATTATTATAAAGACGATATTTCACGATACGCTCTTTGAGATTCAAATATGCAACAAAATTTTATGTTTATCCGTTGCTGCACAATGTTTAATCGATATATAATTAATATATTTATCTAGTAAAATTCTTATATTAAGTAATATTACAATTTTGATATAGACGAAGCATTTTTGTACATAATTATTATAGTTCTATAGTTTTATATACATATATAATTATATTAATTATGTAATTAACAAAATAATATTAACATTAATTATATAATTAATATTGATATTACTTAATTATGAAAATTATATCGGTATTTTATTGAGAATATTAAAAAGTAATATTGGACGATTTTATGCCGAAGATTTCACATAGTTTTCCATTAGTTTTTTTTTTTTTTTCTAAATAATGATTATATACAATTATAAAAAATTCATTTCACTACATATTACCCATACAGATCTTAGATCAAGAATACGTATAAAAAATACTAAAAATAATTCGAGATATATCGCTTCCGTAAAAGTGAATGTGACAGAAATCTTTATACACCGAGACTTCGTCATCCACAAAAATTGCAATCCCCATTTGTAATGATATACTTACATATAAAATAAGTAATAAATAGGACCAAATCAGCCTTTTATGAGTTTCATACGTCAGCGTTAGCGCAGGTAGGATATCTAGATTCTTCGTAACAAAGTACAAAGTTCTAAATAACGTAACGCTGATGTTACGTAACACCATCTAACTTGTTTGTCCCAAATAAAGTGCTTTATTGGGCAACACGTTCACGATGTCGTTAGTTCGTTTGTGCATAGCGTCGATCATCTGATTGCCATACTTAACGGTGTTACTTAAAGATCCTAGCCAGGAGGACACGAGACTCTTTGCGGGTGTTTTCGAAGGCGTCAAGTTAGTTGTGCCTAAAACATTTTATATTACATACATGCGAGATATACAATATACTATCATCTATTAAATAATATGATTTTTGTAAGGAAACTTTATGCAAGAGAAATAAAACTCACCTATTAAAAATTTAATGATTGCCTTATTTACGGCGTCTGATTTTTCTTGATGCGGAAAATGCTGCGCCTCTGATATGATTTTGACCCTCGACACTTCTACGTGCTCGGCACTTTGAATAATACTTTCTATTGTTACAAAAGGATCCATATTTCCGACTAGAAGCAGCGTTTTATTATCAATTTGTTCGCCACTATCTATATTCAGTTTTGTAAACTGAAGGTTGCGATAATAATTAATCGGTCCTGTCCAGTCTTCTACAAAAATTGTTTCGATTTTTTTAGTAAAATGTAAGAGAAAAATAATATATGACGTAAAAATTAATTTGTAGGAATTAGGATTAATTTACCTTTCCTACTGAAGGCATATTTATATGCCTCGACATAACTTTTCTCCGTGCTATCCTGAGATATTTGAAGATGTTGAAATATATCGTTAATAATAGACAAATCCTCTTTAAGCGCATCTATTTCTGGCAGAAATGGTAGTCTGCTGAAATGTATCCACCTGAAACGTCACATTGTTTGTCATTAAAATGCGTAAATATAAAATTTTACATCTACATAGCACTTGTCAAAGTTCTTAATAAATCTTCGTGAATATAATTTCGAAGATATACCTACTTTCTATCTAACGCGGAATTTCCTGATACTCGATTCCAATAAAAATTGGGATGCGGACTCGAAATGGCTACGAATTTGGAAACGATGTCTCTGTGCAGAGTGACCATGTACCACCCCAGAAGTCCTCCTAGATCATGGCCGATTATATTACACGTCTTCACGCCGAGAGTCAAAATGAATTGTTTCAACTCGTTTATTAAAATTTCGACCTTGTAAGATCGTTTGTTGAGCGGCTTGTCGCTGTCGCCGAATCCCTTTAAATCTATAGCCACTACTCTAGAACAGCATAGAAAACGTGAGTCATAATCAATACACTAAAAAACATGCGTTATGTGAAATATTTTATGAATATAAATTATCAAACGTACCTGTAGTGTTCCGCGAGACATGGGATTTGTTTCCTCCAAGTTAACCAACAGTCCGGGAATCCATGCAATAATAACACGAGCGGTTTACTCTTGTCTCCCGCTTCTACGTAGTGGAATTTAACACCCTGCGTAAAGAAAAATAAATGTATAAAAAAAACGGAATTTTTTTCCTAATGTCTGAATTATATCAATTTGTTCACACATTTTAAATTTAAAATAGAAAGTGAGCTTTATATAAGAACTCCCCTTCACGATTTTTCGCTTTGCGGCTGTCAGTGCGAATACAATAGAGATATGGCGCAATTATGATAGCATAAATCATAATAATACAGCGTGCGTATCGAGAAATGAAATTAAATTACATCAGACTCTCGTGTACACATAAACGGTAGCTCTCCTTTATGGATTTGTAATTTCCCCATCGATGACGGAGGGAATCCTCCGTCTGTTTTCCAGACTAAACAATTTGATATCGTCGTAATTTTTCAAATCTCCCGATAAAAAGATACAGACAATGAACTTGCAGCCGGCGCCGGCGCCGATCCCGCAGCACTACTTAATTGAATATTACATTTGTTGTTCAGCAGAAACTAATTTTCTGCGAGAAAGTTCAAAGCACGCGACAATCAGCGAAAAGAGTTTGTTTAAAGATATATTGGAATCTCACCGCGGGTTATCGTAATTTTCACAATCATCATTACGACAATCCGCAGTGAGATTCCAACATATTTTAGTTTTCCGTCAGAATTTTCCGGCTTTGAATTTGCTTATAGAAATTGATGCTCGTTAAAGAAAATTATTACATAATGTATAACATTACGACAATACGATTACTACATAATCTATTATGTTATATATTTAAAAATTATATATATAAATAGGGTGATTTTCTTCATATACAGTATAATTTCGCTAATTCGGCACTATTACAATCCAAAAAAGAAATGTCATACAAACGCAGGCCGGTTTAGATCTTCATTTGCCAAGTTGTAAAGTTAAAGAAAACTTCTCTCAAAGTGCCTACTCCTTCGTCACATCTTATTATGTGTGATGTTATACTGTATATTATGTTTTTAAAATGTACTAGTAAACATCAGATCACGTCACGTACTTAATAAACTGAAGTATTGACATATAATTAAGAATCCCCCTATTTACACGTTTATTTATGTCACAGCTGTCACAGCGGTCACATCTCCAAATCTCAATACTTGCTATCAGAATTTGTAATTAATAATATCGAAAAAAAACAGAGACAAGAAGCCGTGTATCGAGTGAAAAATATCCATTTATAAATAACGTGCAACGTGTTTATTCTTTACTTGAGTGTCGCCTGCACTCGATGTCGCAAGATAAATCCGTTATACGAAGTTTACATTCAGTTACTTTGCGAAAATTCTATACTGTCAATCTCTCGTCTTTTAAACAGCGCGACAATTAATACGCGACATATAAAGTGTACAAACACCGCGATTCGCGTCATTAGATACAGTCGAGGGCGAGATACTTCAACGCAGTAACGGAATAACGTGTTGAGAGATAAAACGTATGATTAAAAAATATAATTATGTAATAATTACACTATCTGTAATCTGGCAATATCAGTAAAAACATTTAAAAATTTCTCCTCCAAGTGAAGAACCCGTTCGTCTTCGCGGCTACGTTTTAGAAGATATTTGATATTTTTGCCGAGCATAAAACACCTTTTACCCTGCTTCCGGGGACAATTTTGGAGTCGCGAAGAAGCAAAAGCGTGAGCGATTCTTTTCGAATCTGTTATCACCGGCGTTATCGAAAGTCACCGAAGACACACGCATTCTTATCTTCTATCTTGCATAGAGTTTGATTCATGCTATCCGCGGACTCGCGTGATCCAGATACATCCGCAGCTCACCTTGATCTTGACGTAGGAATGCGTGCCGAGGCTGTTATCGACCAGACACGGCGGCGGCTGGTCCCGTTGCTGCAACATGAAGAACTTCTTGGGGTCCCATATCCATCTAAGGAACCGTCGGACTATCAGGTACAGGCCGTAGACGAAGGACAGAAAATGCAGCTCGATCGTCTCGCGCGTGGAAGCGCGCACGATCCTGTCATCCGCGGCGATCATGATCGGTGACGATCGAAAGGGGTGATCTCGGAGGATCTGCGATCGTACGACGACGGCACCAGCTCCTTACAACGTCACTCGAAATCCTCTCTTCGTACAAACAACCGGGCTCGAGTAGTGCGAGCCGTGTGCGAGCTCGCACTCTAGCAGGCAGCCGACACGTGCGCGAAACAGAATGTGAGATCACGTTCCGTGCGGTACGCTCGGCGAAGAGTCGTCAATCGTATTAATTCTACTCGAGGACGAGTACTTCTCACACACGCGCGATTATCAGAATACTTTCAGTTTTGCCGAATAAGGGAGAGACGCTTCTAATTATAAGAGAAACGATAAGAGAACTCCGATCTCGGGAGAGATCTCGAAGAACACAATACTATTGATAGTAGATGCCGTATCAACAGCTTCCCAATCACGCGGTGACTTTACACATCACGCTTCACGCCGGATGATGTAATGAATCTCCCCGCAGATCGGTATCTGGCGCCTCGCGAGGCTCGTCAGCGCGTCCGGCCAGTCTAGGCCACTCTCCAATGTCTCCACGACCGTGGAGAGGCTATCACTGATCGGACTTTTTGTGCGTTGTGAGCTCAGAGGCCACGAGGCGACGAGGTATCTCCTTATCGGATCTCCTCGATGGAGAGAATCCGAAAGTTGCTTTATCTATCTGGCGATGTGCCTTTGGAGGTTTTCAAACTTGAAGGACTATTTCTTTTCGTAAAAGGCTGATTCTTTCTGGCTTCAATTTCACGATATTTAGTTTGATACTTCGTGGGAGGACAAGCGAGAAATAGAAAATTATTAAACTACAGCAAACCATTCTCGATCCAGCTTCCTGAAGAATCTTTTTAGGGTGACTAGACCGGAGCAAGGAAGGCGAGATACTTCTCTACAATGTAGTTAAAAATTTAACTCTGACAAGAAAGAAAAATATAATATTTAGAATATAATATTTCTTATTTTACTCCAATTAATTCTCGTATATGCTGTATAATTCGTTTTCTTGAGTTGAGATTATTTCAGAATATTTTCTATTATGTTTCTTGTTGATATTCTCTGTTCGTATGCGGAGAAAAATATAAATCGGTAATCTTACGAAGATTTTATTTCTTATTGCAGACCGAAAGATGCAATAACTATTCGTGCTAAAAAGAAACGATTCTCGTGCCAATATGTATACATGATATGATTCAACAAACAGTCCCAAAATCTTGGAAACTTTGTTTGCTTCGTCATTTTTAACTCCAAGTCGTTTCCTCACTTTCGTTCCCGCTTAATTAACGGTTTCCTCTTAACTGTCGCTTTACGAGGAAAGAGGAGCGAGGAGTGAGCTTCGGATTGTCAGCTGACCGCTGTTGAACTGTGGACTCGTACTCGCGCTGTCTCATTTCAACTCACTCCACCACGGTGTGACGTGTATGGTAGCGTGACAATGTTTATCTGTTTTCGAAGTAGACGATTACGCACGGTTGAACAGTCGTTGTGATACACGCGTTTGAGAACTGAATAATCGGCCCGACTTCTACGGAGCGCTATCTCGAGCTCGGATCGCTATGTTCGTATCTTATCTCCCCGTCTACCGTGACGCGATGTCGATTTTAAAAATACGCAGAAAAAATAGAGACCACGTAATCCTATCACTTTAAATTCATTTATTTCCGAGTTTGATGGGATCGCATTAGGTCTGTTTTATCGATTAAGCAAATTAGCACGCCAATAAGCAGCGCGATCGTTTATCGACGACCGAATAATTGTAAAATTGCAAATTGGTCATGATTACGATGTCGTAATCAAATCAAAGTGAGATAGTAATGTTTCTTTCCAAGTGTAAAAAAAGTGGGTCTCCAAGGGACTCATGAAAAAAGAAAAAAAAATTGGCAGCGGTGGGATTCGAACCCACGCCTCCGAAGAGACTGGTGCCTTAAACCAGCGCCTTAGACCGCTCGGCCACGCTACCATCTGTCAGAGTTTTCTTTCACAGTCGTATTTTCCTGGGTACGCGGAGTTACTATTACCTTAATACGTAAACTTATTATTAAGACATACGTGAAGTAAATGCATACATGCTTCGAAATGTGCGTAACTTCATGTACTGATATATATTAATGAAGTTTAATATATCCATTATATTATATTCGAGAATCTAATGAAATAAATCTGTAAGCTCCGTTTCAAACATAAATTACCCACATTCTTCCTCGTCAAATATCTTCCAAACGTCGGAAATGTCTGCTTCGATTGTGGAATTCTATGCGAAAATATCTATGTCAGAAATAACTTCGTAATTGATTTATAAATAATCTCTAATTTATTGAGGAACGATCGAGCGATTCTATTCGTCCCATTTAATCATAAATGATTAGAAATGTTTTGGAACTGAATGACGATTGCCGGTTTGTTGGTCGCATGCAGTTACAAGTAGACAGTAGCGTAATGAATGTTTCAAATACCTCCGACAAAGAAGATTTAATAGTTCTTTCTTTTGTTATTTTTAGTAACGTTAATCTAAAGCTCCTTGCACAATAGGCGATAGCGATAGCGATAGTGACAGCGACAAGGTTGCCGAGCTACACCTTTGTCGGCAACTTTGTCACTGTCGCTATCGCTATCGTTATCGCCTATTGTGCAAGGGGCTTTAAAGATCGTACGCCTTATTTCTGTGTTTTAAGACAAAAGATGATGTAGGACATTGCACGCTGATAAAATGACATGACTAATTGTGAGTTGCAAAGTAGGACAGACGACTTCTTTGTTTCTTTTTTTTCAAAAGTCATCTTCGCCAAAGATCATACAATCGAATTTTCGCTCTAATTCTTTCTACATTCAATTTCTATATATAAAATTAAAAAAAAATGTTTAATAAGCACTCTCTCGCGATATCCGTCAGCAGGATCTCTGACTACGTCACTGCTATCGTGGGCGTAGATATCACATGGATTAAACAAAGACTGTCGCCGGGCGGGGCTTTCGATCGGCGCGCGTCACGCATGCGTCGCCGGCGCGGCGGAATTTCGACCCGCGTCACGTCGACGTAACCCCACGGTGCGGAGCGAGACGCGCGCGCGCGCGCACGATCCGCGTGTGCGTGTATTTATACATGTATATGACGAAGCATCGAGTGTTTCGTTACGCGCGCCGTGCGCTCCGGCAAAGAGAAAGAGAGACGAATGCGTCCCCATTTTTTTTCTTCCGTTCGCGCGCCGCGTCGGCCATTTTGCCGTGACCGGCTTAATATGCGCCGCTCATTTTCTCCGTTCGCACCCGCCTGTAACTCTATATCCGCGCGACGAGGCACAATTGTCGCGCCGCGCCGCTTCTTTGTCCTCTCTCGCCGCGACCGGGAGAGCTCCCTCTCCCCCGCCTCACGCAGCGAGAAGTCGCGACCGGATCAGCTCTCGTTTTCGCGGATTACTCATCGAACGGCGAGCGCGATCGACGATCCGCACCGCACGCCGCCGCTGTCAGCGACAGGTGGCCCTCACAAATTGAAAATTAATCCAATTAAATCGCGCGCTCGCGCGTCTCCGTCTGCTGTTTGGACAGGGTGCGAACGTAGGGCTTCTGCCGCGAACGACGATCGTGCGGTGGAACACACATCGCGCCCTGCAATCCATTCAACGTTTATGCGATTGCCCACGAAACGCCGTGCCGCGCCGCGGAGTTTAGGATTAGATTGAAATTGAATCGATTAACGTTCTCAGAATACGCGTGCCGAAACGGTATACGAGCTTTTTAACTTATCATCGGTTTAGGATCTCATCCCTTAACGCGAATGAGAACGTCCTGTGTAGTAATAATGTAGTAAACGTAGGCGGCAGTAGGATCAGTTCGCAGGAACAGCTCCCCATCCGACACCTTCCAAGATTATCGTATCGAGATTTTATACGCGGCGGAACAGTTAGGATTTGAACTCGAATCTATTAAGGCCTTCAGCCTCGCTTTCCTCTTTTCCTCCTCTACCCTCGCGAATCGTGTTTAGCGCGTGCCGAACGAGATGCCATTCGTTCGGGCTTTGTATTTCGCAGCGACGGTGATTAACCACATTGCGCTGATTAAACGCGACACGTCTGCGACGACGACGACGACGACAAAGTCGAGGTGTTCGCGACGCAGAACGGAACGGAACGGATCGGATCGCGTGCGAAGCGAAGCGCGGAGCAGAGCAGAGCGGAGCTGAGCGGAAAGGAACGAGGGCGCCGAATTAATCATTTCAAACAGCTGCTGCGTCGCATTAGCGGCAGCGGATAAGACAAATGAACGTCGTGGAGCTTGTTAAGACGTAATCCGAGAGATGTGTCTGCGCCGCCTCCCGCTTCCACCTCCACGTCGTCGTCGTCGCACATCCGCCGTCGTCTCTCTCATCCGGGATTAGACGCTCCTATACCACGGGCGACTATTTTCTCCGGCGATTCCCCTCTGTTTATCAGCTACCTAGGGGCTCTACTTTCATCGCTGTCTTTCAGACAGCTCGTCACATTTCGCTTCCAACAACGTATTATAGATACAGCAATCATGCTGTTAATCGTATTTAATGACCTAAGCCCAGATTATTGCGCCAGCATCTTTTTGAGGATGAGAGAAATTAATGACCGATAACAATTTAGTAAACATAAGGTTATTATAACATAATATAAAATACATAACAATTTAATAATTTATTTCACATCAAGAATCAAATCAAGAAGAATTAAATGATTACAACGATGCAATATGTCTATGATTTCAATAGAAATAGGGAGAGAAAGAAAAAAAATAGAAAAAAAGAAGATATTTTTATGATGCTCTCTCTCTCTCTTTCTTTCTCTCTCTTTCTCGATTGTCAAAGGATGACCGTATCGTCGAAACGCGTAGATAGGATCGTTCGGATTGTTCCGGTTGGGGTGGACGTCGAGAAACGTGACGTTCCGGGTTTCGTGCTTGATTCGAGGCATCTCCGATGACAGATAGTGTCAATGCGGGTACCATCGGTGGACCGCTGTGTGTGTGAATCACGCTATGTGATCTTCACCTGGACCTCTATTCTGTAACTCTAACGACAGTGTCGGTATCGTTATGTCGTCGTTGCGCAGCTTTTTTTCCATATAGTATACCTGCGCAACGACAACGTAACGATACCGACACTGTCGTTACGAGTTACAGAATAGGGGTCCTGGCTCGCGACGACAATACGAGATACGATTGCGCCGCGAAATATATTCCTCGTCCCACCTTTTCTACACTTAACCAGAGAAATATACCAAGCCTGGAAAGAAGATATCTCGGAATCGTGACAGGCTACGAATATCGCGTTCGTGTTTGCATTCCGCTATTTGAAGACTAGTCTGCTTCTATTTCACTCTTTCACACAATATATTTTCAATATTAAATTGTTATCAGCGAATTGGAACTTAGCGAAAAGATAACCGTCACACTGGTGAAATCAAGAAATGCCTAAAAAAACTGTAATTCTTCCAAAATTGATGACGAGTTAAATAAATGATAGATTGATACTTTGGAAGACGTTAACTTAACAGAAAACATTCTATTTACGTATATTTATTTATATCTATATTATTAAAATTGCTACGCGATATACTTATGTAAATTTAAAAAAATACTGATCGGCACCATTAGAGATTGATATCTACTCTGGAAAAATCGACTTCCAGAATTGATTCGTTAAAGTGCTATACCGCTCTACGCCATAGGGTGATTTTAATTATCAGCGAGTGCATTATCAGAGAAGTGCGACTACGTGGAGCACTTTGTATATAGAAATCGACCTTTCAAATACGGGTACACGTAGTCGACGTTCTTCGATTCTACTTCGCTTTTGTCGGGCCGAGTATTGCGCCTCTCCATTTTGTCATCCCCCAGCGGGGTTTCAATGTTGTAACCATGGAGACGTCGCGTTTCCGCAAGGGGAACGTGTAAAGGGTGTCGGCCGTACGTATGCAAGTATGGAGAGACTGCCATTGTTGAAACTTACGCGCGTATC